AAGCTCCTCCTCTCGACTGGCCAATAACAGCCTATCCAGCTCCTTCAGGCGCTGCGCCATGGATACAGGCGCACCCTTGAGCCAATCTCGCTCTGCTTTCTCCAAAGGGTCTTCTGAGTCCGCCTCCTACAAAAAAAAGAAGACATTGAAGAATACTAATTAAGTCACTTAACTATTGTACTATTCATCGCAAATGCCCACAACACTTGGGTGAGAGAGACAGTGGCAGTGGTGGAAAAAGTACCCAACTGTCATACTTAAGTAAAAGTAAAGATACCTTAATAGAAAATGACTCAAAAAGTGAAAGTCACCCAGAAAAATACTACTACAGTAAAAGTAAAAGTATTTGGTTTTAAATATACTTATATATCAAAAGTACATGTAATTGCTCAAATATACTTAAGTATCAAAAGTAAAAGTATAAATCACTTCACATTCCTTATATTAAGCAGGCGGCACGATGTTCTGGTTTTCAACACAGTCAATTCTCAAAACTATAACTCGGCCACTCAGGAGTTATGGCAAGCAACACAGTGTAGATTTGGCCTTGTGTATTAGGTTAGGTGAAAGGTGAATTTGTCTCCCAGTGTCTGTTGCAAAGCAGACTGAACCAGGTTTTCCTTTAGGATTTTCCCTGTGCTTAGCTCTATTCCATTTATTTTTATCCAAAAAAACTCCCTAGTCCTTGCCGATGACAAGCATACCCATAACATGATACAGCCACCACCAAGCTTGAAAATAAACATAACTATTTGTATTGAGGACAAAGTTAATTTCTTTGCCACATTTTTTTCAGTTTTACTTTAGTCCCTTATTGCAAACAGGATGCATGTTTTGCAATAGTTTTATTCTGTACAGAATCTGTCAATTAGGTTAGTATTGTGGAGTAACTACAATGATGTTGATCCATCCTCAGTTTTCTATCACGGCCAATAAACTCTAACTGTTTTAAAGTCCCCATTGGCCTCGTGGTGAAATCCCTGAGCGGTTTCCTTCCTCTCTGGCAACTGAGTTAGGAAGGACGCATGTATCTTTAGGTGGTGTATCAATACACCCAGTCACTACAAAGTGTAATTAATAACTACACCATGCTCAAAGGGATATTCAATGTCTGCTTTTATTTTTACCCATCTACCAATAGGTGCCCTTCTTTGCGAAGCATTGGAAAACCTCCCTGGTCTTTGTGGTTGAATCGGTGTTGGAAATTCAATGCTCGACTGAGGGACCTTACAGATGTGTGGAATACAGAGATCAGGAAGTTATTCAAAAATCATGTTAAACACTATTATTGCACACATAGTCCATGTAACCTGTTACTCCTGAGCTTATTTAGGCTTGCCACAACAAAAGGGGTTGAATACTTATTGACTCATGACATTTCAGTTTTCCCCTTTAAATTAAATTGAAAAAAAAAAAAACGGTATCTCAGACTGCCCATCTTAATCTTTTATTTTTATTGGCCAGTCTGAGATATGGCTTTTTCTTTGCAACTCTGCCTAGAAGGTCTGCATCCCGGAGTCGCCTCTTCACTGTTGACGTTGAGACTGGTGTTTTGCGGGTACTATTTAATGAAGCTGCCAGTTGAGGACCTGTGAGGCGTCTGTTTCTCAAACTAGACACTAATGTATTTGTCCTCTTGCTCAGTTGTGCACCGGGGCCTCCCACTCCTCTTTCTATTCTGGTTAGAGCCAGTTTGCGCTGTTCTGTGAAGGGAGTAGTACACAGCGTCGTACGAGATCTTCAGTTCTTTTAAAATGATAAACTTGGATTAGCAAACACAACGTGCCATTGGAACACAGGACTGATAGTTGCTGATAATGGGCCTCTGTACGCCTATGTAGATATTCCATTAAAAATCAGCCATTTCCAGCTACAATAGCCATTTACAACATTAACAATGTCTACACTGATCAATTTGATGTTATTTTAATGGACAAAAACATTGCTTTTCTTTCGAAAACAAGGACATTTCTAAGTGACCCCAAACTTTTGAACGGTAGTTTATATATATCTATATACTCATTCAAGGGTTTTTCTTTATTTCTTATAATTTTTTACATTGTAGAATAATAGTGAAGACAACAAAACTATGAAATAACATATGGAATCATGTAGTAACCAAAAAAGTGTTAAATCAAAATATATTTTATATTTGAGATTCTTTAAATAGCCACCCTTTGCCTTGATGACAGCTTTGCACACTCTTGGCATTCTCTCAACCAGCTTCACCTGGAATGCATTTCCAACAGCCTTGAAGGAGTGCCCACATATGCTGAGCACTTGTTGGCTGCATTTCCTTCACTCTGCGGTCCAACACATCACAAACCATCTCAATTGGGTTGAGGTCAGGTGATTGTGGAGGCCAGGTCATCTGATGCAGCACTCCATCACTCTCCTTCTTGGTCAAATAGCCCTTACACAGCCTGGAGGTGTGTTGGGTCATTGTTCTGTTGAAAAACAAATGATAGTCCCACTAAGCGCAAACCAGATGGGATGGCGTATCGCTGCAGAATGCTGTGGTAGCCATGCTGGTTAAGTGTGCCTTGAATTCTAAATAAATCACAGACAGCGTCACCAGCAAAGCACCCCCACACCATCACACCTCCTCCTCCATGCTTCACGGTGGGAACCACACATGTGGAGATCATCTGTTCACCTACTCTGCGTCTCACAAAGACGGTTGGAACCATACATCTCAAATTTGGACTCATCAGACCAAAGGACAGATTTCCACCTGTCTAATGTCCAATTCGACCATGAAGGCCTGATTCACGCAGTCTCCTCTGAACAGTTGATGATGAGATGTGTCTGTTACTTGAACTCTGAAGAATTTATTTGGGCTGCAATTTCTGAGGCTGGTAAACTCTAATGAACTTATCCTCTGCAGCAGAGGTGACTCTGCGTCTTCCTTTCCTGTGGCGGTCCTCATGAGAGCCAGTTTCCTTATAGAGCTTGATGGTTTTTGCGACTGCACTTGAAGAAACTTTCAAAGTTCTTGAAATGTTCTGTATTGACTGACCTTCATGTCTTAAAGTAATGATGGAATTTCATTTTTCTTTGCTTATTTGAGCTGTTCTTGCCATAATGTGGACTTGGTCTTTTACCAAGTAGGGCTATCTTCTGTATACCACCCCTACCTTGTTACAACACAATTGATTGGCTCAAATGCGTTAAGGAAAGAAATTCCACAAATTAAATGCATTCCAGGTAACTAACACATGAAGCTGGTTGAGAGAATGCCAAGATTGTGCAAAGCTGTCATCAATATATTTTGATTTGGTTAACACTTATTTGGTTACTACATGATTCCATATGTGTTATTTCATAGTTTTGATGTCTTCACCATTATTCTACAATGTAGAAGACAGTAAAAATAAAGAAAAACCTTGAATGAGTAGGTGTGTCCAAACTTTTGACTGGTACTGTGTCTGTGTGTGTGCACGTGAAGACAGTCGTACCTGTGTAGCAGTGGCCGCACCACCAGAAGTACAGATGGGGGCCATGATGTTAGTCATGGAGAGCAGGCTGGAGGGCATGAAGAGGGGCATAGAGATAGAGTCCAAGGACTCCACCTCTAGCCAGCGCTGCAGCTGCTCCTCACACCTCTGGCTATGTGCCCTCTCCTCCTGGAGACCGTGGAGGACCTTGTGGGGCAGCAGGTCCCGGGGTGAGGGGGTGTGTGTGATGTCCAGAGTGTGGCAGGGAGCAGGGCGGTCCGGCCGATCCACCAGGCTCCGGAACAACTTCTGTCTGAGGGGAGGGAGAGCTGCGAGGCCTCCTGGACTGGCTCTGAAGAGGGGAGGGGAAGGAAGAGGAAGAAATGATCTATTTTTGTTTATCAATTCGCAGAAGGGAGTATAAGCCAACAGACTCAGGAGTACATTTGAGATCGAGAGAGATCGAGAGAAATACAGAGGGAGAGAGAGAGAGACACAGAGACAGAGTAGTGAACCAGTCTCCTCCTTACCCCTGTGTCTCCTGCTGCTTCTCCCTGTGTGTGAGTCTGACCGCCTCCGTCCACTCTGTGGGGGGCTGGAAGCCATTCAGTCCCTCCTTGGGGAAGTAGACCAGGACCTCCCCATCCTCCGTCACTGCATCTGGAACAGCACCACCGGAGTCTTGGGATTAAGTTTAGCTCTTTACAAATTCCAATGCAATAAAAGGCTTTTTAACTTGTTTTCCTCATACAATACTTTGTCTCAAATGCTGCTGATAGCTCAGTTTATTCTGTCTAGCATTAGGAGCTGAATTTGTCTTTGGTGCGGAAAATGTCACCCAAAGAGCTAGAGTAGAGCAGATAGAGTAGATAAACCAATGGTCATCTCACCATCACAAACTGGGCTGTCAGGGTGTTGCCAGTCCTTCAGCTTGTGGTCTATGCAGAGAGCCACCACGTCGTCCCAGGGGACCTGCTGGAAGGACGGGCTTTCCTCCTCCCAGTGGTCCTGGGCTGCAGCCGTGGAACAGCGCACCCTCTCCAGTAGGTTTTCCAGGCGGGACATGAGGAGGGGCTGGCTGTGGCGCGAAGTTGGGATCTGGCTGGCGTACTGGAAGATGGCGGAACACAGCTGGGGCCAGGAGGCTGGGGGGAATTAGAGCTTTATTCATGAGATGTATTAACGAGTAGATAGGAGGGCAATATAAACAGTTGTAATTTGAGCAGTAATAAGGCATAAATGTTAGCTGTCCGTCTCTGCTCCATGACAATGGAGTAGGCAAAAGCAAAAACAGATCTGGGATAAGGCTACATAAAAGTCGCAAGTCAACCGAATCACACACGCACAACCACATGCAAGCACAACTACACAGTCACACACACAAACCAAAAGCTACCCACCTGTGTTAGCGGGCATGTCCCAGCTGGGTATCTGCAAGCTGACAACAGCCGTCCGGAGCCAGGCCAGGTGTTGAGGGGAGTTCCAACCCAGGTGAGGCACCAAGTCCCGGGTCTCAGGCAGGGCGAACTCCCCCGGGGGCCAGGAGAGGCTGGAGAGGTGCTGGGAGGACACTAGGTCAGCCAGGAATGCCAGCACAGCGTTGTAGAGTGTGATGACAGGTGCCGGGTGTTGGCGCGCCAGCCCTGCCCCCGCCCGGTCCTGCCGGTGGCCATAGAGGCGGGCACTGAACTCGCGGCCCAGCCCGGCCTCCACAAAGTGCACCAGGGTCTGGGAGGAGAGGAGGGAGGGAGCTGGGGCACGTGCCAAGAGCCAGCGCACCGCTTCACTCACCTGGGGGCAAACAACCCCATAAAACAGCACATTAGAATACTTCCAATTCAATACAACTTCGGCTGCGACGATACCAGCATCGCAATATTTTTCCCATGGCAAAAATGAAAACAAGAAACAGACCAAACTCTTTGGTCCCTTAAAAACCAGCTGTAAGTTATTGTGTGCTATAGCTTGAAGAAAAAAAAGCGAATCTTCCTAAAGAAGTTAAATCCGCTTCATGTTTTGTTTCCTTGACACGATACTAACGAGTATCACAATACTGGTATCGTCCCGACCCTAAATACAACGCTACTCATTTAATTACCTTAGGCGCAATTTAAATATTTGTATTTTGTTTCAAGAGGGCTGTCCATACCTGCTCTGAGCCCTGTAGGTCGCTGGTGGTTTCTGGGATGTGGACGAACACGTGTTCTGATATCAGACCGTCTTCAACCAACGTCTGGAGCATCAGTTCTAACCAGAAGACAAGAAGAGGCAGGCAGAGAGTTACAGATTTGGTACTTAATAAGGACTTGCTGGTGATGTCCAGCCATGTGTGCATGTGTGGTTGGGGTACCCCTTACCTTCCTCCAGTTTCTGTGTGTCATGCGGGCCTGGCACCAATATGGCGAGGGGCAGTGGGCAGTCCCAGATATTGGCCTGCTGGAGCTGTTTAAGCTGGAGCAGAGCGGAGAGCAGGGGCACGTCCTGGTCCTCGCTGCCTGGGCTGGGGGCAGGCAGCAGCATCAGCAGGGCCCCCGTGCCCTGGAGCTCATGGGCCTCCTCCATCTTGGACAGGCCCTCTTCACTCAGCGGGCCCCGAGATGCCTGGTTGGGACAACACACACAGACACAGTCAGTACAACTACATTGCTGTCTGAAGTGTCTTGATATTGGCTTGGATGGGATTGGTGTAGGCATCAGGATGTTAATCAGTCAGTGTAGAACAGGGGTGTCAAACATGCGGGCCGGATCCGGGGTCCAATCCTGCCCGCGGGAGTTGAGTAAAAAAATATATATACACAGTGCCTTCCAAAAGTATTCAGACCCGTTGACCTTTTCCACATTTTGTTAAGTTACAGCCTTATTCTAAAATTGATTTAATAGTTTTTCCCCTCATCAATCTACACACAATACCCCCATAATGACAAAGCAAAAACAGGTTTTAGACATTTCTGCTAATTTATTAAAAATAAAAAAACAGAAAAATTACATTTACATAAGTATTCAGACCCTTTACTCAGTACTTTGTTGAAGCACTTTTGGCAGCGATTACAGCATCAAGTCTTCTTGGGTATGACGCTACATGCTTGGCACACCTGTATTTGGGGAGTTTCTCCCATTTTTCTCTGCAGATCTTCTCAAGCTCTGTCAGGTTGGATGGGGAGTGTCGCTGCACAGCTATTTTCAGGTCTCTCCAGAGATGTTCGATCGGGTTCAAGTCCGGGCTCTGGCTGGGCCAATCAAGGACATTCAGAGACTTGTCCCAAAGCCACTCCTGCGTTGTCTTGGCTATGTGCTTAGGGATGTTGTCCTCTGGGAATGTGAACTTTCGCCCCGGTCCTGAGCGCTCTGGAGCAGGTTTTTATCAAGGATCTCTCTGTACTTTGCTCCGTTCATCTTTCCCTCGATCCCTACAGAATTATACTGCCACCACCATGCTTCACAGTAGGGATGGTGCCAGGTTTCCTCCAGACGTGACGCTTGCCATTCAGGCCAAAGAGTTCAATCTTGGTTTCATCACACCAGAGAATCTTGTTTCTCATGGTCTGAGAGTCTTCAGGTGCCTTTTGGCAAACTCCAAGCGGGCTGTCATGTGCCTTTTACTGAAGAGTGGCTTCCGTCTGGCCACTCTACCATAAAGGCCTTATTGGTGGAGTGCTGCAGAGATGGTTGTCCTTCTGGAAGGTTCTCCCATCTCCACAGAGGAACTCTGGAGCTCTGTCAGAGTGACCATCGGGTTCTTGGTCACCTCCCTGACCAAGGCCCTTCTCCCGCGATTGCTCAATTTGGCCGGGCGGCCAGCTCTAGGGAAGAGTCTTGGTGGTTACAAACTTCTTCCATTTAAAAATGATGGAGGCCACTGTGTTCTTGGGGACCTTCAATGCTGCAGACATTTTTGGGTACCCTTTCCCAGATCTGTGTCTCGACACAATCCTGTCTCTGAGCTCTACGGACAATTCCTTCGACCTCATGGCTTGGTTTTTGCTCTGACATGCACTGTCAACTGTGGGACCTTATATAGACTGGTGTGTGCCTTTCCAAATCATGTCTAATCAATTGAATTTACCAAAGGTGGATTCCAATAAAGTTGTAGAAACATCAAGGTCGATCAATCGAAACAGGATGCACCTGAACTATAATATAATATAATATAATAATAATATATAATACTCAATTGAGACTCATAGCAAAGGGTCTGAATACTTATGTAAATAAGGTATTTCTGTTTTTTATTTTGTATAAATGTGCTAACATTTCTAAAAACCTGTTTTCGCTTTGTCATTACGGGGTATTGTGTATAGATTGATGAGGAACAAAATGTATTTAATCAATTTTAGAATAAGGCTGTAACGTAAGAAAATGTGGAAAAAGGGAAGGGGTCTGAATACTTTCCAAATGCACTGTATAACACATTTTCAGTGCAGCCCTCCAGATCTCGTTGAAGACCGAATACGGCATCTGGGCCAAAATTAGTTTGGACACCCCTGGTGTAGAAAGTAGTTAATCAAATAATCACTAGTCTAAGGGGAAAATGTTTTGGTAATGTTGTTTTCGCTCCCACCTTGATGCTGATGTGTACTTTGTGAGTCATGTCTCCTGCTTCCCTGAGTCCGTTGGTGATGCAGAGAGTCCTCAGTGTCCCCTCCTGCTCCTTCTCTGTGACCTTTGCACTTTCACCTCCCCCAAACTTAGTCTCCAGCCAGTCTGTCAGGATCCTGCAATAAGAGCACAGAGAACACACTCAATAAACACAAGTGTCATCAAAGAGGTAAGAAGCACTTGGAAAGCATGAGACTAGCTATTGAAAACAGGTGTGTGGAGAGAAAAATCAATCAAATGTATTTACAAAGCCCTTTTTACACCAGCAGAATGTCACAAAAGTGCTTATACAGAAACCCTGCCTAAAACCCAAAAGAGCAAGCAATGCAGATGTAGAAACACGGTGGCTAGGAAAAACTATCGAAAGGCAGGAACCTAGGAAGAAACCTAGAGAGAAACTAGGCTCTGAGGGGTGGCCAGTCCTCTTCTGGCTGTGCTGGGTGGTCCATTGCATTCGGATAAAAATATACAAAAGGCTGCCCCGTTTGAACATACATGGTCCTTGGTGAACATTCTGCAAGATGGACTTTGATGCGGCCTGTGGTTATTAGCATTATTGTATCTAAAAAAGTGTTATTATAAATCTATAATTAACGATAAGCAATTATAAACAAGAAAATTCTGTATATATATATATTGGTTGTGGTTTTTATTGTTGATATTTCATTCGCATTATTGTTATTATATAAATCATTGACGCTAGCTAAGGCTTTTACATGTTTTCACTTGGAAAACCTAGACTTTAGAATGTTTGCTACAATTTTTATGATATAATCACTGTTGCTAAGGTTTCACATTTTCGTTCCTTAGAGACCTTAGAATTTGGAATGTTCGGTTGAATTGTTGTAAAAATAAAGATTCAGTTGACTTTTCGGTCTATCTGGCAAATTATTACAGAACTTCAATGGAACACATTTCATCAGCTCTTGCAAGTGTGAATCAAATTCTGACTCAAAGGTCTGACGATGTTCGCTATTGACACCATTGGAAAAATTTTGAGCCTGTGATCTTTACCACAGGCAGAGATGAGAGCAAGACAGTCTGATTTTGATGTTGTTGCCTCTCCCATGACTCATGAGTTTCACTGATCTGTTGTGGATTCCACCAAGCGCTGGGATGAGTCCCATGACATCATGATAGAGCATTACAGCAAACTGGTTGATAAGAGAGATGCACTGAATGTGGATATTTGTGGAAAGCTGAAAAGCTGAATGAGTTTCAGGACAGAAAGAAACACTCGGAAAGCATGAGACCAGCTGGTGAAAACGGTCAGGTGTGTGGAGAGAAAGGTGGTCCATGCATCCAGTGCCACTTTCAGAAGGAAGAAAGTCCTCAAGAAGAAATGGTCTCACAAGCTGCTCCTATCCTGGAGCAGATGCAGATCAAGAACCACAGGATGGAAGCTGAGGTGCGGAGGCTTCAGAGGCAGCTGTCCATCAAACTGAAGTAACTTTACAGTATTTAGCTGAGCCGGAAAATACATGACACTCTTAGACACAGCCACCAAAGTACTGTTGAGAGTACTTGTATGCTGCACTGTGAGAGGGTGTGAGGAGTTCAACGGCAATTACATCTGCCACACTGTATTTGATCTCACCTGTCGGCTATGCTGGCAACACTCTCGTGGTCGCTGGGCAACAGCAGGGTGGCCTTCCAGAAGATTCTGCCAGGTGGGTTAGGAACGCTCTCAACCACCAGCGTAGGCATGTCTAGAGGAGTCCACACCGACTCACTGAAGGGGGGACACATATTGTTTAATGTTGTGTTTGATGTAATTTTTGTTACTATGATTCAGAAATATGTACTTATCCTCCATTGTGAGAGAGTTTGAGTACAAGAATCACGAGTGAGAGAAGAACTACAATGAAGTAAGAGCAGGGATGATGGCTTACTTCAACAGCTGCTGGTAGTAGAAGTGGACTCGCATTTGATGGATTGCTTCTTGTCTCATCTTTAGCAACCTGGGGACATTACAGAAGAGTCAGAGGTGTGTAAGAGAGAGCGAAGGAAAGAGAAAAAAAGAAAGAAAGACAGAAGAGGGAGGCAAGGGCCAGAGTAGGGCAGGGTAGCTCCAGTACCTGGTGCTGGACAGGGCCATGTAGCCGGCATTACCCAGGTTGACCATGCCCCTGGCCAGGCAGTCCATAGAGGGCTGGGAGGGGGCACTGGGAGCCAGGGCTTTGAGCTTGTGGCGGGGGTCCACACAGCAGGGGGCGGCAGGGAAGCCCCGCATCTGTCTCTTCAGCTGCCTGCGTACCGCCACCACGTCACGCCACCTGACAGAGAAATACATGGGGAGAGAGGGGGTGAGAGGGAAGCTTGTGTCTTTTTGAAGAGCAAAACTTTTTGTGGAAGGTACTATGCAGCGCACAGATCCCCTCGCGCACTCAACGCCGTAGAGATATGTAGAGTTTCCTTGTAGGCCTATTTGGCGGGGAAACTGTGAAGCCAGCTGTATAGCCTATTGGCTGTTTCTGTTTATGAGTCTTTTATTAAATAATGCAAAACAAATGTGCCTGTTTGCTGCTTTTCATTAAAATCATTCATAGCTGTTCTTTATATGGCCTAAAATAAATGTGTTCATATGGGCAGAATATTATCTATAGGCTATGGCATACTGACTTTTGATCAGTTATGAAAATAGAACATTTCATGCCCAAGAAAATGATCTGGGAAAAAGGCCAACATTTGGAAATAAAAAAAAAAAAAAAAAAAAAGATGTCACATGACTAGAAAATGGAAACATTGTGATTTTAGAGACACAAAGTAACAATAGCCTATTATTAAAGGGTTAGGCTATACTGGGCTCTCACCATCATCATTATCATTATTCACATCATTCCAATTTAATCAAGTCACAATTATCAGCTTTGGTATGTGCATGACTCTAAGTCGCTTTGGATAAAAGCGTCTGCTAAATGGCATATTATTATTATTATTATTATTATTATTATCAGCCAGCAGGCTTTCCGAGTGAAGAGAGAGACATGGGTAGGCCTACCAACAGAAAAAAGTCTGAAAACAAAAATGATTATGAAATTCTAAATAGCCTTTTCTAAAATAATTTCCTGCAATTCTACATGACTGGATACATTACAATAATATTTTTCAATACCACACACAATTACCCAAATGACAAGATACTCTGATATTGACATAAAAAAAACTAACCACCCATTTCTTAAATGCAACCAATAGCATAGGCCAATGAAAAGCAGCCAGGTCACCTGTGATACAAGTCCGTTTTCAGCCAGCAATGAGTGGACACAGATTGTATGCCTACAATATGAAGAGGAAATTATAGTCCACCAAATTTCCAGTGGCACTCACTTATCCAAGGTCCTGGCGATGTCACTGACAAGCAATGGAATCCAAATTTATCCTCTACGTGCTTGAAAAAATATCCAGCCGCATGAATGCTACACCTACAGATGGGAACGACAGACCGCAAATAAGTCCTTCTGGAAGTGTACCGAATAAGATCTCTTTTTGTATTTTCAGAATTACGGAACTGCTACGATGCTGTCCTGCAAGACTTGGCGAAGACCAACAACTGAGTGGAAGGCTGGCATCAAACATTTTCGGGCGAATCTTGGTGCTACCCACCCCACCATTGGAAGTTCATCGAGGCATTGCAACAACAGCAGCAAAGAGGTGATATGAGAACGGAGCAGCAACTTGCTGTCGTTCCACCACCTACCAAAAGCAACAGAAGGATCTAAAGCTACAGGGTTCAGAAGTACACTACGACTGAACGGCTGGAGTCCTACCGGAAGAGCGTTGTCTACACTTTCAAGTTGCAGTTATGAATATTCCACAATCCATCTGAGAGAAATTAGCACCTAGCCTTTGTGACATCCCTTTCAACCCTTTCAATGACTCCAAAAACCTTACGAGACCAGAACATTAAGCACATTCTTGGATGATTTGTTCTGCATTGTCATGAAGCCTACTCTTAATTTATTAATTTTTTGGATATATATATGTTTTAGGCCTACTTATTTTTGCCCAATAATTTTGGGTATTTTGCTAAGCTTTTTTGTTGATAAATGTTTTATAGTGAATGATTGGTGTTAATGGATGGTGTTAAACCTAGATAAAAATGAAAAAATATTTTTTTTAATGAAAAGACATTGTAGAAACTAGATATTGGCTGTTCTTAGCCTTCAGCATTTATATTACCATATGAACTAATTTATATACAATATTCAGGTCATTACTGAATCAAGTTTTGTAGGCTATATGTGCTTCACAGCTTCTCCGGGAAACTCGACGTATTGTAGCCTCACACGGACGAAAGAGTAGCGGAGGAAGTAGTAAGCTTCTGCTGCAGTGTTCGCGGTAAAATATTCCACGTTGTGGTGGCGCTTCGACAGAGAAGGAGTGAACACCCAACGGAGAGAGAGGGCAGACTTTGAAAAGCAAACTTGAGCCTTGAAACTAAAACTGTTAGGAGCAGAGTTGGAGAACCTTGATATAGGGTCTACGCAAGACTGGTGGACCAACTGTCAACCCAAGCATTCATAGTTGTCATTCACATGACTTGGTTGTACCTCTTAATGTACTTCTGTATGCGCTGTAGCTCCGCCTCCAGGATGTCCTCCACCATTAGGAATATCTCTTTGTCCAGGGTCTCCTCCACCAGGCAGCTGCACACCTCATCAGAGCAGCGCGCCATACATGCTGCCTCCTCCTCCGTGGCTAACCTGACACACAGATACTTTTACTCAAAAACACTTACACTACCAGTCAAAGGTTTGGACACACATACTCATTCAAGGGTTTATCTTTATTTATACTATTTTTTTACATTGTAGAATAATAGTGAAGACATCAGAACTACGAAATAACACATATGGAATCATGTAGTAGCCAGAAAAGTGTTAAACAAATCAAAATATATTTTATATTTGAGATTCTTCAAATAGTCACCCTTTGCCTTGATGACATCTTTGCACACTCTTGGCATTCTCTCAACCAGCTTCATGAGGTAGTCACCTGGAATGCATTTCAATTAACAGGAGTGCCTTCTTAAAAGTTAATTTGTGGAATTTCTTTCCTTCTTAATGCATTTGAGCCAATCAGTTGTGTTGTGACAAGGTAGGGGGGTATACAGAAGATAGCCCTATTTGGTGGCGCAGTGGTCTAAGGCACTGCATCTGTGCTAGCTGTGCCACTAGAGATCCTGGTTCGTATCCAGGCTCTGTCGTAGCCGGCCGCGACCGGGAGACCCATGGGGCGGCGCACAATTGGCCCAGCGTCGTCCAGGGTAGGGGAGGGAATGGCTGGCAGGGATATAGCTCAGTTGGTAGAGCATGGCGTTTGCAACGGCAGGGTTGTGGGTTCGATTCCCACGGCGGGCCAGTATGAAAAATAAAAAAATAATGTATGTACTCACTAACTGTAAGTCGCTCTGGATAAGAGCGTCTGCTAAATGACAAAAATGTACATGTAAATGTAAAAGACCAAGACCAGATTATGGCAAGAACAGCAAAAAATGAGCAAAGAGAAACAACAGTCCATCATTACTTTAAGACATGAAGGTCAGTCAATACGGAACATTTCATAAACTTTGAAAGTTTCTTCAAGTGCAGTCGCAAAAAACATCAAGCCCTATGATGAAACTGGCTCTCATGAGGACCACCACAGGAATGGAAGACCCAGAGTTACCTCTGCTACAGAGGATAAGTTCATTAGAGTTACCAGCCTCAGAAATTGCAGCCAAAATAAATGCTTCACAGAGTTCAAGTAACAGACAGATCTCAACATCAACTGTTCAGAGGAGACTGTGTGAATCAGGCCTTCATGGTCAAATTGCTGCAAAGAAACCACTACTAAAGGACCCCAATAAGAAGAGACTTGCTTGGGCCAAGAAACACGAGCAATGGACATTGGACCGGTGGAAAATTGTCCTTTGGTCTGGAGTCCAAATTGGAGATTTTTGGTTCCAACCGCCGTGGCTTTGTGAGACGCGGTGTGGGTGAACGGATGATCTCCGCATGTTTATTTCCCACCGTAAAGCATGGAGGAGGTGGTGTTATGGTGTGGGGGTGCTTTGCTGGTGACACCGTCTGTAATTTATTTAGAATTCAAGGCACAATTAACCAGCACCATCTGGTTTGGGCTTAGTGGGACTATCATTTGTTTTTCAACAGGACAATGACCCAACACACCTCCAGGCTGTGTAAGGGCTATTTTACCAAGAAGGAGAGTGATGGAGTGCTGCATCAGATGACCTGGCCTCCACAATCCCCCGACCTCAACCAAATTGTGATGGTTTGGGATGAGTCGGACTGCAGAGTGAAGGAAAAGCAGCCAACAAGTGCTCAGCATATGTGGGAACTCCTTCAAGACTGTTGGAAAAGCATTCCAGGTGAAGCTGGTTGAGAGAATGCCAAGAGTGCGCAAAGCTGTCATCAAGGCAAAGTGTGGCTATTTGAAGAATCTCAAATATATTTTGATTTTTTTAACACTTTTTTGGTTACTACATGATTCCATTTGTGTTACTTAATAGTTTTGATGTCTTCACTATTATTCTGCAATGTAGAAAATAGTAAAAAATAAAGAAAAACCCTGGAATTAGTAGGTGTGTCCCAACAGTACTGCACAGGTGCATATAAACAAGGGAGAGACAGCTCCATGAATATTGGGCTAGTGGTGGATATGGAATCAGGAATGTGAGTTGAGTGTAGAGGGGCAGCTTACTGGATCTCGGAGGCGGCAGTCTCCTTGATGCACTCAGTCAAGACCTCTTGGCTGATCTCAGAACAGAGAGAGTCACTAAACTGGGCCAGGAAGACCTCGTGCTCCTGCTTTCTCCTGCCACAGAAAAGAGAGGGAGAGACATGGATAATGAGTTGGAGACATCAAATCAAATTGTATTTGTCACATGCGCCGAATACAACAGGTGTAGACCTTACCGTGAAATGCTTACTTACAAGCCCTTAACCTACAATGCAGTTCAAGAAAATAGAGTTAAGAAAATAGTTACTAAATAAACTAAAGTAAAAAATAAAATAAAATAAAAAGTAACACAATAAAATAATGAGGCTATATACAGGGGGTACCGGTACCGAGTCAATGTGCGGGGGTACAGGTTAGTCGAGGTAATTTGTACATGTAGGTAAAGTGACTATGCATAGATAATAAACAGCGATTAGCAGCAGTGTAAAAACAAAGGGGGGTGTACATTTGATTAATTGTTCATCAGTCTTATGGCTTGGGGGTAGAAGCTGTTAAGGAGCCTTTTGGACCTAGACTTTGCGCTCCGGTACTGCTTGCCGTTCGGTAGCAGAGAGAACATTATATGACTTGGGTGACTGGACTCTGACAATTTTTTGGGCCTTCCTCTGACACCGCCTTGTATATAGGTCCCGGATGTCAGGAAGCTTGGCCCCAGTGATGTACTGGGCCGTACGCACTACACTCTGTAGCGCCTTACGGTCGGATGCTGAGCAGTTGCCATACCAGACGGTGATGCAACCGGTCAAGATGCTCTCGATGGTGCAGCTGTATAACTTTATGAGGATCTGGGGACCATTGCCAAATCTTTTCAGTCTCCTGAGGGGGAAAAGGTGTTGTCGTGCCCTCTTCACGACTGTCTTGGTGTGTTTGGACCATGATAGTTTGTTGGTGATGTGGACACCAAGGAACTTGAAGTTGGATGTGGAGTTACATGTTAACAGGTCAGAACTTGGACTAAGTGATTTGTTAAACTTCTGCTTCCAATGTATGGTTAAGAAAGTGAGAGATTTATAATATAAGCCATGACTTAGTCATGCGTGCATACATTTTGCGTATTGGTTTGCAGCTAGGGTTAGGATTGAGATCAAGGTGTTTCAGAGTCTCTGACCAACCTGGCTTCCTCTATCTTGCGTTTCTCCTCGGCGAGTCTCTCTCGCTCTGCTTGGACCTCAGCTGTGGACACCTCCCGGAGCATCTGCTCCACCACCTCGCTCACCACCGCCTCCATGTGGCCACTGCTCGCACTGCAGCGAGACAGAACAACAAGGCATTGGGTATCAATGTGAAAGGGGATGTTCAATGCTACTCCCGATGTACCACAGTGTATGCAATCATCAGTCAGTCTTAAACAAACAAAGCAATAATACAGCACTCACACGAGAGCAGCTGCAGCGTAGTCGGCCCCGGCGCTGGCAACCTCCCACACCACCGCCTCCAGCACCTCCTCCACCACGCACTCCAGTTCTGCCAGAATGTCCTACAGCAGTAGGAGGTATAGAAAACATGAGTCATACAGACAGGGGGGGAACATCTCCTACCCTTCTGCTGAATTTGATACACATCTAGAGACTAGAGCTAAGACCAGAAAGGAAGCAGCAATGACCTACCAAAGGGTCTCGACCCACCATTTGGGAAATACTACCACTAAGGCAAGCTAGCGTCAAACCACTAGGGATTTCTCGCTCTCTCACCTCGTCAGAGTAGACTGGCTCAGGTTTGGGCGGGGGCGAGGGGGGTCTGACAGGCTGGGGCTGGGCGACGTCAATGAGCTGGAACAGCTGCTGTTGGAGATCTGCTGCAGGGTGAACCTGGATACTGGGTTGGGTGGGCTCCGGTTCCCCTGTCTCGTCTGTGCCCTGCAATGGCTGGGCAGGCTCGGTGACAGTGGCAAGGCCGGGGTACGGTGGGGGAAGATCCCCAAAGAGTCGTGGCTCTGCCAGCAGCCTGGCGGGTTTGTTCTGCGGCCGGGGGTCAACGTCCGGCTGGGCCTTGACTTCTGGCTTCTGCAGGGTGAAAGCTGGCACTGGGGAGAGAGTAAAAAAAACCTCAAATTCTCATAGCCAGAATGATAAAGATTACAACACAGCAATATTTTTGTAAAGAACATGGACACCCCTCATACCTGTGACATTGAATCATTAGCTCAAGACTACCAATACAAACTATTGAACATTTCAACATGGGGTAGCAACAACAGTAGACAACTCGAGACACCATGACAGGCTAAATAAACAATGTCAGTAAGGGCTGTCTTGAACATCAATCTACGGGCACAGCGGCTCTACAGGCCTCCACAGTTTAGCCATCTTGAACTGCCATGGCTCCCATACCCGTTACAGCCACCGGGCCGCTCCCGAAGATGGCAGCGGGCGAAGGTTCTGCCAGCGGACCCTCCCCCCAGTACTTGTTGTAGGCATCGAAGCTGCAAACGGGGACATGCTGGGGAGGGCTGGGCAGTGGCCCTCCGTTTACCACCTCCCCGATCAGCACAGCCCTCTTGGCCATGATGACGTCTGACTTCACTTGGGGTAGGTTCAGGTCGGGCTCCTGCCAGGCCGTGCGGCTCAGTTCCACCAAGCTGTGGGGTCAGGAGGTCAGAGGACATCAGAGAAGGAAGTCTGTTGCTTGATGACAACAATTACCCAATGAAACATTAAAAAGTGACTATACTGATTAATTTTCAGATTTTGTTTTTATATGAATACTTTTTTTTTAAAGGGGCAATCAGCAGTTGCTACATCCATTTTCGGACTCATAAATTGACAATATGTACCCATTGATTCATGAAGAATATAACTTATGAATGCCTCATGAGCTTAGTTCAACTGTCGTACCCCATCAGAACACAAAATATAAGCTGGTTTTACCAGAGGTTGCGTTAGCTTTCAGAAATCTGCATTTTCAAAACGCACAACATCAGAAACATTTTATATTGACAGTCAACAGTGGTTTTTTTGCTTCAATAGGAGTGATCAGGGGCATGCAACTATAGTTTTCCTTAACACTAAATACATTAGTGCAACACATTGAGCAGAAAATAGCTTCATTTTCTTGAGAAAAGTGCAACACTATTTGTCTAGCAGCCACACATACGTAAATTAGCTTAGAAAACCGATGCATGGCCATCCTATTTCTCATGTTCATCATAGACAAAATGTAGCCAGCTACATTTCCTAATGTTTTGCTTGAAGTTAATCTTGCATTTTACCAGAGAAAAGTACAGAGAAAGGTCGCTACAAAGTCAGAGCGCCTTCTGCTGATACAATGCCTGTTGGTGAATGTGGGAATGACGACGAGTGGAGAAGAGCAACTGAAGCACAACATTTGTCTGAAGCAGAAATTACAATAAGAAGCATTTTAGATCTATATTTACAAAACGCAGAAAGATATGTTAGGCGTTTAATCTTTTTATTTTCTGTGTGAAAAACGCAGAATTCTGCATTAACGCAACCCCCATTTAATAACATAAATGTAAAACACTATATAGCCTCAAAACATGGTTAAAACTATAATTTTGAAATCATGGATGATATCAGTTTCAGCTTTTCGCAAAACAAGGGCGGGTGTGCTCTTTGTTATTGTTTTTAGCCGCTTTAAACACTGTCCCTCTGGGCCCTTTACTGTTGTGAAGATGTTACATTCAAGCGATACAGGGAGGTGCAACCTGAACATTGGTTTTCTGTTCGCTACAGGTTTTTTCCCAGTAAATATGTTGGGTACATATATTGTATTAGACAGGTACTGGTACTGACCCGCCACTGATGTTGAGGCCGAATTGCTGGATGAAGTCTGTGGCCTCAGAGGCATCTTGGAACATGAGCATGCGCACCAGATCCTCCAGGGGGAAGATGGTGGACCTCTGAGTGCCCACTGTGTGGGCGTTATTCAGGGTCCTCAGGGCCTTGCCCCTCACCTACACACACAGGAATGCATACAAACACATAGGCATGCACACACAAATGTCCATCAATTCCCAAGGGACAACCAGTTGATGGGACGTGACGCTCATTACTACAGGTTAAACTTCCTACTACTTTTCAAAGCTAATTACAGACCCACTAAACATTCCATGGCATGTAAGGAGGTACATTACTAGGGTAGGTGACGTTTATTGCTGACCTGGTTGAAGTATCTGTGCAGTAGGCAGCCCGCCAGGTAGGAGGCAGACTTCACCAGCTTGAAGAAGCGTACAAAGTTGTTGCTGTTGAGAGCCGCGAATGCCTGCACGGCAAACTTCACCTCTGGAGAGTTGCGCACCTCGTCCCTGAACTGCTGCACCTCACTGTGTGGACCACAACAAAAGAGAGCATACTCTCAGTCAGAGGGGAGGAGAAGGGTGGTGTTTGAAACATTAAAACAAAGACATGCTTACAGTTCATTGGTAGTATGTTTACAAATTGAGAATAACTGGGGTATTGTCACAGTCGTAAGCACGAAACAGAAGAAAACGGTCCGTAACGAAGTGAGACTGGGAGGTAAAACTGACCAATAAGAGACAATTATTTTCATTTATCGTTGCAAAACCTTTTGCTACAGTGTACCCTAATGAACACGACCCAATCATTGGCGAGTGACTGACCGGAGGACGTCCCCGACGTCTAGTTTGAGAAGCACGTTGTACTGGCGGAACTCGGCCTCTTGGGGGCAGTAGACGCCCCTGGTGGCCAGGTCCTGGTACATCTCCTTCAGGCTCTGCAGGCACTTGGTCATGTTCTCGTTGTTGATCTTGGCGTCAAACGTCATCATGTGCTCCTGGCACAGGTGGTGGGCACAGTGCACATGGAAGCGGGTGCACTTCTCGATCAGCGACACCGTCAGCGGGTCACACAGGTGCTGCTGGGTGATGTCCTGGGAGGAAAAATGAGTAGGAGAGGAATAGAGTTACCATAACTCCAACAGACAAAGCCCCTCAGACCGCAGCAATATGTATCAATGAATGTGTTATGATAACTTTTTCATAAGCTTTCTTTTTGCATTTCTTTTTCTGCTCTCATCTACTCTCTCAGCACTTTCCCATTCCCAATTACTTGCCTCGTACAAGGACTTTTCTGTCATTGTGACACCGATAATAAACAATAAAAAAAACAGGAGCAGCTAGCTAGCTAACCAACACTAGCTGTGTTTACCTTACGGATGCCGCGGGTCCTGTTCCACACAAAGTCGTACCAGTCGCGGTAGTTGTCGTGGCCCTGGTCCATGATCTGGGTGACCAGGTACTCCATTGTCATGCTGAGCACGGGGAGGGGCCGCAGCTCGTAGGGGAGGGGCTCCTCCTGGTCCGCCGATGACCTGCTGTACTCCTTGATGGCCGCCACGTGGTCCACCTGGACAGGAAGGGGTTACGTCTCATTATAAAATGTATAAACCAGGTTGTTTTTATTCAACTGAGACATTTGTGGGTGGGATATACTCATGCCCAATGTCAAGCACTTGGAGTTTGAGGACATAGCTAGATAAAAAGCCTACATATCATCATCATCATCATCATTAATATGATTATCATAAGCCATCAAGTGGAACTTCTCTATTGATGAGAGGTTCATGTACTTTACACAACAGTAGCACAGGTGCAGTGTACATGCAAAAGGTGTGCCTGAGAGAATTTGTGTGTATTGAAACAGGGATAGAAGAAATGGCTTTACCCTCTCTGTATCTGGGACGACCTCAAAGCAACTGAGCTGGTTGCGGGTCTCCCTCATGTAGCGCTCCTTCTCGGGGCACATGTCCGGGCATGTCCCCACAAAGAAAGACAGCTCCAGGTCTGTCCGTTTGGGCCGCCCTGCACATTGAACAACATAACCAGTCAGTCTCTCCAGCCCAGATTATTTAATCTTTATTATTATTACTTTAATTTCATCGTTGTTATTATGCCAACAGTCAAAGAAATTGACATTCAGCACATTCCTCCATGTCAACACTTGGCTTCATACTAAAGAAATGCAGGTAAGTCAATTCAGTAGCTCGTGGCCAGTTCCAGGACTGCATGTCAGACTGACAGCTCTACTGTACCTACCAGCTCGCATGATCTTGTCCCTCTGCTCCAGGAGGCGGTACTTCTCCTCGGCTGTCTCAGCCAGCTGGCCAATCAGGTGGAGGAGGGAGGAGGGCACGGGGCGGTCAGAGCTCTGGCCCTCGGAGCTGCTGTCCTGCTGGGGCTCGCTTTCAAACTGTAGGGACTTGGCTATGGACGGCTTCTTCACTGGTGAGCTGAGAAACGAAGTGTCTTTTTTATATCTGATGTCACATCCTGATGTGCTTAGAGATTAACTCTAGTCACCCACGGCTAGCTAACACCCACAGTTATCCCCCAATTAATAAGCCTCGAGGGATTTCCTAATGTATCTATTATCTTTACAGTATAAGTCGTATGTTTCCACATGTATTTCAGGTTATAAAAGCACTTCACAGAAACTAGAAGTCTGGCCCAGCTAGCTGTGAGGGGCAGCCAAGATTACCTCCTGCTGAGGTTGACGGTGCTGCTGAGGGCAGGGACTCTGGGGAGGGGCTTCCTCAGCGGAGAGGAGGACTGGAAGCCCCCCAGGCTGGTGTCTGAAACCTGGTTGTCCCTGTTGCTTTCTTCCTCCTCTCCCTCTTGGGCTCGATCGCCTTTCTTCCCTGGGCCTGACACAAAGAACACAGAAGGAGTAATACACAGTACACACGAGCGTGCACACACACAATCAATTTCTCAAGAGAGACCGGGTTCAATCAAGGTACATGGAAATACAGGGGCAGCTGATCAAGAGCTTGACAGTGGGCTACTTGTCTGTCAGATGATTTCCCTTAGATAAGCCTATTAATTGAGTACTTAACTAGTAACAGTAATTTGGTCTGTATTATTTGACTTAACTCTGCAAAATAGGAGGATGCGGCCACAAGGACTTACTGTGTTTCTTTCTCTGCCAGAAGAGAAAGATTTCCTGTCTGTGCAGCATTTTGCCCTTCTTCTTTGCCTTTGCTGCTGATGCCTGAAAGGTATCACAGACGTTTGAAAATAAACAAAAAAAAATTCTCTCAGTTAAATTCAGCACAAACATATAATCGAATTGAGAATCCCCAAAAGCGTGTCAAGTCGCCTCTGTTGTCAGTAGAGTGTGTGTACTCACGTGGTCTTGGAAGTGGACGATAGCCAGGTTCTTATGGGGTCGGCAGTAGACCCGGCAGACTTTCCCGAAGCGGCCAAAGTGCTTTTCTATGATGTTCTTTTTGTTGAGACTGGGTGGGACGCTCTTGCACTGGAGGATGGTGGCGTCGGTGGGGGACATGCCCCCCAGGCTGTCCGTGCTCTCCCCGCGCTGCCTTCTCCTAGCTGGGGTCTTGGTCTCAGCGTCTGGGTCGGGCACTTCCAACGAACCTGGAGGAAAAGGAGAGAATAAAATCAGCATGAGAAAATCTGTGATACACATTAAACATAATACTTTAAATTCAGCAAGGCATATGATTTTGGTTAACAGCAAGTAATAGTGTTTTACTTAATTTTCATGATGAGGACTTACCAGTCTCCTCTGCTTTCTCCAGAACCTCTCTGGTGGGGGCCTGAGCCCTGGGAGGAGTAGCAGGTCTGAGACTGATCGGAGCTTGCGTGTCTGCTCTCTCCCCCTCCCCCCATCCTGGAGGCTGCTGCTCCTCCTTCATGGGGTCCCTCCTCACTGAGTTGGCTGCGGATTTCAAAACGCCACTCATGGCCCTGCAGAAGAGTCCACCCATGGGGCCGCGGGAGGACCTCAGGAGAGGCCGCTTCGAAGGGTGTCTGGGTAGGTCAGCTCTGGCTTCAGCTTGGGCGTCCTCTGACTGGGCAGGCTTCCCTGGAGCGGCTTTGGGATTCGCTGGCTCCTCCTTCCGCTTAGTTCCTTTTCCAAGTCTCCCAAACACTGTCACTTCCCTAGTGCTCTCCTCATCGCCAACTTTCTCCTCAGCTGGGGCCTCGTTTTTGAGGTCTCCAAATGTAGAGGTCTGGCCAAAGCTGACTCCTCCGAACAGGGACATCGGGGGCGCGGGCTGGGACTGGAGGACTTTGGTAGAGAAGCTGAAGGAGGAGGGGCTGCTGGGGACCGGGGCTGGTTGGGGGGCGGCGGTGCTGGAGTTGGTGCTGGAGAGAGCAGATGGCTGGGAGAATGTGAACTGCAGGCTCCTTCCGGAGCCTACGCTGCTGGTGAGAGGGTCTTTCTGGGTCAGGCTGGTAGTGGCAATGGAAGCGGAGATGGAGGGGGCCACTGCCGGCTGGGAGAAGCTGAAACCAAGCGGGCCACTCTTGGCTCCGGTCAGGAGAGAGAAGCCTGAGTTGGCCGGTCCACTGCTGTCCTTGGTGCTGAAAGAGGGCTGGGTGGTGGTGGCGCCACCGAAGGGCTGCTCGGATGCAGTGGCGGGCTGAGGATTAGCCAGCTCTGGGCTGGCGCTGAAGATGGGCTTAAACAGCACCTCGTTGGACGGTTTGAAGCTGAATTCTGATGTGCTGAAGCCTCTACTCTGGACGACACTCTGAGCAGTACCAAAGGAGGTGGTCGTGGCGCTGGGCTGCGGCTGGCCAATGGGCGACTGGCCAAAGGCCAAAGGCTGTGCCGACCCTGTGGTGGTGGTAGTGGTGGGGCCAGAGGAAGCCTGGGAGATCCCAGAGGAGAGGCTGAACGCCGGGGTCTGCTGCTGCCCGTATGCAGGTGGCTGCCCAAAGGCAGAGCTCTGTCCAAAAGCAGGCGTCTGTCCAAACCCAGAGCTCTGACTCTGTCCAGTGGCCTGTCCATACGATGGCGGGGGAGCACCACCAAACCCAGAGCTACCCTGCCCCAATGAGGACTGACCAAAGGCTGGAGGCTGACTTATTGAAGAGAATGTCGAGGTCTGCCCTGATGCCTGACCTAGTCCGCCACTTTGCCCAAAAACAGAGCTTTGTCCGAGCGAAGGCGTCTGCCCAAATGCCAGAGACTGACCAAAGACTGACGGCTGACTGAAGGCAGACGGTTGCCCGAATGTTGCGGTTTGCCCAAATGCTACATTCTGTGGAGGGTTGGTGGAGCCCTCCTGTCCGAAGGCCTGGAACATGCCACCAGTCTTGTTAGTGTTGCTGGAGGCCTGGAAAGCTCCTCCCTGCTGCCTCCCAAACAAACTGTTGGGATTCATTGTGGAAATGTCAGTATTGTCTCAATTGTACTCAAGGGCATTCACTTATTCAGTTGCGCTCACAAAAGCCGACCTAGAGGCCAGGCTGCTGCAAGGCATGTTGAGGAAAGTGTGTGTTCCTCCATTTGAAGTGTCTTCAGTGAAGCATCATCGAGTCTGAAAACATGCAAAGTAAACATCAGCATGTTGATGTTATCTAGCTAACATGTTATCTAACGTGGTTTATGGAAACATGTCTTAATGTTATCTGAAAAAGTAACTAATTATGTACACGCAATTCAGCTTCAAAGACTATGCAAACACTTTTATGGCGTACTTTACATGTAACTAGCTAGTTAGCTAACATGTTGTGCCTTGTAAAATGTTAGCTAGCTAACGTTAGTTACATCATGTAAACCTAGCTAGCTAGCTAACGTTTCGCTTGTTAGCACGCTAGCGAATTTACAAGACGTGCTACTTGAAAATGAAGGACATTTATTTGATAACGCTAAAACGTTCGGTTGCTTTAATATAATACAGACGGACTTTACCTTTATATTGTTTCAAACAAGATAGCTAGTGACCTACTTTTTCAGTATTCCCTTATGCTCATGGATTAGAAACTTGCTGACATCCGGTTCCGGTCCAACCTGTTTCGGCTCCCGGTTTCTACATTCTACCCCGGGAAGGATCCGTATGAGAAGAATGCTAGCTAGCTAGAATGTTGCAATTCTTTTTTCAAGCAATATGATATTTTTTCTATATAATAATATATTCGATTTTTATCACTACATCAGCTCTAGAGGACCTTGTAGAATAGTACATATTTGCATTCATAATCTGAAATAAGAAGGCCTTCTACAACTGGAACGACTGAGTCACCTTGATTGAACCAACGAGCATTCGCCGGCTAACAACACGCTAGCTACCTAGGCTATCTGTTTATTGTATGTAGCCATTCGCAATATTTACGACTACTTGATAAAAAAATAATTTCCCTCAGACTTTTTGTAACGTTAGTGACTGGCGTTTTGAAATGGGTGTAGTTCTACGGAATCTCCAGAACGTGGTGCCGCTGCGACGCGCGAGGCTACGGAAGGACGTGGAGACGTTGAGGCACATATTGGGCATCCAAAAATTTGATTTGGGAGTCATTTGCGTGGACAACCGCAAGATTCAACGGATCAATAACATTTATAGGAAAAAGAATATGCCCACGGATGTCCTCTCATTTCCATTCTATGAGGTTGGTATCTAAATTTCCTTCCCAGCATTCACCTGCCACTGCCAAGAGGTCTAGGCTTTTATGGCATGGGTGTTAGTGCACAGCAGGGTCATGGTTCAAGTTGCAGTGGTGGTATGGTCCCCGTCGTCTCTGGCCTCTGTTGGAAGTGTTACCCTGTTCGCAGCATTGGGGTTTGGAGTGGGACGCTTCCAGAGAGAGTGGCCGAATAGACTGTGAAGCCTCCTTGTATGTAAGTGTACTACCTCTGCCAAGAGGCCCAGGCTTTTATGGCACAGGTAGTAGTGCACTTGCCCACAGCACACCCTGTAACCACATGGTCACTGCAGTGCAAGCTTCTATCCTGCTATTCCCCCTAATCGCTGGACCTACGTGTCTTTGCAGTGTGCATACTATGTGAACATTTGGAAATTGAATTTAGGTAAAGAAACAGTGATCAAAGTTTGTTTTGTTTCTAAAGGAACTGAGGCCTGGGAAGCTGCCTTGCCCCCTTTACAGAGATGAACTGAACCTTGGAGACATTTTCTTGGGGGTTGAATACCTGATGAAACAGTGCCAGCAGGAGTCTCAGGATCTTCATGGAACTCTCACAGTGAGCAAACTACTAGTAAAACAGCCACAATGCATGCACAACACACACCCTACAACACAGTAATATCATGCAGCAACAGACATGAAATCACATTTTTTTTTATTATAACCAATTGAAGCCAGGGTCTTTTTGACGGGAGCATAAGAGTGAGGCGGGGAGGCCCACCTTGCCTTTACCATGGTGAAATACTGCAGGATAAATGGTTTGTCCAGTCACTATCATCATGTGATCACCAATCACACGCAAAAGTACAACGAAGTTTCTAGTGAAATACTATTTGCCAGCACACGCCAAATATGGTTCTGGGTCCCAAGATTGATAGACAATTGATTTTTTAAAATTTGTATTACACTACTCACCACTAGCAGTTGCATTAGTGCTTGTTCATTTGACTTTTTTGTCCCCCTTCTCCTTGGCTCAGTCAGTCACTGCTCATGGAATCTGTCACTTGTTGGGTTACAGACATGAAACTGAGGAGGAGTGGAAAGAGGTATGGATGATGATTCAAAGCGCAATGGCTTGGTCCCACTAAGTGCCATATGTCAATGATTGAAAGATCTCCTTTTAACAGTTGTATATCTGTGCTCCTAGATGCTGCAGAAGGAAAGCTACATTCTTAATGAGTTCAACAGATTCACTGGCAGACAGCTGGTGCCTCTGACCAAGAAATGTAGCCAAGACGAGTGACCACCAAGAAGAACCACCTGCAATGGAAGGACTTTGAAATGAATGGACTTAGCATTGAATGGATTTGGAAACTTGCATAGAGGACTCCTTGACCATGAATGAACTGCCTCTTTCCAAGTGATAGCCACAGACCACGTCAGCCTTCTTGTGATTGTTGATGAGCTTTTACCTATGGAACTAGACAGACTACTCTATTTTCACAATCAAACTGCACTACTGACACTGCTCATGACTTGACATTGATGACAATTAATGACATCCAAAACCATTGTTTTAATTCATTTTTATTTTAAAATGCGCTGTAGGAAGTCAAATACTGGAGCCTGAACAAGTAACTAAAAAGCTCAGTCCACTCTGCATTCCATATCAGACACTCATGTCAACATGAAACCCGTTCATTCTCACTTAATGCAAGTAGGAGACCAGAAAATAGCTAGCCAAACCCTAATCTTAGCAAAAAGTAGTCTAAAAGATGTGTATACTGGCCTTGTCAGATGGCGAGAAAAAATAATAAAAAGGTGAGATGAGACATCCGAGCTGGCCATTATAAACAGACCTTTGCTAAAATAAATAGTTAAATCTGTTATGGCCTTATTAAAAGCAAAGCCTATTCGGGATAGCTTACACATGTAATACAGGATTCTGCATTTTGTCAGAGGTTTGAGGAATACATTCTAAACAAAGTGGTTGTGCATCTTTCAAAGTAAAGCGCTTTAGAAAAAGAAATATAAACTACTGGTTCTGTACTGAGAGGCACTAGGGATCCCCTAGGAGCTTAAGCTTATAAAAAAACAAGCTACTTTATTAATGTTTAGCTTGTCAAGGTAATATTGATAAAACATTAATAAAACAGCAACAAACAGTCCATAAGTAAAGCATTGCAAGAAATTGGAGAAAAAACCCCATCCTCAACCAACTCTAGAACAGAATACAAATATAAGCAGAATTGGCAAATCCATGCCACAAAATAAATATTTCACATGTATCTGCTGCATATAGAAGAAAAAAGTACTCCAACCTTAAATTAGCTTTTATTCCAACACAGAATAATACATCTTGATTTGATAGATTATATTGGAAATTAAGTCTGAAACCATACAATCCAAGGATCACCAGCATCTAGCATCTGACACATTCTATCCAAGTTCTTAAATGCATGATATTTAATATCATACGAGTGTGCCAAGAAAAACTATTTCACAACAAGTTATCCAACAAATCACAGAAAATAAAAGTTTAGGTCTAATATCTCTCAGGGTTGAATAAACAAAGAACATAGTAAACTCTTTTCTTTCTTTATTTTGAGTGCGCTGCATGTCTCATTTCTGAATGGACCTGGAGAGAAGAATGTTGGCTGTCTGTGTGCTGACGTCTGAGCCTGACAGAAGCTACCTTGGGCTGTTGTGTTTTGTTTTAAAAAAGAGACAAAGTGCCTGAAGAGGGCAAAATGTGGACGGCGATCAGTAGTACTGGAGAAGGGTTCTCTTTCACCCCAAACCCGACATCTGATGGGGGACAGCTCTGTGCTGTCGGAGTGTGTGTGATTGATGACAGACTGGTGGCTCAGAGGGGCTGCAGGACAGTCCTCCCTGCATCAGAGACTCCTCCACTGGCCCCTATTCTCTCCAGCTCAGACAGCTCCTCAAACACATCCCTGAGGATGGGTGAACATACACAGCAGTCAAGACATCCACACCCATTATAGTGGGTTCCAGTGTACACTACTGGTCAAAAGTTTTAGAACACCTACTCATTCAAGGCTTTTTCTTTATTTTTACTATTTTCTACATTGTAGAATAATAGTGAAGACATCAAAACTATGCAATAACACATATGGAATCATGTAGTAACCAAAAAAGTGTTAAACAAATCAAAGTATTTTATATTTGAGATTCTTCAAATAGCCACCCTTTGCCTTGATGACAGCTTTGCACACTCTTGGCAAAGCTGTTTTGATGTCTTCACTAATAGTAAAAATAAAGAAAAACCCTTGAATGAGTAGGTGTTCTAAAACTGTTGACCAGTAGTGTATATGATACACACAACACCAAGTCAAGCAAATATCTCCTACAATAAGGGAATGTACAACTTTATTTGTATTAATGTTCTACTCTTAAAATCCTCCAGCATTCTTAGAATTACTAGACTGATTTCCCCCCTTATTTTCTTTCTGACATAATAGAACGAAGAGATTTTGATATTTTTTTTTGATTTTTTCAATGCATGAGAGAGGAGGGATTTTGTTCCAGCTTCTGCTCAGTTGCCCATTGGTCTGGGCAGCCCTGCTTACTAGAGCTGGGTCTCGCTCAGCCACCACTGGATTATACTCAGAGACTGGTGTAGTGCATAGTGGCAGGAGGCTGGTGGTTTATTCCTTAGTATAAGAAAACAGGGTTGTATTCAGTAGGGGATACCGTTGCAAAGTGTTTTGCAACTGAAAACAAATATGTTCTTCAGGACAAGTTTCACTGCATTTTCTCCACTGAACACAACCCCGCACTCCATCTGAAGCTGGGAGAGGGACCTTGATGGAAGGGATGAGAAGCATACTCACTTGTGCATGTAGAAGAAGATGTATCCGCTGCGGTCGCGGTCCCTCTGCACCGTGGCCTCCTGCGTGCGCGACACGTCCAGGTCGTTGTAGGTCAGCCACGACTGCTTCTTCATGTCGTACACGTCGCTGATGTAATGGCCTGAGGGTTGGGAGATGGAATTATAGGTTAATATTAGACTACAAGAATCCAGTGTCTGGGGTTCTCATGGTATTGTAATCATATGCTGCCTCAGCTCACACAACCTTATATTTTCATGCTTTACGTTGGTTCACGGATGACTGATAATCTGTGGCTCCTGCTACACAGTAGTGCGTTTTGAGATGCACAGAAATCAGTCACTACCAAAAAATATTAATAACATTCATGTTTCAACATTCATTCAACTTGAACACATTTTTGGGTCCCACAAATAACGGTGCATCTCGTAACACAGCCATATATCTTAGCAGACTGGTCTATAGGCAGGGCAGTGCTTACCAGAGGAGGAGCTGCTCCCGATGTGACTGACTACACTGATCAGCCGGAAGGAATTAGCCAGATCTCCACTCTGGGAACAAGAAAGGAAGAGGTGTTCAGCCGGGCTGTTTCACTCCATTTCAAAACGTTTGTCCCTACTTAATCTCGGACACACAGAACTGAAATCTTGTGTAATTGCGTCAGATGCTCGATTAAGTTTGGGGGGGGGGGGGGGGGAGACACGCGTTAGAAAATATACTAACAAGAATAGTGCCAGTTTCAGGCAAGTCTATTGTCCAAATGTCCCCTTTAGAAATTCGAAAGATGCGAGCACCTGCGAAATCGTGATTTGTCCAAATCATCAGTGACGAGAAATCTGCGTACCAGAACAAAGTTGCTCGTTAGTCGTCGCATCCCAGTCTCTTGAAAGACGCAACTACCATTTATGTTACGTGCATCTGTCCACGAGAGTACTCCCTACTGAACAGGACCCTGGTGAAGGCTGGTTAGCGTGGGAGAGAGGAGGAGGAAAAGGAGAGGCTCTGTACCTCAGCATTCCTCTTCAGGTCCCCAGCCTCTGCTTCGCTGTACTCCATGTCCAGCACCTCCTCGTTCCCAGAGTCCTCGTCTGAACACAGCAGCTCCGGCAACGAGTTGTTGAACTCTGGGAGGGCGGGAGAAACCAGCAGAGGGGATCAAGACATGTGAAAACCACTGATGCGCGCAAACCAGGGGTTGGAACCGGTTCATGGAACAGAACCAAAAACTGAAAAAGAAATGTTCAGAGGAACTGAAACAGAACCAGGAATGAAAGTGATGTCTAGTGTTCCGGAACAGAACCGTTATTTTAAAACCTTGACTATGGGTTACTAACGTTCTTTTTAGCTCCCAAAATATTCCTAATGTCTAGTATATAATTTGGTAATTTTGTTAAGTTAAAATGCTAGTAACAGCCTAAACACATTCCAATTCACATCATGATGTTCAGCGCTTCAAGCCAAGCTCACTCCATGTCCACCATGTTGCCCTCTCCCCACCCGTGAAATTTCAGTCGCATCTCGTGCCTGCACTTATCTGTCCAATCAAACAAGTTAACAACTATTTTACCCGTTCCACGGCAAGCTGCTCTATCGGCTCTAATTCAAATAATGAGCTAAATGTAAAAACAATGTTGATTTCACAGGTTTAAAAAAAATGAATGAAAAGGACCTATTTCAGGGATGGGCAACTGGCCCTCAGATCAACCCCCCCGAACTCCACCCCAACAACGTACTGTTTGGTGCAAGTTAGAATAGTAGAATACACAAGGTGCAATTTCGAAATTTGGTTGTGAGTTAGCAGTTTTTCGCTTATGTCTGTCACTGATAGTCAGTCAATTAGCCAGTGTCAGCTAAATGTTTTTAGATCACCAAGTTAATTTAGCGGCCAGCTATCTAAACTTGTTATCACGGTTGAATTATCGGCCAGGGACCCCCCATTGATTTTGTTAGTCAGTCTCACTCAGATATCATTAAAAACATTTCTCTCCACCCTATGGCAAAATCTGTAGAATTTCAGGAAATTAGTAAAATAAAATTGCTAAATCTTCTCTCCACTCCATGAAAACGTGTAGAATTGCAGCAAACTTGCTTTAAAACTGCAACATTTTCTCTACACCCCATGGCAAAATGTGTAGAATTACACAAAATTAACTCTTAAAACTTAAAATGTCTCTCTGCTGTCAAGAGGGGGGCCACTAAAATGTTTTGCTCGCTGTGTGTGTGTGTGTGTGCGTGTGCGTGTGCGTGTGCGTGTCTGTGTGCGTGTATGGCTGGCAACTACAGCCGCTCATGATGAGTTCTGAGTTTTGGTGGCCCCCACCCCTATCAAAGTTGCCCATCCCTGACCTATATGAACTGCTACTTTCTTGTTGTTGGTTCGAACCGGTTCAGAACTTTTATTTTCTGGTCGGAACACCGGAATGGATTCCAACCCCTGGCGTAAACACACACTACTTTTATTTTGTGAAGCTGAGTATTAGCTTAAGGGGTACCAGTGTCTATGCTGTACCTTGCAGGCTGAGTTCTGTGGCTCTCTTGAGGTCGTCGTCCTCTCTCATCTCTTGGGCTTCCTGTAGGGCATACCACACATTGCAAATGTCACTGAATTGTATCGTGATGGTGCAACAAGGCAGCATTGCTGGATACAGGGTCAAGTAGATTTCGATTTTAGTCATTTAGCAGATGCTCTTATCCAGAGCGACTTACAGTTAAGTTAAGTGAGTGCATACATTTTCATACTGGCCCCCCGTGGGAAACAAACCCACAACCCTGGCGTTGCAAGCGCCATGCTCTACCAACTGAGCTACAGGGGACTACCCTAGTCCCCTGTAGACACCTAGGTGACATTATATAGTGTTGGTGGGTCAGAGCTTAAGACCAGTATTCACCAAAACAAGCTGAAGGAAGATTAGTCTACATTACAAAAACATAGGTGAACCACCAACATCAGGTTTCTCCTACAGCAAAAATGTCAGGGTAGAGCTGTATAGTAGGTCTCTATATGTCCTAGTGTGTGTTGGGAGTCTTACGTGCTCCTGCAGGCTCTGGGCCAGAGCTTGCTGCAGCTCCTGCTCCTCCCGCTCCTGCTCCAGGCTATACTGCTGCACCCAGTCCAGCTCCCCCTGCACCCCCTCGGGTGTCTGGTTTTCCTTGTTCTCGTCCATGGTCAGGTCCAGGGAGTCTAGCACATCTACACACACAGATACACTCTGTTGAGCAAGGGTTGCTGAAACGCACATTTCAAAACAGAGGCTTCTGCATTTGTTTCAAGTCCATGGTCTTCATGACTTAGTATAGGATAGTTCAAGGAAATTACAATTTCACAATGGACATCTAGTAAGTAACTACAGAGAGCTGTTTTGGTGTGTAGTGTCAAAAGATAAATTTGAGTGAACTATCTGTTTAAGGCTACACTTCCCTGTCCCTCCTGGCTGGGGTGTATGTATGTGTGTAGTGGTTACCTGCAGACGGTTTGGTGTCTGTCTCCAGCAGGTCTGGGTGGTAGTTAGTCTCCTGGGCGTCGGGGTCGGCGTCGCCGAAGCCCGTGTCGGGGCTGCTGGTTGGCTCGTCCTCAGGGGCGGGGCAGGAGAGACCAGCGTCCTGACGACTCATCTCTAGCACCACCGCCAGCATCTCCTCATCGTTGATGTCTGACGCGTCTGTATGTTGGACGCCTCGCTGGACCGAAACACACAACCAGAGCCCACCATGTCACACCGGACCTAAACGCAGTATTCTTTCAACCTGGCCCTGCATGTGTCAGTGGTTAAGTTGTAGTGACTCATTTCTCCCTTGGTCCCGCTGGTGCCCTTACCTCCTCTGCTCTGTCGTCAGGCAGACAGTCGCTGAGGCGTCGCTTGCGGCTCACTGCCTTCCGGCTCAGCTCCTCCTCGCTGTCAGAGTCCACCAGGATACTGCTGGAGCTTCCCCCCGCCTTCAGAGACACTTTCCTGGGGGAAGGAAATAAAGACAGTGGTTAGAAGAACCAAACATCTACACCAGTGGTTTTCAACCTGTGGACCGGAGGTACTGCAGGTGGTCCGACATTTTTTGATTTATTTTTAGAATGTATTTTTATAATTCTACGTTACTTTATACAATGCAAACAACAATAATAATACTAATAATATTCATAATAATCATTTAAATCGGTTATATTTACTGATAAAATGTACTCTAAATTTGACCGCCAAGATACTTTATGTTAAATTCCACGATTCCTCAAATGGTGGTCCTCAAGAGTTTGGCGGTGATTTGGTGGTCCCCGGAATGGAAAAGTTTGGGAACCGCTTATCTACACAATGTTCCCATCAAGGAAACATGGAACCTACTGTAAACATGATCGTCCATGGGTTGGAAGTGTGTGGAAGTGATACCATGGTGTTTAAGAGGGGTTGAATGAGTGGCTTACCAAAGTAGTGAGGAGGAGTTCACCGACTGGGAGGCCTTCAGTGTTCGTGACCTGTACAAAAAAACAGGGCGTGGTAGGTTAGAAAACAAAATGTCCACGTGTTGTGCTAAATGTCCAAATAATGTTGTTGAAGACCAGCCTGTGTGGTGACTTTCAAAGAAAATGTCAACAGGGCTCGATATTAACGCTTGTCCGGGACAAAAAAATTATCTGACAAGAAGAATATAGATTTCAGTTGTCCGAATGGACAAGTAAAAGCCCCCACAAAAAATCACAATATCAAACAATTACTCTGATCAGAATTAGATCAGTGTCCTCTGGATGCGATGTACAGTATTTGCTGTTCTCCCAATTTCTGCAGAGCACATTGGAGTAGGATTGTATTGCATTGACAGGCAGAGTGGTATTTCAATAATCCCGGTGGCGAGATGCGCTATTGAGATCAAAGAACAGATCTGTGTGTAGCCACGTGTGCACATTTGTTGATATTCCTTGCCAATTACTGAGTTACATGCACAGTTATAGCACATTTTTGGTCAGCAAACAGGTTTCGTACAGAAAAACCCTGGAAAAGTCATGGGTGTGCATCAGCTGCATGTGTGCCAGTGCGAGTGGGCCAGAGCAGAGAGAGGGAGACATTACAGCAGGTAAGCCTACAAAATAATGACAGACTAACTAGATAGCCAATTCAACACATCTCGGTAGTTAACTATTTAGCTATTATCATGTATTAATGCAATTGTCATGTCCGATGTCCTAAAAACTACGCACCGTCATAACTACAAATGGCAACACGCAGTTGATGAACAGATACGTTAATAAACCAATCCTTACTCCGGTTATAAGTCTCTCCAGTGCCCAATATTGGGAGCTGAGAAATAAATCTGACACCATTGGAAAGCTGGGATTCCCCCCTGTTCAACATTGGTCATGTCATTCTGACCATTTAAAAATATATTTATATAAAATATATATGCTGTCAATAGATCTCCCCTGAAGGGATGTTATCGATAAACAGTTACCTTGCTTTGAAGTAGGCTACTTTAGCCATTTGATTAAAAAATATATATGGCAAGACCTGAAAATGGTTGTCTAGCAATGATCAACAACCAATTTGACAGAGCTTGAAGAATTTTGAAAAGAATAATGGGCAAATGTTTACAATGCAGGTGTGGAACGTTTTTAGAGACTTACCCAGAAAGACTCACAGCTGTAATTGCTGCCAAATGTGCTTCTACAAAGTATTGACTCGGGGATGTGAATATTTATATAAATGAGATATTTCTGTATTTCATTTTAAATAAATGTGCAAACATTTCTAAAAACATGTTTTCACCATGTCATTATGGGGAATTGTGTATAAATTGGTGAGGAAAATAATGTATTTAATCCATTTAGAATTCCGGTTGTAACAAAATGTAGAATAAGTCAAGGGGTATGAATACTTTCTGAAGGCACTGTAATAGGCCTAATAATGATTATAATGCATTTTATTTTGTAAAGTGGTTCCTTGCATCATACAACAATTTTCAGGTACCTTTTTGGCCCAAAGTGTTACAAACCCCCCCCAAACATTTGGAGTACAAAAGTTAATGTCAAGCCCTGGTAAAATGGTATATTATGCAGCAAACGTTGGATAATTTTCACTGTGGGGTGTGTTTCTTACATGGTTCCATGTGCGCTCCAGCCCAGGCTAAGGGGGGGCTGCGTAGTGTCTGTGCAGTGGGACAGCAGCGTGAGGTAGCGGGGGATCATAACCTGCTGGCCCAGCTTACTGTTTAAGGACAGCTGGGCGTTGAAGCTGTAGCGCTTCAGGTGCAGGATAAGAACTCTGGGGAAACGACAGAAAGGAAAGGAATGGATTTAGGGTTCTGGTGAACCTCATACCACTTCCTCATTCACTTTAACATCAGGGCTAAAGATCACAGTTGTAGACACATGGGCATACCTGGGGAGTCGGCTGAATTTATGAGTCACTGTCGCCGCTTTCCTGCTGCACTTTTCACAAGAATACTCGATTTCCTCCATCTGGAATACACATAAACATACATTCAACTCATCTACTTATTATTAGGATTTGGATACTAGGTTGACTGTTTCATTGCCTTTAATGCAGGGGTGTCAAACTCAGTTTGCCCCGGGGGCCGCATTCGGTCTTCAACGAGGTCCGGAGGGCCACACTGAAAACATGTTACATTTCCTTGCTGTCAAAATATGCAAAAAAATAGTCCTCTATCCATCGTTTTTGGAATTTGATGCTCCGACTGTCTAGCTTTCATTTCTGTGATTATTAGCGAGCTACACACAGTCAAGAAACTGTGACTGTAGCTCCATTATCATTTCTTCACAGTTTCAATTTGGTTTTAGTCATTTTAAAGTGTGTATATGTATATATATAAAAAAGTTGGGGTCACCGTATTACTGCCACACAGGAGGTCATGAGTCATGAAGGCAGTCAAATTCCACGTTTAGTCACGTTAATTAGGCTTCTCCAAGCTCTGATGCTGCTGATGGTCATTAGTAGCCTACCAAACTTGATAACTGCCTGGTACTCAGCACTCTATTGTCCCTCTAATCACTAACATCAATGCAAATGTGATCGAAAATCTAACCAAACACTTCATGAGAGCCCATGAGCTCATGTTGCACAACATTTCTATAGGCTATGCAATTGCGCTAGAAAACAGAGTGATGGCTTCTTTAAAAAGAGCAGGATCCCATCAGCTTTCTATAGGCTAGGCCTACTATATTTATATCTCAACTTCCCTAATATTAAGCACATTGCTTGTCTTTACAACAGGAGTATAGCCTACCTGGCTGGCATGAAAATGAACCACGGTCAAAAGCGTCCTCCATTTGCTATTTAAATGCATAGATGACATGTATTTTTTCCCCCGCCCCTGTTTCGAGACAGGTGCTTGATAATGGTCCATTCTAAATCAAAACAAATTTCACATTTTATTTAGTATATGTGAAGACAAGATTAAATCAAGAATAGTCTGATGGGTGACAATATTAGCCTATCAATTGTGAATTATATATTAATCACTTGTGAATGACGCCCAGCGTAAGGAAAGAAACAATGCATCCCGTTTTTCTGCGACTTTTTCAAATCAGTCCCACACCTCATGTATCCTAGCCCATAGGTCTATATGTTTGGTAAAGTTTGTATCACAACTAAAGTGGCCAAATAACTAAAATTAAGCACATTAATCCGCTTTACAATGGGTGTAGAGCAGGACTGCCCAACCCTGTTCCTGGACAGCTACTGTCCTGTAGGTTTTTGCTCCAACCCTAATCTAGCACACCTGATTCTAATAATTAGCAGGTTGATAAGATTAATCAAGTTAGCCACACCTGGGGTTGGAGCGAAAACCTACAGGAGGGTAGCTCTCCAGGAACAGGGTTGGGAAACCCTGGTGTAGAGCCTAACTGGCATACATACGCAGTGAGAGTTTCAAGTTTGGGGAAGACAATTTTCACCATAAAAATGCACCTTTATAATAAAAGCATTACATGCATAATAGCATTTGCGGTCACTTTTGATAATGGTGTTTTCTGCTAATGGAACATTCCTGCTTATAGCCTACTGCCATGTGCGTATTGCTGTGCTTATGATGTGAAGAAATAGACTAATAGTTTATCAACATTTTAAGCTAAACGTTCTGATCTGTTGCGTCAGCCTCATTGCGTAAAAAATGTTTTTTGATGGTAGTGGTTGTATTAATTTGAGATCTATCGCATCTCACAACTGTCCCAGACTATGTTTGTAATATTTTATTTCTCGCACAGAATAGGTCAACTTTTGTACTATGGGGGATAGTAGATTGACATAGGCTAGTGCTTTTGCTGTTCATTAGGCATACTCATCTTGTTGGCTGACGAAAAGTAAATGTGGACAGTTCTTCCAATATCTTCACGCGCGCCCCCAATGTGTCTGTCTTCACTTGTAGCCTGTGAGAAAGACCCGATCATGTGACAGATAGCCATGCGAGTGAGAAGTGCTTCGGAGCACGCAGGGAGAAGGAAATTAAAAACATATAGCCCAACATTTGTATCACAACTAAAGTTAAATAAATAACTCTAAATGAAGCATACAGGAGTACCTGTTTCTTTGTTAACCGCTCAACACAGAATAGCCGCATGTGCGCACTCCCTCAAATCGTTTGGAGAAAATATCCTTTCTAATTTTATTCAGCTTTGTTCAATTATATTCTTCATACTATAAAATAATGCCACGGAATTCTAAACAAATCTGGTCTGCTAAATGAGTATAGCCCACAGCCATATCGCATAGCCAGATCAGGACCTAATATAAGGACAACTCAAGAGTATGCTATTCTGTTCTTCTGAAATAGACTACATTTTCTTCATATAATTTCTTTAGACATGTCTAAAATAAATAATGGATTTATTGTGAAGGTGAAGGCTATATTACATGGATTTATTATACTTTTTTAAATGTAGATGTTTTCCCAAAAGGTCTGCATAAGTGGCTTGTAGGCTATTGGTGGAAGCCAGGAGATGCTAAATGCGTTTGTTAATGAACGGTCAATTACCGTGAGACTGGCAGTTATTTGCTTGACAATCCCCGGCTGACGAAATTTCATGACCGCCACAGCCCTAGTTGATATACAGTATATTTGGACAGGAGCTAGCCTTGTGGTTTGTGGGGACATAGGATTGGTGGTTTGTGGGGACAGTGGACACACACCCTGAAGAAGAGGTCCAGAGAGTCCTGGATGGACCGGAGAGGGATGGTCTTCTTCCTGCGAGGCAGGTCAATGGACAGGTCGTTGAACTGCTCCCGCTTGGTCACCACTTCTCCACAGCTGAAACCACACACACAATAGCACAACCTTTGTTATGATTTGTTATTAATGACATTCAGTCTGTCTTTATGACAACTTCATATGCTTAGGAAAGGTAATACCACAAAGGCTAAAGGAATGGACTCTTAAAAGCTAAATCTTTGACGTCTAACACACGTCCATTATTTTATTCACCATCAGGGAAGAGATGTACCACCCAGAAATCCACAGTCTGAGAAGGGGATGACTCACTCACCCTTTGCAGGTGATGGTGTGCTGCACCTCAAACTCCATGTTGACCACCACGGGACAGGTGTAGGTGCGTGAGGTGTCCGCCTCCTCCCCAGGCCTGACTGCGGCCGCCTGCTGGGGGGGCTCGTCCCACGCCGCTGAGTCGCTCTTCCAGCTCTTGTTCACCTTCTCCATGTCCTCCTTCAGCTGGTCCAGGCACTGGCTCAGGAACTCATGGGCGTCCTGGAGGGAGGGGGGGGGGGTTAGTATACAGAGCCACAAAAGAGCCAAATTGGTTGTGGTGCAAATATTGTAGGTCTTACGTTCTGCATGTATCCAGAGAAGCGCTCGGCCGTGGAGGAGATGGCACTTTTCACTCTCCTCAGCAGGTCTTTCTTTACCTCGGGGCACGAGATGTCCTTCTTGGCCAGCAAGTGGGCAAAACGTCTGCACGCACAACAGAGAGGCGGGTCAGTGAGGGTGCAGGGCAGGTACACAAGTCAGCTGAGCAGTTTGAGAAATATCGAGTCATAGCCATGAAATCACTAAGCCACCTAAACAAAAAAAGCTTTTAAAAGGGTGCATCCCTTGTAAAAGTGGAAATATTTTCAACAGTGTTTAAGAGGAAGAGAAACAAGATGACAGTTGAGGAATTGATCGAACGAGTGACAGTTTCCTATATTCAGTTCTGGGGTTAGTTGTGTAGTTCAGTTGGTAGAGCATGATGCTTGCAACGCCAGGGTTGTAGGTTCGATTCCCACGGGGGACCAGTACAAAAATGTGTGCACTCACTAATGTAAGTCACTCTGGATAAGAGCATCTGCTAAATGACTAAAATGTAAAAGAGGGTGACTGCAGTGTAACAGTAGGCTACCTGAGCAAGGCGTTGGAGGGGACCTTCTTCCATGGGATTCCCTGCTTCAGCAGGTCATTGGAGAACGACGGCAGGCTGAAGAGAGACTGCAGGATGGCGTTCATGTAACACGTGTTGCCCAGGTTGGAGAATCTGCAGCAAAGAGGTTAGAGAAAATTTAAGTCATACTCCATTTCTGTACCACCACTACAACCACTGGAGAAAATACATGTTTTCAATTGAAAGTGTCTGTTTCGGCACATTAGGGCTGTAAGCGACAAAAAAAAGAATCTTGGTCGACCGAAATGTCTCTGTCCATATTGGACACACCCTGTGTGTTTTAATAAAATCAACTAAACTCAGCAAAAAATAAACGTCCTCTCACTGTCAACTGCGTTTATTTTCAGCAAACTTAACATGTGTAAATATTTGAATGAACATAAGATTCAACAACAGCCATAAACTGAACAAGTTCCACAGAAATGGAATAATGTGTCCCTAAACAAGGGGGGGGGGGGTCAAAATCAAAAGTAACAGTCAGTATCTGGTGTGGCCACCAGCTGCATTAAGTACTGCAGTGCATCTCCTCCTCATGGACTGCACCAGATTTGCCAGTTCTTGCTGTGAGATGTTACCCGACTCTTCTACCAAGGCACCTGCAAGTTCCCGGACATTTCTGGGGGAATGGCCCTAGCCCTCACCCGCCGATCCAACAGGTCCCAGACGTGCTAATGGGCTTGAGATCCGGGCTCTTCGCTGGCCATGGCAGAACACTGACATTCCTGTCTTGCAGGAAATCACGCACAGAACGAGCAGTATGGCTGGTGGCATTGTCATGCTGGAGGTTCATGTCAGGATGAGCCTGCAGGAAGGGTACCACATGAGGGAAGAGGATGTCTTCCCTGTAACGCACAGCGTTGAGATTGCCTGCAATGACAACAAGCTCAGTCCGATGATGCTGTGACACACCGCCCCAGACCATGACGTACCTTCCACCTCCAAATCGATCCCGCTCCAGAGTACAGGCCTCGGTGTAACGCTCATTCGACGATAAACGTGAATCCGACCATCACCCCAGGTGAGACAAAACCGCGACTCGTCAGCGAAGAGCACTTTTTTGCCAGTCCTGTCTGGTCCAGTAACGGTGGGTTTGTGCCCATAGGCAACGTTGTTGCCGGTGATGTCTGGTGAGGACCTGCCTTACAACAGGCCTACAAGCCCTCAGTCCAGCCTCTCTCAGCCTATTGCGGACAGTCTGAGCACTGATGGAGGGATTGTGCGTTCCTGGTGTAACTCGGGCAGTTGTTGTTGCCATCCTGTACCTGTCCCGCAGGTGTGATGTTCGGATGTACCGATCCTGTGCAGGTGCTGTTACCCGTGGCCTGCCACTGCGAGGACGATCAGCTGTCCATCCTGTCTCCCTGTAGCGCTTAGGTGTCTCACAGTATGGAAATTGCAATGTATTGCCCTGGCCACATCTGCAGTCCTCATGCCTCCTTGCAGCATGCCTAAGGCACGTTCACGCAGATGAGCAGGGACCCTGGGCATCTTTCTTTTGGTGTTTTTCAGAGTCAGCAGAAAGGCCTCTTTAGTGTCCTAAGTTTTCATAACTGTGACCTTAATTGCCTGGGGGGGGGGGGGGGGGGGGGGGGGAATTCAAAGCTGACATATGGAATTGGTTTAAGATGGTCACACTATGGATCATTTAGCTATTTGATTTTGAATTTTAAAGGGCCCCTTTAGGTATCCTAACATTTTTCATATTTTTATATTTGATGAAATCTTGAATTTAGCCCAGAGAACTGCATTGAGTAACACATCCATAAATTGCAAAGAGAGTCAAAAAATAAATCATAAGAAACAAGGTTTTGAAGTGTTTGTCCTATATCTGGGATATATAAGAAAGCTCATGATATACAGTGCCTTCGGAAAGTATTCAGACCCCTTGATCTTTTCCAAATTTTGTTAGGTTACAGCCTTATTCTAAAATTAATTAAATTGTTGTTTCCCTCAAATCGACACACAATACCAACATGTTTCAAGCAGACCACCATAGTTCCCATGCCCAAGGACACCAAGATAACCTGCCTAAATGACTACCGACCCGTACCACTGACGTCTGTAGCCATGAAGTGCTTTGAAAGGCTGGTCATGGCTCACATCAACACCATTATCCCAGACACCCTAGACCCACTCCAATTTGCATACCACCCCAACAGATCCACAGATGATGCAATCTCTATTGCACTCCACACTGCCCTTTCCCACCTGGACAAGAGGAACACCTACTTGAGAATGCTATTCATTGACTACAGCTCAGCGTTCAACACCATAGTGCCCTCAAAGCTCATCACTAAGCTAAGGATCCTGGGACTAAACACCTCTCTCTGCAACTGGATCCTGGACTTCCTGATGTGCCGCCCCGAGGTGGTAAGGGTAGGTAACAACACATCTGCCACGCTGATCCTCAACACGGGGGCCCCTCAGGGGTGCGTGCTCAGTCCCCTCCTGTACTCCCTGTTCACCCATGACTGCATGGCCAGGCACGAATCCAACACCATCATTAAGTTTGCCGACGACACAACAGTGGTAGGCTTGATCACCGACAACGATGAGACAGCCTATAGGGGGGAGGTCAGAGACCTGGCCGTGTGGTGCCAGGATAACAACCTCTCCCTCAACGTGACCAAGACAAAGGAGATGATTGTGGACTACAGGAAAAAAAAGAGGACTGAGCACGCCCCCATTCTCATCGACGGGGCTGTAGTGGAACAGGTTGAGCGCTTCAAGTTCCTTGGTGTCCACATCACCAACGAACTATCATGGTCCTAACACACCAAGACAGTCGTGAAGAGGGCACGACAAAGCCTATTCACCCTCAGGAGACTGAAAAGATTTGGCATGGGTCCTCAGATCCTCAAAAAGTTATACAGCTGCACCAGAGAGCATCCTGACTGGTTGCATCACCGCCTGGTATGGCAAATGCTCGGCCTCCGACCGCAAGGCACTACAGAGGGTAGTGCGTACGGCCCAGTACATCACTGGGGCAAAGCTTCCTGCCATCCAGGACCTCTATACCAGGCGGTGTCAGAGGAAGGCCCTCAAAATTGTCAAATACTCCAGCCACCCTAGTCATAGACTGTTCTTGCTACCGCACGGCAAGCGGTACCGGAGCGCCAAGTCTAGGTCCAAAAGGCTTCTCAACAGCTTCTACCCCCAAGCCATAAGACTCCTGAACAGCTAATCATGGCTACCCGGACTATTTGCACCCCCACCCCATCTTTTTACGCTGCTGCTACTCTGTTAATTATTTATGCAGTCACTTTAACGCTACCCACATGTACATATTACCTCAACTAGCCGGTGCCCCCGCACATTGACTCTGCACCGGTACCCCCCTGTATATAGCCTACCTACTGTTATTTTACTTCTGCTCTTTTTTCTCAACACTTTTGTTGTTGTTGTTGTTTTATTTTACTTTTTTATTAAGAAATAAATGCATTGTTGGTTAAGGGCTTTAAGTAAGCATTTCACGGTAATGTCTACACCTGTTGTATTCGGCGCATGTGGAAAATAATGATTTGATTTGAGAGTTTTTAGGTGCCTTTAGGAAAACTCCAAGTGGGCTGTCATGTGCCTTTTACTGAGGAGTGGCTTCCATCTGGCCACTCTACCATAAAGGCCTGATTGGTGAAGTGCAGCAGAGATGGGAGAACCTTCCAGAAGGACAACCATCTCCACAGAGGAACTCTAGAGCTCTGTCAGAGTGATCATCGGGTTCTTGGTCACCTTCCTGATCAAGGCCCTTCTCCTCCGATTGCTCAGTTTGGCAGCCAGCTCTAGGAAGAGTCTTGGTGGTTCCAAACTTCTTCCATTTAAAAATGGAGGCCACTGGGTTCTTAGGGACCTTCAATGCTGCAGAATTGTTTGGTTCCCTTCCCCAGATCTCTGCCGAGACACAATCCTGTCTAGGAGCTCTACAGACAATTCCTTCGACCTCATGGCTTGGTTTTTGCTCTGACATGCACTGTCAACTGTGGGATCTTATATAGACAGGTGTGTGCGCCTTTCCAAATCATGTCCAATCAATTGAATTTACCACAGGTGGACTCTAATCAAGTTGTAGAAACATCAAGGATGATCAATGGAAACAGGATGCATCTGAGCTCAGTTTTGAGTCTCATAGCAAAGGGTCTGAATACTTACAGTACCAGTCAAAAGTTGACACACCTACTCATTCCAGGGTTTTTCTTTATTTTTTACTATTTTCTACATTGTAGAATACTAGTGAAGACATCAAAACTATGAAATAACACATATGGAATCATGTAGTAACCAAAAAAGTGTTAAACAAATCAAAATATATTTTATATTTGAGATTCTTCAAATAGCCACCCTTTGCCTTGATGACAGCTTTGCACACTCTTGGCATTCTCTCAAAATATAATAATATATTGAATGCATTAACAGAAATTACCATAACCAAACTAATTATAGGAATTAACGGTAAATGTACTACTGGTGACATATGTAATGGGGAATTGATAAGACACTAACAATCAACCGCAAACAATTCACATAATGAAGTTATGAAACAATGAATGTGTACAAATTGGCAGGAGAGAGCACATTCTGGAGAGAGACGTGCATTGTGCATCTTAGCCACACTCCCCTTCTTCTTGGACTGTGCCATCCCCTTGGCCTCGCAATTAATTAGTCTCGGCGTCCATAATGGATTACTTCACTGAGATGGGCGCGAATAAGCCATGTGTCTCGTGTGCCATAAAAAAATATATATTTGCAACTGCTCGACAGAAAAAAAATATTGGTCGACCAACAGCCTATCGACCAAACAATCGACTAATTGGGGTCAGCCATATGGCACATTCATAATGACCATTAACTGATCTAGTAAATCACACATTTCTGGTAGTTGGGGAGCACTAGAAAAGCCCCTCATTGACTACGGAGGTTAACTTTAGAATCATCAGTATAACCCTGGGATGTCTCCTTACCCTTGCAGTGGAGGCTGGGGCTGGGCCAGAGTGGATGGTCTCGGCTTGTTCCAGCCACCGTAGTCCAGCGTGGGGCGCACTTTCTTGAAGGGGGTCGAGTGATTGGGTAACATGAGACTTCTCTTAGCCGAGGTGGTCGGGGATGTACTGGATGGCCTGCGGAGGGGATGACAAATGTTGAAGAAGTCAAGGTGTGGCAGCATCTTAATGATGCATACAAATGTTATCTTAACATCCATGGGACAACCAGGTTAAATTAAGGTGAAAAAAAAAAAATACGTACCTGTCTAGAAAGGAGTGACTCATGGAGTAGTCTTTGGTCACTGATCGGCTGCCGTAGAATGACGTGGGCTGAAGTGGCGCTGGGACCATTAAAACTGGTGGGGAAGGTAGACAGTTATCACAGGGCGACTAGAGACGGCACTGTTCTAGTCTGGAGAAGGTCATCTCAGTCTGACGAGGGCTTACCTGAGCAGCGGTTCTCCTCTGCCTGTTTCAGCTTGTCTTTGCAGCTCAGCAGAAACTTCCTGGAGGGGTCTGACATGGTCTTGTTGTTGCTGAGATACAAGAAACAGTTTAAATTCACTGGTGTACAACTCTGCCCTACAAAGGCAAAATGCAGCAACAGCAAATTTGGTCAAAAAGCTTTGATCTGTAGTAATGGCAGTTTCCCCTTTACGCCAAACCGCGCTGCTAAATCATGGCCGCCACTGTAAAAAATAAATAAAATGTATAATTTCAAGGAAGACCCCCCCCCCCCGCTAGAATCCCCCAAGCCGCCATTTGACACAAGCCTAAATTGACAGGAAGAGAGGTGAAATCAACCCTTTGCTTGGTAAAGTAACATTGTCATACCTGGATGAGTCATTCTCCTTGGGGTAGTCCTCAGTCAGGTCACTGTCAGAGGTGAGGTGTCTCTTCCTCTTCTCAATCCTTAAGGGGCAAAAGATGGTTCTGATGATGATGAATATGAAGTAGACACACTTTGAAATGTCCCTTTAAGAGTGGTTATGAAACCAATGAACACACGAAGACTAAAGCCACTGTCAAATGAAGAAATGCAATCTCAGGGGAGAGGCTAGCGAGGCAGGAGAGTGCTGGAAGAGGTTGCGTTGGGATTCTCTACCGCTCACCCAGAAGTATGCACTCGTTCACAGCCCCTCGTGAATTTAAAAGCATTGGATTGGCGCAAGCATGACTTAACTGAGTTTTACCATATTCATAAAACCAGTCCAATCCTTATCAATCAATAAGGGGGGGAAAGTATGAGTGTAGAATCAGGACGCAGCCAGTGTGTGATACTTTATCTACCTGGATGGTTGGTGTGTTGGCTTGCCTACCTGTTCTCAGACAGCCCACTGCGGGAAGGTGTGGAGGTCACTCTGCTGGGGCTGCCCAGGGGCTTGCGGGGCGTCGTCTCCTCCCGGTTGTCCACACTGGGTCGTCTGGGTGTTGTCTGAAACAGAGCCAGAGTTTAAGTAAGCTTTTCAGAAAAGCAAAAACCAGGAGCAGTGTGGTTGTAAATGACAAGTACTTTCTTACAGCAACTCTTTACCTGTCGTTCTCCAGGTGGGCTAATCTCATTCTTTACGGATCGATTCCCGAGCACACTGAAGCTTGCACTTCCCTGGGAAGTCTTTAGAACTACAAGAAAACAACACTTATTGTCTAACAGAAGGACACCAGTTCCACAGTAAATCATGCAACTTCTTTGAAACAGTTAATGATCTACTATCATGTGGTCCTCTGTAGCTCAACTGGTAGAGCACGGCGCTTATAACGCCAAGGTAGTGGGTTCGATCCCCGGGACCACCCATACACAAAAATGTATGCACGCATGACTGTAAGTCGCTTTGGATAAAAGCGTCTGCTAAATGGCATATTATTATTATTTATTATTACAAGTTCCAATAGATTGTTACCTGTTGGTTTTCCCTGCTTCAGCTTCTCAAGGTATTCTTTCATTTTCTCAGCCACAGCAGTGGGAATTCTCTCAAGGGTGACTACGCTGCCATCCTTAAGAGACACCACAATTCGTTTCATAGTGTGCATGGTCTGCATCACGACTTTCTTCACATTATGGTTGAGCTGAAAGCATAGACACATATAAATCAACATATACTAGAGATGTGCATCTTTCCCTTTCAAGACGATTTGATACATGGGCTCCGATTAGGGATGTTACGTTTCACCGAGGGGCATCAATGATACAAGTGCATCGGTCCAAGAGACCCAAAACGATCCAAATGTAGCATGCATCGGTCAGAAAATCGATTCAAAAGTTAAGAATCGTCGGTTCATAAAAATGTTTTGCTCATATAACATTCTTTCCACCTTCCGAAAATACCTCATATTTTGTGACAACCGATGTGTCCTCTCCTTCAGTGATGAACTGCATGTATACTACCGGTCAAATGTTTTAGAACACCTAGTCATTCAAGGGTTTTTCTTTCATTTTTACTATTTTCTACGTTGTAGAATAATAGTGAAGACATCAAACCTACGAAATAACACATATGGAATCATGTAGTACCCAAAAAAGGTGTTAAACAAATCAAAATATATTTTATAATTGAGATTCTTCAAATAGCCACCCTTTGCCTTGTTGACAGCTTTGCACACTCTTGGCATTCTCTCAACCAGCTTCACCTGGAATGCTTTTCCAAAAGTATTCTCACATATGCTGAGCACTTGTTGGCTGCTTTTCCTTCACTCTGCATTCCGACTCATCCCAAACCATCTCAATTTGGTTGAGGTCGGGGGATTGTGGAGGCCAGGTCATCTGATGCAGCACTCCATCACTCTCCTGCCTGGTCAAATAGCCCTTACACAGCCTGGAGGTGTGTTGGGTCATTATCCTGTTGAAAAACAAATGATAGTCCCACTAAGCCCAAACCAGATGGGATGGCGTATCACTGCAGAATGCTGTGGTAGCCATGCTGGTTAAGTGTGCCTTGAATTCTAAATAAATCACAGACAGTGTCACCAGCAAAGCACCCCCACACCATCACACCTCCTCCTCCACGCTTTACGGTGGGTAATACACATGCAGAGATCATCCGTTCAAGGTTGGAACCAAAAATCTCAGATTTGGACTTCAGACCAAAGGACACATTTCCACCGGTCTAATGTCCATTGCTCGTGTTTCTTGGCTTAAACAAGTACCTTCTTATTGGTGTCCTTTAATAGTGGTTCTTTGCAGCAATTCGACCATGAATGCCTAATTCACACAGTCTCGCCTGAACAGTTGATGTTGAGATGTGTCCGTTACTTGAACTCTGTGAAGCATTTATTTGGCCTGCAATTTCTGAGGCTGGTAAATCTAGTGAACTTATCCTCTGCAGCAGAGGTAACTCTGGGTCTTCCATTCCTGTGGTGGTCCTCATGAGAGCCAGTTTAATCATAGCGCTTTATGGTTTTTGCGTCTGCACTTGAAGAAACTTTCAAAGTTCTTGAAATGTTCTTTATTGACAGACCTTAAAAGTAATGATGGACTGTTGTTTCGCTTTGCTTATTTGAGCTGTTCTTGCCATAATATGGACTTGATCTTTTACCAAATAGGGATATCTTCTGTATACCCCCCCTACCTTGTCACAACACAACTGATTGGCTCAAACGCATTAAGGAAAGAAATTCCACAAATTTACTTTTAAGGCACACCTGTTAATTGAAACGCATTCCAGGTGACTACCTCATGAAGCTGGTTGAGAGAATGCCAAGAGTGTGCAAAGCTGTCATCAAGGCAAAGGGTGGCTATTTGAAGAATCTCAAAATATAAAATATATTTTGATTTGTTTAACACTGTTTTGGTTACTACATGATTCCATGTGTTATTTCATAGTTTTGATGTCTTCACTATTATTATACAATGTAGAAAATAGTAAAAATAAAGAAAAACCCTTGAATGAGTAGGTGTTCTAAAACTTTTGACCGGTAGTGTAGCTGTGTTCAGTCATTGATCTACAAGTCATTTTGCATGCTGAACAACCCCAGGCAATATCAGTAGCCTAGTAAAATAGCAAACAGACCCACCCAACTACCTCATCCCCATATTGTTATTTATTTTGCTCATTTGCACCCCAGTATCTCTATTTGCACATCATCTCTTGCACATCTATCATTCCAGTGTTAATACTAAATTGTAATTATTTTGCACTATGGCCTATTTATTGCCTTACCTCCATAACTTGCTACATTTGCACACACTGTATATATATATTTTCTGTTGTATTTTTGACTTTGTTTTGTTTACCCCATATGTAACTCTGTGTTGTTTTTTAATCGCACTGCTTTATCTTGGCCAGGTCGCAGTTGTAAATGAGAACTTGTTCTCAACTGGGTTATCTGGTTAAATAAAATGAGGTAGGCAGCCTGTTCCTGGCTCTGTCAAGTTGGATGGGGAGCGTCGCTGCACAGCTATTTTTAGGTCTCTCCAGAGATGGTTGATCGGGTTCAAGTACGGGCTCTGGCTGGGCCACTCAGAGACTTGTCCCGAAGCCTCTCCTGCGTTGTCTTGTCTGTGTGCTTCGGGTTGTTGTCCTGTTGGAAGGTGAACCTGCGCCCCAGTCGGAGGTCCTGAGCACTCTGGAGCAGGTTTCCATTAAGGATCTCTCTGTACTTTGATCCATTCATCTCTCTCCTCAATCCTGACTAGTCTCCCAGTCCCTGCCGCTGAAAAACATCCCCACAGCATGATGCTACCACAACCATGCTTCATCGTAGCGATGGTGCCAGGTTTCCTCCAGACGTGACGCTTGGCATTCAGGCCAAAGAGTTCCATTTTAGTTTCATCAGACCAGAGAATCTTGTTTCTCATGGGTCCTTTAGGTGCCTTTTGGCAAACTCCAAGCGGGCTGTCATGTGCCGTTTACTGAGGAGTGGCTTCCGTCTGGCCACTCTACCATAAAGGCCTGATTGGTGGAGTGCTGCAGAGATGGTTGTCCTTCTGGAAGGTTCTCCCATCTCCACAGAGGAACTCTGGAGCTCTGTCAGAGTGACCATCGGGTTCTTGGTCACCTCCCTGACCAAGGCCCTTCTACCCCGATTGCTCAATTTGGCTGGGCGGCCAGCTCTAGCAAGACTCTTGGTAGTTCCAGACTTCTTCCATTTAAGAATGATGGAGGCCACTGTGTTCTTCGGGACCTTCGATGCTGCAGAAATGTTTTGGTACCCTTCCCCAGATCCCTGCCTCAACACAATCCTGTCTCGGAGCTCTATGGACAATTCCTTCGACCTCATGGCTTGGTTTTTGCTCTGACATGCACTGACAACTGTGGGATCTTATATAGACAGGCGTGTGCCTTTCCAAATCATGTCCAATCAATTGAATTTACCACAGGTGGACTCCAATTAAATTGTAGAAACATCAAGGATGATCAATGGAAACAGGATGCACCTGAGCTCAATTTCAAGTCTCATAGCAAAGGGTCTGATTACTTATGTAAATAAGGTATGTGTTGTTTATTTGTAATACATTTGCTAACATTTCAAAAAAACTTTGCGCTTTGTCATTATGGGGTAGTGTGTAGATTGATGAGGAAACATTTTTATTTAATCAATTTTAGAATAAGGCTGTAACATGACAAAATGTGGAAAAAGTCAAGGGGTGAGAATACATTCCGAATGCACTGTACATTTGAATCAGGGACCGATGTGTATCGGTGAATCGTTACATCCCTAACATATACCTTAAAAGACAGTATTAACATACTGTATCTCAGCTTTTTAAGTCCAATGTAATCATGCCATTTTGTTAGGTGAATGAGCACACATAGGGAAAACTATTACCTGGAAACTTTTGAGAGCACCACCGGCATTGAACTTCAGGCACAGGTTGACTTTGTTATCTTTCTCAAGAACCTCAAAGGTCCCCTCCTTCCATCGAGTGGTGCCCACGTCTATGCTGTTGTAGCGTATTTTGACAACGCTACCGCTGGAGAGCTTGGGCACTGCGGCTGCCATTGGTGACCGTCAGGCTCTCCAAATAAACCTAATGGAAGGGAAAAGTAGATTTTGTGCAAACAAGGACATATTATTTAAATTAGGCTTGGGCGGTATACTGTATACCGGGGTATTTGGAAATTGCCACGGGATGGCTTTTCAATACCGTCAAAACGATTTATTTGATTTTTGTAATTATACATTTTGAATATTTGTAGCTACTTAAGTAAATACCTGCAGTCAACTTCAGCAATACGATAGGAGATAAAGATTACCAGTAGTCCTCAGTCACGTTGGATTTGTTTACAAGCACACAACGACGAGAGACCGGAGCCTTGTGAGACACTTACTGTCTGATGTGCAGCACATGCCAGGTGATCTAGTTACAGTATGGAATTTTGCCAGCTAGATATCTTATAAGTTAACTGTCTAAAAGGTGCTAAATGTTCTGCAGGTGTGCATTTGGTTTGCTAATTTAGTAGCTAGTTAGCCATCTAGCTTCTTGCAAAATCAAGCTTTGCTTGGTAACAGCAGAGAATCCCAACCTGGATCAAGAGCCTTGCTGTCAAATATTTGTTTTGTGCATGCAGCAAACTGAGTAGCATTTTTAAGATACTTGTATAACTTTGAGCTGGGATGTCTGTCCTGCAAATAGATTAGGTCAGAGACAGTATAAAATGTTCGCAATGCGTTCGTTAGCATTTAGTTTGCATTCACTATGGGAATTTACATGTACATGTTAGCATGGCTAACCTTCGGATCTCAGAGGCTCAGTGGGGTTTGAAAATAGTGCCCCTTGTGTTCAGTGCCAGTATTACAGAATATCCCAGGATGTTATAAGGTTGGTATGAAGGTATGACAATCTGGATACCGCCCAAGACCACTTTAAATATATATATTTAAAACATTTTTTAGAGCACTAGTAAGAGAGCAGCAACTGAGTCGTCCAGTAACTTTTAACACATTGTTGCCGCAACAAACAGTTTCCTGTCCAATGGGTAAGTCTGGTTTGAAAGGGAACACTATGCCAAAATACATCAATTAAATAATATACAGTGCAGACAGGTGAACGTGACCTGGGCCAATTTTCCAAGCTGTAAAATGAAATGTTCTGCTTATGTCTGGTCACATGGTGTTCATTGACAAATAGGTTTGCTTGATGCAATTTCATTTTCAACCTAATCAGGGAGGGGCTCACTTGTTCCCAGAATTGCAAGTAAATTATTGGGAAGCTCTAATAGGCAGGGAAGTGTAAGTGTTGCATTATCCACAACAATCAAAGGTATTGTTCACGCATGACCCGTTGGTCTGCAGTGTATTATGGCAAGCATCCTTAGCCACTTGGTTAAACTTAGCTAGCAAGCAAGCAACATAGCTTGATAGAGGGGGAACTAACGTTAGTTAGCTATAATTTATGAACTGGCATAACGATGCTTAGCTAAGTATGCCCCCATTGCATATGACAAATAGCCATGTTCAGAGATTCAACCTTATCTAAAGGGATCTCCCCAAAGAATGTAAGAGGGGCACTGCGCCACCTTGTGGACTTACATAGTATATTCTATTAGACGAGGGACGAAAAAAACATACCAGTGGGCATAGTGGGACAAGAAAGCAAGTAAGACGGTAACAGCAAAAGCAAGCCAGCACGATGGTATGTGTTGCTATGGTGATTTCAGTAAATAAACATCACAAATCAACATCTGGTAGAAAACAACGCTACGGTATATGGCAAAAGTAAAAATATTTTAACAGAAAAAAGAATGTTGCCTGCGCTACAGACGTCTATATCGGTCCACTAGTACAGGACTAGTAATGGCCCAGTGCACCATTTTTTTTTTCTTCAGGTGGTGCTACAGCACCAATCAGCACCCCTACTTCCCCCGGCTATGCGGTTTGCAGTCTGCCTCTTACCATGTAAACGCAGCATTAGAGATGTCTACTATGAGTATGAGGGGTCTCCGCTCTAACCCACAAGAAGCTCAGATTCAAACTCCCATTACACCATATGTCCATTTCATGCACATGTGCTTCGCAAGGCTGCAGAAAGGTTTGCAGCATGGAGGTGGTCATTTTCGTTGTCTCTGGGTTAATTTTCATGTCATTTAGCAGACGCTCTTATCCAGAGCGACTTACAAATTGGTGCATTCACCTTATGATAGCAAGTGGGACAACCACTTTACAATTTTTTATTTAAGGATTTATTTAAGGATAGGATATATAAGGATTACTATATCCTATCCCAGGTATTCCTTAAAGAGGTGGGGTTTCAAGTGTCTCCGGAAGGTGGTGAGTGACTCCGCTGTCCTGGCGTCGTGAGGGAGCTTGTTCCACCATTGGGGTGCCAGAGCAGCGAACAGTTTTGACTGGGCTGAGCGGGAACTGTGCTTCCGCAGAGGTAGGGGGGCCAGCAGGCCAGAGGTGGATGAACGCAATGCCCTCGTTTGGGTGTAGGGACTGATCAGAGCCTGAAGGTACGGCGGTGCCGTTCCCCTCACAGCTCCGTAGGCAAGCACCATGGTCTTGTAGCAGATGCGAGCTTCAACTGGAAGCCAGTGGAGTGTGCGGAGGAGCGGGGTGACGTGCGAGAACTTGGGAAGGTTGAACACCTGACGGGCTGCGGCGTTCTGGATGAGTTGTAGAGGTTTAATGGCACAGGCAGGGAGCCCAGCCAACAGCGAGTTGCAGTAATCCAGACGGGAGATGACAAGTGCCTGGATTAGGACCTGTGCCGCTTCCTGTGTAAGGCAGGGTCGTACTCTGCGAATGTTGTAGAGCATGAACCTACAGGATTGGGTCACCGCCTTGATGTTAGCGGAGAACGACAGGGTGTTGTCCAGGGTCACGCCAAGACTCTTTGCACTCTGGGAGGAGGACACAACGGAGTTGTCAACCGTGATGGCGTGATCATGGAACGGGCAGTCCTTCCCCGGGAGTTAGAGCAGCTCCGTCTTGCCGAGGTTCAGCTTGAGGTGGTGATCCGTCATCCATACTGACATGTCTGCCAGACATGCAGAGATGCGATTCGCCACCTGGTTATCAGAATGGGGAAAGGAGACGATTCATTGTGTGTCGTCTGCGTAGCAATGATAGGAGAGGCCATGTGAGGATATGACAGAGCCAAGTGACTTGGTGTATAGCGAGAATAGGAGAGGGCCTAGAACTGAGGCCTGGGGGACACCAGTGGTGAGAGCACGTGGTGCGGAGACAGATTCTCGCCACGCCACCTGGTAGGAGCGACCTGTCAGGTAGGACGCAATCCAAGAGTGAGCCGCGCCGGAGATGCCCAACTCGGAGAGGGTGGAGAGGAGGATCTGATGGTTCACAGTATCAAAGGCAGCAGATAGGTCTAGAAGGACGAGAGCAGAGGAGAGAGAGTTAGCTTTAGCAGTGCGGAGAGCCTCCGTAACAAAGAGAAGAGCAGACTCAGTTGAATGACCAGTTTTGAAACCTGACTGGTTTGGATCAAGAAGGTCATTCTGAGAGAGATAGCAAGAGAGTTGGCTAAAGACAGCACGCTCAAGAGTTTGAGAGAAAAGAAAGAAGGGATACTGGTCTGTAGTTGTTGACGTCGGAGGGATCGAGTGTAGGTTTTTTGAGAAGGGGTGCAACTCTCGCTCTCTTGAAGACGGAAGGGACATAGCCAGCGGTCAAGGATGAGTTGATGAGCGAGGTGAGGTAAGGGAGAAGGTCTCCGGAAATGGTCTGGAGAAGAGAGGAGGGGATAGATTCAAGTGGGCAGGTTGTTGGGCGGCCGGCCGTCACAAGTCGCAAGATTTCATCTGGAGAGAGAGGGGAGAAAGAAGTCAAAGCATAGGGTAGGGCAGTGTGAGCAGGACCAGCGGTGTCATCAGATGTCGTCAACCTTCTTTTCAAAATGGTTGACGAAGTCATCCACAGAGAGGGAGGAGGGGTGGGGGGAGGATTCAGCAGGGAGGAGAAGGTGGCAAAGAGCTTCCTAGGGTTAGAGGCAGATGCTTGGAATTTAGAGTGGTAGAAAGTGGCTTTAGCAGCAGAAACAGAGGAAGAAAATGTAGAGAGGAGGGAGTGAAAAGATGCCAGGTCCGCAGGGAGTCTAGTTTTCCTCCATTTCCGCTCGGCTGCCCGGAGCCCTGTTCTGTGAGCTCGCAATGAGTCGTCAAGCCACGGAGCAGGAGGGGAGGACCGAGCCGGATGGGAGGATAGGGGACATAGAGAGTCAAAGGATGCAGAAAGGGAGGAGAGGAGGGTTGAGGAGGCAGAATCAGGAGATTGGAGGGAGAAGGATTGAGCAGAGGGAAGAGATGATAGGATGGAAGAGGAGAGAGTAGCGGGAGAGAGAGAGCGAAGGTTGCTACGGTGCATTACCATCTGAGTAGGGGCAGAGTGAGTAGTGTTGGAGGAGAGCGAGAGAGAAAAGGATACAAAGTAGTGGTCAAAGACTTGGAGGGGAGTTGCAGTGAGATTAGTAGAAGAACAGCATCTAGTAAAGATGAGGTCAAGCGTATTGCCTGCCTTGTGAGTAGGGGGGACGGTGAGAGGGTGAGGTCAAAAGAGGAGAGGAGTGGAAAGAAGGAGGCAGAGAGAAATGAGTCAAAGGTAGACATAGGGAGGTTAAAGTCACCCAGAATTGTGAGGGGTGAGCCATCCTCAGGAAACGACCTTATCAAGGCGTCAAGCTCATTGATTAACTCTCCAAGGGAACCTGGAGGGCGATAAATGATAAGGATGTTAAGCTTGAATGGGCTAGTGACTGTGACAGCATGGAATTCAAATGAGGAGATAGACAGATGGGTCAGGGGAGAAAGAGAGAATGTCCACTTGGGAGAGAGATGAGGATTCCTGTGCCACCACCCCGCTGACCAGATGCTCTCGGCGTATGCGAGAACACATGGTCAGACAATGAGAGAGCAGTAGGAGTAGCAGTGTTTTCTGTGGTAATCCATGTTTCCGTCAGCGCCAAGGGTTCCCTGCAGTGTTCAACCAAAGCTCTGATTGCTACCGGGACCTCCATGATAAAAATGCTGCATGGAGACAAATTGCCAATACGAATGGATTGCCTGGTCAGTTGAATGTGAAATAATTAGCTGGAAATTGGAAGCTAAGTGCTGGCAATTTCTTAGCTAAGCTACAGTATCTAGCAAAGTGGTTATGCCTTGATCACACCGACAGTATCATTGCGTTTTGGTACATCAGAAGTACATTAATTTCCAATGGAACGCTGCGTTTGCCTTGCAGCATTGCGTTGTGTGGTGCATACATTCGATTTATCGAACGTATGCATCAAACTGTTTGCGTAGATGGCCTGACAGAAATGGTAGCAAAAGGTGAATGTTGAACTTTTTTTGCACACATATCCAGATGATGCTGCGTACCATTTTGCGCAATGACGCTGTCAGTGTGATCGAGGCGTTAGCTTTGTAGTCAGATAGCTAGCTAACAGGCTTGACTATTTATGAACTTCCGTTTGTACCACCACACCACAACGTAAAACAACACCAGTTGAAAATATTGAACGAATACTGTACACAGAACGCACCACAGCCTAGTGCAGCATTCCCAACACAGCGCTGCGGACTGCGCCATTGACAATGAATGACTTCCATCGGAACGCAAAGAATTTGATGCATTTGGTGGACATGAGGCTTATGCCTCGATCACACCTATAGCGATTTTGCACAAAATGGTACGCAGTATTATTTGGAAATGTGTGCAACAAAAGTTCAACATTCACCTTCTGCTACTTCTTCTATCAAGCCGTCTACGGATACAGTTTGACGCATACATTCGATAAATCCAAGGTATGTACCACAGAACGCACTGCAACCCAATGCTGCAAGGCAAACACAGCTTCCATTGGAAATTAATGTACTTCTAGGGTGCTTTCGTAAATTCACTCTGGCTATCTACTCTGATTTCAGAGCACTCTCGTCTGAGTGTGCCAGAGCGCAGAATAACTGACGAATTTACTAATGCTCAACACCCATTGAATATGGTCGGTGTCAGTAGACGTCGGCAAAAAGTTGCCAGCAACACAGTTACAGTCACCAACGCGCTGGATAACATGAAAACTGCCTAACCAGCTCTGCTAGGGCGAGTAAAATAGTCAGAGTGAGGTGTGCTCTCATGTGTCTGGAAGTAGCTAGCTTTGGTGCTTGACTACCGTTGTAGTCAAGCACCCGCAGCCCGTCTGGTGTTCAACCTTCCCAAGTTCTCTCACGTCACCCCCCTCCTCCGCACACTCCACTGGCTTCCAATTGAAGCTCGCATCCGCTACAAGACCATGGTGCTTGCCTTTGGAGCAGTGAGGGGAACGGCACCCCTGTACCTTCAGGCTCTGATCAGTCCCTACACCCAAACGAGGACATTGCGTTCATCCACCTCTGGCCTGCTGGCTCCCCTTCCTCTGCGGAAGCACAGCTCCCCCTCAGCCCAGTCAAAACTGTTCGCTGCTCTGGCACCCCAATGGTGGAACAAGCTCCCTCACGACGCCAGGACAGCGGAGTCACTCACCACCTTCCGGAGACATTTGAAACCCCACCTCTTTAAGGAATACCTGGGATAGGCTAAAGTATTCCTTCTAACCCCACCTCTTTAAGGAATACCTGGGATAGGCTAAAGTATTCCTTCTAACCCCCCCCCCCCCCCCCCCCCCCCCCCCCCCCCCCCAAATTGTAAAGTGGTTATCCCACTGGCTATAGGGTGAACGCACCAATTTGTGAGTCGCTCTGGCTAAGAGCGTCTGCTAAATGACGTTAATGTGCCCTTGAGCAAGGCACTTAACCCTAATTGCTCCTGTAAGTCGCTCTGGTTAAGAGCGTCTGCTAAATGACTAAAATGTAATGTAAAAATGTTGTAAGGTCAGAACGCTCGGATCAACTCTACTCCTCCGCCAGAGCGTCCAGTGTCCGCTCTGAACGGGCCAAGAGCAAAATGCTCTGAATTTACAAACGGACAATCTGACAACGCTATTAATTTACTTACGTCTAGATAACACTCTGAACACGCTCTGGCACTCCAGATTGAATTTACATACACACCCCTAGTGTACCAAAATGCATACTGTCCGTGTGATCGAGGCGTTACACAACTCTGCAAGCGTATTCATGTTCAAATACCGGCCGTAAAGGGAGTAAATATAGATAGTTACTAAGCGAAACTCCATACTGTATTTGGTGAGTAACGAACGTATTTTGACATTAATACGCTTTTAGAGCTGTCTAATTAGTTTGAATCGGAGCTCCTGTGCGAGACATCTCTAACCCACAGATACTGTCTGGGGCAGGGAGGACCGAGCCACATTACACGCGAGTCAGCTACTGTTAGCTAGATTACTGATGTGATGCACCGCTAGCCACTAGTTAGTTAGTAGCTAGCTAACGTTAACTATCCTAGTAGCTAATTAGTTAGCTAACAAACGGGGCTAACTGAATATTACGACATGAGATAGACGCCCCCAATCAACTCAGCAAAACAACATTGGATAGTTGCACATTTAGCTAGCTGTAAAAGTCTAGCCATTTCCCATGCACGAGCAAGTTACTGTTCGTAGCTAACGATAGCTGGCTACTAAAAAGGATAATGATATAGCTAGCTAACTGGCTAATTTGCTTGTTTGTCATTTGAAGATAAACATAATCGCCTATACTTAATTACAAGACAAAAAACACTTGCCTTTGAATGAAATATCCCTTAAACTAAACTTTTAAATTATATATATTTTTTAAGTCCTCAGGGAGTAGTAAGTTGGTTTCGCCGGCATTCGGTGGCCCCAGTATTATGTTGTTGACAGTGTAGTCCTCACGACGTTTTCCTCCGCTACTCGATGATGGCGGGAATGTGAAAATCTAGAGGAAATGATATACGAGAACACATATCCTCTCGCGATACCTAACCACGATGCGCTGATACCAAAGATGGTGGATACATGAAGATAGTTCTCTCAGGCCGTTTAGCATTGCAAAAAACGATCAGTTCTGGTCTACTTAACTGGGTGTGTCTAACATAGACACCAATGCAATAGCACCTGGGTCTGACTTTCATTGAACCAGAAAAATATCAGAAAGAAACAGCGAGTGGGGTGTCTCGCTTCCTCTTCCGTCTCTGATACAACAAACACATGAAATGCATAACTGTCTAGCTAGCTACTTATCTGTATCTACCTACCATGTAAACTAAGGATTATATTTTGTTTAAGGATTATAGCTATGTGGTTTGTGTTATAGCGTTAGACAGCTATAAAGCAGATATCCTTCTCAAACAGAACGCTACATGTTGGATTAAGCGCGCGGGTAAAAGTTCAAACGTTACAGTTCCGATATGACCATTGTAGCAAACTAAGACCAAATATAGTCTGTGCTAAAACTAAGCTAGCTTGTAGTTTTTTTTGTTTGTAGCTAGGTAGCTAGCTCAACGTTTACATTAGGTTCTCAATATCCTCCGGGAGATATCCAGACGCTTCAGACAATGCTGGCTACAGGCGTAGTAAGTTTTCAGTCTTGAATTAACTAGCTACAGTAACTAGCTAGCTACATTGTATGCCGTGTTAGCTATCAATATGCAAATTCATTGTATTGTGTTATGGTTATTTTCCGTCGCCACCAACCAGATCGATGCACAACTCGGGAGTCCAACCTGGCAGTACACATACTCCCGATGTTGTGTCGCAAAGCAATATAATCGGAGGTCTATCTAGTTTACACAACCCAAACACGTGATTGCAGTTAGCTAGTGCTTTGTAAAAATGAACTAGTTAGTCAGAGGGCAGCACACCGACCTTGATTTATCTGACGAATGATCCTAGAAAAGGTGAGAATTCGTTGGAATTGTATTACATGGTCAGATGTCATGTCTCAGGTTGGTTCACCCACTGTCCTTTTCCTCACAGGCTGCAACCACAGCCCTGGTGCAGGTGGATCGGGAGAAGATCTACCAGTGGATCAACGAGCTGTCTAGCCCAGAGACCAGGGAGAATGCCCTCCTGGAGCTCAGCAAGAAGAGGGAGTCTGTCCCTGACCTGGCGCCCATGCTCTGGCACTCCTGTGGCACCATTGCTGCCCTCCTGCAGGTACTAAATATATAATCTTCACTTACTGTAATACCTATTTCACATTACTGAGCCGAGCCAATCTGTAATGCACTTTCATAAGAGGAAAAATAGGTGGCCTTCCCTTATGTCTGTCTGTGTGTCTTAGTCATTGTGGTATGAGTTGTTGGCTCAGTTGGTAGAGCATGGCGCCAGGGTTGTTGTTCACAGCTTGCTGTTCACCCATGACTGCATGGCCAGGCACGACTCCAACACCATCATTAAGTTTGCCGACGACACAACAGTGGTAGGCCTGATCACCGACAACGATGAGACAGCCTATAGGGAGGAGGTCAGAGATCTGGCCGTGTGGTGCCAGGACAACAACCTCTCCCTCAACGTGACCAAGACAAAGGAGATGATTGTGGACTACAGGAAAAAAAAGAGGACTGAGCACGCCCCCATTCTCATCGACGGGGCTGTAGTGGAACAGGTTGAGAGCTTCAAGTTCCTTGGTGTCCACATCACCAACGAACTATCATGGTCCAAACACACCAAGACAGTCGTGAAGAGGGCACGACAAAGCCTATTCCCCCTCAGGAGACTAAAAAGATTTGGCATGGGTCCTCAGATCCTCAAAAAATTCTACAGCTGCACCATCGAGAGCATCCTGACTGGTTGCATCACCGCCTGGTATGGCAACTGCTTGGCCTCTGACCGCAAGGCACTACAGAGGGTAGTGCGTACGGCCCAGTACATCACTGGGGCAAAGCTCCCTGCCATCCAGGACCTCTATACCAGGCGGTGTCAGAGGAAGGCCCTCAAAATTGTCAAAGACTCCAGCCACCCTAGTCATAGACTGTTCTCTCTGCTACCGCACGGCAAGCGGTACCGGAGTGCCAAGTCTAGGTCCAAAAGACTTCTCAACAGCTTCTACCCCCAAGCCATAAGACTCCTGAACAGCTAATCATGGCTACCCGGACTATTTGCACTGCCCCCCCCACCCCATCCTTTTTACGCTGCTGCTACTCTGTTAAGTATTTATGCATAGTCACTTTAACTCTACCCACATGTACATATTACCTCAACTACCTCAACAAGCCGGTGCCCCCGCACATTGACTATGCAACGGTACCCCCCTGTATATATAGCCTCCCTACTGTCACTTTATTTTACTGTATATATAGCCTCCCTACTGTCACTTTATTTTACTTCTGCTCTTTTTTTCTCAACACTTTTTTGTTGTTGTTTTATTCTTACTTTTTTGTTTAAAATAAATGCACTGTTGGTTAAGGGCTGTAAGTAAGCATTTCACTGTAATGTCTGCACCTGTTGTATTCGGCGCATGTGACCAATAAAATTTGATTTGATTTGATTCCCACAGTGGACCAGTACGAAAAAAGAATGAAAATGTATGCACTCACTACTGTAAGTCTCTCTGGATAAGAGCATCTGCTAAATGACAAAAATTTAAATGTAAAATGTTGTTGCATGAAGGTACCTACAGTGCCTCCTTAAAGACATGCTCCGGACCTTTGGCGACTACTAAGTATTTTTTAAACCTCCAGCATTGGGCTGGATGTGGCGACGTGTAGTTCATACATGCATAATCTATGAGCAGAATTACTGTCTTACCTCAATTAGCCAAGAAATCACTAGTTTGAAACCAACAGTTTTTTTGGAAGCTGTACTGCGCCATTTTCCCTAAATGTTCCCCTATGTGGGCCACCCCCCTAGCAATTCAGGTTCTAGCCAATGAGCTTCGGTCTCTCGCTATTTGAGTGACAGCTAGCAAGATGCACACACAGCAGAGCGAGATAGAGCATTGACGTGGTGCACATACTGTATCTGGACATGTGACGTAGTAGCAATTTTCAGGGACTACTTTTGGCTCGTGAGCACAACTTTCACATCTACTGACTAAAAAGTATACAAAAGTACTGGAGAATCACTTTAAAAGAGGAAAATACTTCACATTCAAATTTATTTGCATTCTGTTTCTTTCAGGAAATTGTGAACATCTACCCCTCCATAAACCCACCAACTCTGACAGCCCACCAATCCAACAGAGTATGCAACGCCCTCGCGCTCTTACAGTGTGTTGCCTCCCATCCAGAGACTCGGTAATGCACCATCTTTCTTTTCAACATGTAAATTATTGCGTTATATGTGTCACGATCTTACACATTCAAAATGTAACCACGTCCTCCTTCTCCAGGTCTGCATTTTTGGCGGCACACATTCCTCTTTTCCTCTACCCCTTCCTGCATACTGTGAGCAAGACACGCCCGTTTGAGTACCTGCGCCTCACCAGCTTAGGAGTCATAGGTAACATCCTTTTCTACCTGCATTTGTCTGCCTGATTCCAATGCACCCGATTGTTCATGGCGCAATCCTCTGGCTCATTAAAAACACCTGAATGCCTCCAACTGTAGTTTGCTCTTTGTGTGCCTGCAGGTGCTCTGGTCAAAACAGACGAACAGGAGGTGATCAACTTCCTGCTCACCACAGAGATCATCCCTCTATGCCTGCGCATCATGGAGTCAGGCAGCGAACTCTCCAAAACGGTAGCTACTCTATCAAGCTTCCGCCATATTGCTTACACCCATTATGTTACGTGCATAGAAACAGAAGGAAATGGATAACCTTTATTAATGACTTTATCTGCTTTCTCCCTTTCTCCTCACTGTCAGGTTGCTACTTTCATACTCCAAAAAATTCTGCTGGACGACACCGGGCTGGCGTACATATGCCAGACCTATGAACGCTTCTCTCACGTGGCAATGATTCTTGTAAGTATAATTTGTTTTCAGAAGAAGGTTTAGCTCAGCTGTATATACGGGTGGGTTGTTCAGCAATAAAATTAGGCACGTGCACAGATGGGGCTCTTCCTGTGCAGAGCACATGCCCATTTGCCCTTCCAGTCAACAAAGTGCCCTTTTCTGTGGTGGTATAATTTCCCACAAAATGTTAGTTTTTTTAAATATTTTTTTTGTTGTTCTTCTGAACCCACTGCCTGCAAATCATCATTAAATTCTCATCTATGCTTCAGAACCAAAAAGTTCAGCGTCTTGATTGTTGACCAATGACCAATCATCACCATTGGCACACATTTACATTTACGTCATTTAGCAGACGCTCTTATCCAGAGCGACTTACAAATTGGTGCATTCACCTTATAGCCAGTGGGACAACCACTTTACAATATGTTTTTTTTTTGGGGGGGGGGGGGGGGGGGGGTAGAAGGATTACTTTATCCTATCCCAGGTATTCCTTAAAGAGGTGGGGTTTCAAGTGTCTCCGGAAGGTGGTGAGTGACTCCGCTGTCCTGGCGTCGTGAGGGAGCTTGTTCCACCATTGGGGTGCCAGAGCAGCGAACAGTTTTGACTGGGCTGAGCGGGAACTGTGCTTCCGCAGAGGTAGGGGGGCCAGCAGGCCAGAGGTGGATGAACGCAATGCCCTCGTTTGGGTGTAGGGACTGATCAGAGCCTGAAGGTACGGAGGTGCCGTTCCCCTCACAGCTCCGTAGGCAAGCACCATGGTCTTGTAGCAGATGCGCGCTTCAACTGGAAGCCAGTGGAGTGTGCGGAGGAGCGGGGTGACGTGAGAGAACTTGGGAAGGTTGAACACCAGACGGGCTGCGGCATTCTGGATGAGTTGTAGGGGTTTAATGGCACAGGCAGGGAGCCCAGCCAACAGTGAGTTGCAGTAATCCAGACGGGAGATGACAAGTGCCTGGATTAGGACCTGTGCCGCTTCCTGTGTAAGGCAAGGTCACAAAGGCACGCGCGCATTTCCAGATTAGTGACCAGAAAGAACTTGTTTCATTTCCTCAAGTTTTGCCTGGCAAAAACAGAGTAGGCCTACATTTATCATCCATATAAAATACAGTTTAGCAATCTACTACTGACTCATCTTTGCCAGAACAATAGGCTACCTGGCGATTTGATTGATACTTTTCTTATTTCAGATAGGCTTAGTTTGGGTGGCTACTGGCTATATGTCTAAAGATATGCAGCTGTAACATCGCACTGCCTTCAATATTATGGGATGAAGATCTGTAACATATTCTGGCGAATTAATTACGATATTTGTGAGGAATAACAGCTACCTGGTTGGCAAAGAGCACTCTGCAGGCAGAACATGCTTTTCATCAGGTCTCGCAAGTGACTTTTTCCACATTTTGTTGTTACAACCTGAATTTAAAATTTATTAAAATTAGTTTTTTTTGGTCACTGGCCTAGACACAATACCCCATCATGTCAAAATGGAATTATGTTTTCTGAAATCTTTTCAAATTATTTAAAAATGAAAAGCTGAAATGTCTTGAGTCAATAAGTATTCAACTCCTTTGTTATGGCATGCCTAAATAGGTTCAGTAGTAAATATTTGCTTAACAAGTCACATAAATTGCAGACTGAACCAGGAAAACCTGGTTCAGTCTGCTGTCCACCAGACACTGGGAGATGAATTCACCTTTCAGCAGGACAATAACCTAAAACACAAGGCCAAATCTACACTGGAGTTACTTGCCGAGTTATAGTTTCTTATAGTTTGAGTGGCCGAGTTATAGTTTTGACGTAAATCTGCTTGAAAATCTATGGCAAGACTTGAAAATGGCTGTCTAGCAATGACCAACAACCAATTTGACAGAGCTTGAAGAATTTTGAAAAGAATAATGGGCAGATATTGTACAGTCCTCTTAGAGACTGACCCAGAAAGACTCACAGCTGTAATCGCTGCCAAAGGTGATTCTAACATGTATTGACTCAGGGGTGTGAATACTTATGTAAATGAGATATTTCTGTATTTCATTTGAAATACATTTGCAACAATTGCTAAAAACATGTTTTCACTTTGTCATTATGGGGTATTGTGTGTAAAAAAAACATTGATTTAATGCATTTTGAATTCAGGCTATAACACAACAAAATGTGGAATAAGTCAAGGGGTATGAATACATTCTGAAGGCAATGTATATCCCTAGTTGATACTGGCTGCTAACATGAATGACTTTCAGCACAAATGCAGGTGTAAAATGCAGTTTATTTCTGTAGCCTATCTTAAGTTTTTAAAATGCATCACTGTTTTATGGCTGTAATGATAGGCTACATTTGCGCAGTGATTGTGTGCGCATGTTCGCGCCTGCACACGTGCATGTGCGTACACTGGGGGTTGCAAGTTTTGTGTCACTCCTTTTTGGGGGTCACGGGTCAAAAAGTTTGAAAACCACTGGGATACATAATTGTGGCAACAAATTGAGTTGGGTTGGATATTCTAATGGTAGGCTACAGTATTTCTTACAAGGTTCTAATTTGACTGGAATTGTGTTGGTCATTGTTAATAAGTGCAACATTTATTCCAGTTCAAAACAGTTTAGCAAAATACTTTACTCATCAGATTTTGCTGCTTTCCCTTGTTCTTGTAATAATTGCTCAAGGAGTCTGTGACCGCGGTTGCAGGATTTGTTTTGTTTTGTTGGGGTGCCCGTTTTTAGTTTGAGCACATGCCCCCCAAAAGGTCTGCATGGCCATGAACAAAACTGATGCGTTTGCAACCATGGAGCAAAACAGGCAGGGTTGGCTTAGAACAGGGGTTCCCAATCCTTTTTCCCCAGGGCCCCCTTTTTCACGTCATTTTTTATTTTTTATTATTGTTTATTGATAAAGGCTATATTAAATACACCACCAGATAGATTTTGCTTAAAGGGGACCTTGGAAAATGTTGTTTTGAAGCTAATTTCCTGCAATTATATGTGGTTTAACAAGACTCATGACATCTTTTAGGTAGGATATTTAATGGTAATCCCATCAATAATGGATAGGGAAAATAGTCTAGACCTGATTTCCCCTAATATTATTCCGCTACCAAATATGTTTTATTAGGATAATTAATACAGTGGTTCCCAACCTTTTTTGGGTACTGTACCCCTAAAACACTTTGACCGGCCTGAAGTACCCCCTCATGCATGTGTGACCGGCGTGATTCCTAAATGAGATGTAAATTTGACAAAAATGTGGTTAACGCACGCAGTCAAGTTTGGCAGACTTGTTTTCGATGTCAGGGAAGTAGGAGTTGAACTCACTGTTGAGTTTGGATAAATGTGAGCTTACTATCTGCACCATAGGAGCTCTGTCAACATCACCTGTACAAAGGTAGGTGTCAAGCTGCTGGAAACAACTTACATCCTCATCTTCACATTTCCTCTCCCAGAGTTTGATCTTCTTCATGAATCCACACACTTTGTCATACATGTTTAGAATGTGTGTGTCTTTACCTTGCAGAGTTTGATTCAGGTTGTTAAGTTTGCTGAACACATCAGCAAGATCAGCAAGGCGGGCTCCCCAGTCTGTGTCCTCGAACACAGCCACAAGGGGGTGTGAGTGCTCAGACAGAAAATTACTCAAAAAGCCTCTTGTAGCGTTTTCTCTCTGGGTAGCCAACGGACGTCAGTGTGAAGCAGTAGCTGCTGGTGCTCAGTCCCACTGTCATCACAGAGCCTTTCAAACAGTCGGTGATTCAGAGGCCTGGACATGATAAAGTTAATCACTTTCACTGCGTCATTCAAAACATAATGTAACTCAGGACTCGTTCTCTTTCTGGCCAATGACTCTGTGAATGATACAGTGGGATTCTTTATGTGGGCAATTAATAATTTCACTATCCCAGGCATTGTTGCAGCACGATCCGTGCTCACATGAACACAGGATTTGCAATCCAGATTGTGCTCTGAGAAAAAACTGTCAATAACGTCAAACACATCCTCACCCGTAGTTCTCCCCCGTTAGCTTCTTGAAGAATAGAATGTGCTCATTAATTTCCGAAATGACTCTATCGGAAAAACGCAATCAACTGGGCTTCCCCACTGACATCAGTCGATTCGTCCAACTGCAGAGAAAATGGACCGGAATTATTATATTTTTTTCACCAATTGTTCAACGCCCATGTCATCGATCCTACGGCACACCGTGATATTTGACAATGGAACAGTCTGAAGTGCTGCTGTCTTATCAATCATAGTTTCTGCGAGAACAACAGCAGCAGGCACTCTAGCGCGCGGAGCAATGGATCACGTGCACTTGGCGCGAGCAGAGGCTCAAACATTGAGCCAACCCGCGGGCAGAGGCCAGATAGACAGAGCGATGCGCACACGCCGAAACTAAAGTTTAAAAAAAGTAGGCCTATCAAAATAAAATAACTAGAGATTTCACACCAGTGACCTCAGTAAATGTTTTCCTGCTTATAATAATTGAAATAACTTAAATATATAATATTTTGAGGTAATATCTTTCCCAATATTGTTTTCCTTCACATTTTTGAAAATCTTCCCAAGTACCCCCTGGGGACTGCCCACATCGCTAGGGGTAGGCGTACCCCCGGTTGGGAAACACTGGGATAATTTATGATCCCTCAATTTAATTATACATATTCTCTTTTACAGAAAGTGATTAGATCAATTGATAGCGACAGTCACACATTGTATAAGATTACTTCATAAGCAAAGACCAAGGTATTTGTCTCCTACTTTAGGTCATAGCTCTGCTTCTGAATGTTGTTGAGACACACCAAAGATAATGCCATGTGCATCAGTCGCGTCTGTTTCTTTTCCCCCCTAAAAAAAACCTCCCTAGTCCTTGCTTATGACAAGCATACACATAACATGATGCAGCCACCACTATGCTTGAAAATATGAAGAGTTACAGTTCCTATAAGGAAATCAGTCGATTGAAATAAATAAATGAGGCCCTAATCTATGGATTTCACATGACTGGGAATACAGATATGCATCTGTTGGTCACAGATAACAAAATAAAATAAAAAAAGATAGGGGCATGGATCAGAAAACCAGTCAGTATCTGGTGTGACCACCATTTGCCTCATGCAGCGCAACATATTCTATGTATGTGGACACCTGCTCGTCGAAAATATCATTACAAACTCATGGGCATTAATATGGAGTTGGTCCCCCCTTTGCTGCTATAACAGCCTCCACTCTTCTGGGAAGGCTTTCCACTAGATGTTGGATCATTACTGCGGGGACTTCCTTTCAGCCACGAGCACTGGTTGGGCAATGATGTTGGGCGATTAGGCCTGGCTCGCAGTCGGCGTTCCAATTCATCCCAAACATGTTCGATGGAGTTGAGGTCAGGGCTCTGTGCAAGCCAGTCAAGTTCTTCCACACCGATCTCGACAAACCATTTCTGTATGGACCTCGCTTTGTGCACGGAGGTACCGGCACAGAGTCAATGTGCGGGGGCACAGGTTAGTCGAGGTAATTGAGGTAATATGTACATGTAGGTAGAGGTAAATGGTGCCGACAGAGAAGGCTGCCTTGCTTCTAGCTCTTAGGAAACTTTGCAGGATTATTATTTATATTATTTCTTACGTTATTAGGCCCAACAATTATTTTTGTTATTACATACAGCCGGGAAGAACTATTGGATATCAGAGCGGCGGTAACTCACCAGCACTACCAGCATTACAACCAGGAATACGACTTTCCCGAAGCAGATCCTTTGTTCGCACCCCCCAGGGCAATTGAACTGATTCCAGGGGCCGACCCAAAACAACGCCGGAGGAGAGGTACTAGGAGTGGTCTTCTAGTCCGACTTAGGAGGCGTGCACACCACCCACTACTTCTGAGTATATTACTCGCTAATGTCTCTGGATAATAAAGTTGACGAGCTCAGGGCGTGGGTTTCTTTCCAGAGAGACATCAGGGATTGAAACTCAGGATATACTGTCCGAGTCAGTCCAGCCAGTTGGGTTCTCAGTTCATCGCGCAGACAGGAATAAATATCTCTCCGGGAAGCAGAAGAGTGGAGGTGTATGTTTTATGATTAACGACTCATGGTGTAATTGTGATAACATACAGGAACTCAAGTCCTTTTGTTCACCCAACCTAGAATATCTCACAATCAAATGCCGACCGTATTATCTCCCAAGATAATTTTATTTGATTATAGTCAAGGTCGTGTACAGTCATGATCAAAAGTTTTGAGAATGACCCAAGTATTGGTCTTCACAAAGTTTGCTGCTTCAGTGTTTTTAGATATTTTTGTCAGATGTTACTATGGTATACTGAAGTATAATTACAAGCATTCCATAAGTGTCAAAGGTTTTTATTGACAATTACATGAAGTTTATGCAAAGAGTCAATATTTGCAGTGTTGACCCTTCTTTTTCAAGACCTCTGCAGTCCGCCCTGGCATGCTGTCAATTAACTTCTGGGCCACATCCTGACTGATGGCAGCCCATTCTTGCATAATCAATGCTTGGAGTTTGTCAGAATTTGTGGGTTTTTGTTTGTCCACCTGCCTCTTGAGGATTGACCACAAGTTCTCAATGGGATTAAGGTCTGGGGAGTTTCCTGGCCATGGACCCAAAATGTCGATGTTTTGTTCCCCGAGCCACTTAGTTATCACTTTTGCCTTATGGCAAGGTGCTCCATCATGCTGGAAAAGGCATTGTTCGTCACCAAACTGTTCTTGGATGGTTGGGAGAAGTTGCTCTTGGAGGATGTGTTGGTACCATTCTTTATTCATGGCTGTGTCCTTAGAAAAATTGTGAGTGAGCCCACTCCCTTGGCTGAGAAGCAACCCCACACATGAATGGTCTCAGGATGCTTTACTGTTGGCATGACACAGGATTGATGGTAGCGCTCAACTTGTCTTCTCCAGACAAGCTTTTATCCGAATGCCCCAAACAATCGGAAAGGGAATTCATCAGAGACAATGACTTTACCCCAGTCCTCAGCAGTCCAATCCCTGTACCTTTTGCAGAATATCAGTCTGTCCCTGATGTTTTTCCTGGAGAGAAGTGGCTTCCTCACTGCCCTTCTTGACACCAGGCCATCCTCCAAATGTCTTCGCCTCACTGTGCGTGCAGATGCACTCACACCTGCCTGCTGCCATTCCTGAGCAAGCTCTGCACTGGTGGTGCCCCGATCCCACAGCTGAATCAACTTTAGGAGACGGTCCTGGTGCTTGTTGGACTTTCTTGGGCGCCCTGAAGCCTTCTTCACAACAATTGAACCTCTCTCCTTGAAGTTCTTGATGATCCGATAAATGGTTGATTTAGGTGCAATCTTACTAGCAGCAATATCCTTGCCTGTGAAGCCCTTTTTGTGCAAAGTAATGATGACGGCACGTGTTTCCTTGCAGGTAACCATGGTTAACAGAGGAAGAACAATGATTTCAAGCACCACCTTCTTTTTTAAGCTTCCAATCTGTTATTCTAACTCAATCAGCATGACGGAGTGATCTCCAGCCTTGTCCTCGTCAACACTCTCACCTGTGTTAACGAGAGAATCACTGACATGATATCAGCTGGTCCTTTTGTGGCACGGCTGAAATGTAGTGGAAATGTTTTTTGGGGATTAAGTTCATTTTCATGGAAAAGAGGGACTTTGCAATTCATCTGATCACTCTTCATAACATTCTGGAGTAGATGCAAATTGCCATCATCAAAACTGAGGCAGCAGACTTTGTGAAAATTAATATTTGTGTCATTCTCATGTTTTGACCACGACTGTATATCCCCCCCTTAAGCCGATAACACGACGTCCCGCAAAGAACTTCACTGGACTTTATGCAAACTGGAAAACACATATCCTGAGGCTTCATTTATTGTAGCTGGGGATTTTAACAAAGCAAATTTAAGGAAAAGGCTACCGAAGTTCTATCAAAACATCAACTGTAGTACTTGCGCTGCTATAACACTGGACCACTGCTACTCCAACTTCCGGGATGCATACAAGGCCCTCCCCCAACCCTCCTTTCGGCAAATCTGACCACGACTCCATTTTGTTCCTCCCTTCCTAGAGGCAGAAACTCAAACGACAAGTACCCGTGCTTAGGACTATTCAACGCTGGTCTGACCAATCGGAATCCACGCTTCAAGATTGTTTTGATCACGTGGACTGGGATATGTTCTGGGTAGCTTCGGAGAATAATATCGACGTATATACTGATACGGTGACTGAGTTTATCAGGAAGTGTATAGGAGATGTTGTACCCACTGTGACTGTTAAAACCTACCCTAACCAGAAACCGTGGATAGATGGCAGCATTTGCGCAAAACTGAAAGAGCAAACCACCACATTTAACCATGGCAAGGTGACTGGGAATATGGCAGAATATAAACAGTGTAGTTTTTCCCTCCGCAAGGCAATCAAACAGGAAAAACTTCAGTATAGGGACAAAGTGGAGTCGCAATTCAACGGCTCAGACACGAGACGTATGTGGCAGGGTCTACAGACAATCACGGACTACAAAAGGAAAGCCAGCCATGTCGCGGGCACCGACGTCTTACTTCCGGACAAGCTAAACACCTTCTTTGCCCGCTTTGAGGATAATACAGTGCCACCGACGCGGCCCGCTACCAAGGACTGTGGGCTCTCCTTCGCGTGTTAACCCTCGCAAGGCTGCCGGCCCAGATGGCATCCCTAGCCGCGTCCTCAGAGCATGCGCAAACCATCTGGCTGGTGTGTTTACGAACATATTCAATCTCTCCCTATCCCAGTCTGCTGTCCCCACATGCTTCAAGATGGCCACCATTGTCCCTGTACCCAAGAAAGCATAGGTAACTGAACTAAATGACTATGAAGTGCTTTGAGAGACTAGTCAAGGATCATATCACCTCTACCTTACCTGCCACCCTAGACCCACTTCAATTTGCTTACCGCTCCAATAGATCCACAGACGATGCAATCACCATCACACTGCACACTGCCCTATCCCATCTGGACAAGAGGAATACCTATGTAAGAATACTGTTTATTGACTATAGCTCAGCATTCAACACCATATTACCCTCCAAACTCATCATTAAGCTTGAGGCCCTGGGTCTCAACCCCGCCCTGTGCAACTGGGTCCTGGACTTCCTGACGGGCCGCCCCCAGGTGGTGAAGGTAGGAAACAACATCTCCACTTCGCTGATCCTCAACACTGGGGCCCCACAAGGGTGCATGCTCAGCCCCCTCCTGTACTCCCTGTTCACCCATGACTGCGTGGCCAAGCATGCCTCCAACTCAATCATCAAGTTTGCAGACGACACAACAGTAGTAGGCTTGATTAACAACAATGACGAGACAGCCTACAGGGAGGAGGTGAGGGCTCCGGGAGTGTGGCGCCAGGAAAATAACCTCCCTTTCAACGTCAACAAAACAAAGGAGATGATCGTGGACTTCAGGAACCAGCAGAGGGAACACCTCCCTATCCACATCGACGGGACCGTAGTGGAGAAGGTGGAAAGTTCCTCGGCGTACATATCACTGACAAACTGAAATGGTCCAACCACACAGACAGTGTGGTGAAGAAGGCTGAAGGAATGTGGCTTGGCACCTAAAACCCTCACAAACTTTTCCAGATGCACAATTGAGAGCATCTTGTCGGGCTGTATCACCGCCTGGTACGGCAACTGCACCACCCGCAACCGCAGGGCTCTCCAGAGGGTGGTGCGGTCTGCCCAACGCATCACCGGGGGCAAACTACCAGCCCTCCATGACACCTACAGCACCTGATGTCACAGGAAGGCCAAAAAGATCATCAAGGACAACAACCAACCGAGCCACTGCCTGTTCATCCAGCTATCATCCAGAAGGCGAGTTCAGTACAGGTGCATCAAAGCTGGGACCGAGAGACTGAAAAACAGCTTCTATCTCAAGGCCATCAGACTGTTAAATAGCCTTCAGTAGCATATTAGAGGCTGCTGCCTATATACATAGATTAGAAATCACTGGCCACTTTAATAATGTTTACATATCTTGCATTACTCATCTCATATGTATATACTGTATTATATACTATTCTACTGTATCTTAGTCTATGCCGCTCTGACATTGCTTGTCCATATATTTATTTATATATTCTTAATTCCATTGCTTTACTTAGATTTGTGTGTATTGGGTATATGTTGTGAAATTGTTAGTTACTTGTTAGATATACTGCACTGTCGGAGCTAGAAACACAAGCATTTCGCTACACCCGCAATAACATCTGTGTGTCTGACCAATAAAATTTGATTTGATGCTGAGACAGGAAAGGGCCTTCCCCAAACTGTTTACACAAAGTTGGACACACAGAATTATCTAGAATGTCATTGTATGTTGTGTCGTTAAGATTTCCCTTCACTGGAACTAAGGGGCCTAGTCCGAACCATGAAAAACAGCCCCAAACCATTATTCTTCCTCCACCAAACTTTACAGTTGGCGCTATGCATTCGGGCAGGTAGCGTTCTTCTGGCATCCACCAAACCCAGATTCGACAGTCGGACTGCCAGATGGTGAAGCATGATTCATCATTCCAGAGAACGCGTTTCCACTGCTCCAGAGTCCAATGGCGGCGAGCTTTACACCACTCCAGCCGACACTTGTGATTTCGCTTGTGTGCGGCTGCTCGGCCATGGAAACCCATTTCATGAAGCTCCCGATGGACAGTTCTTGTGCTGACGTTTCTTCCAGAGGCAGTTTGGTATTCGCTAGTAAGTGTTGCAACCGAGGACAGGCGATTTTTACGCACTTGGACACTCGGCGGTCTCGTTCTGTGAGCTTGTGTGACCTACCACTTCGCAGCTGAGCCGTTGTTGCTCCTAGACGTTTCCACTTCACAATAACAGCACTTACAGTTGACCGGGGCAGCTCTAGCAGGTTAGAAATTTGCCGAACTGACTTGTTGGAAAGGTAGCATCCTATGACGGTGCCACGTTGAAAGTCACTGAGCTCTTCGGTACGGGCCATTCTACTGCCAATGTTTGTCTATGGAGATTGCAGGCTGTGTGCTCGATTTTATACACCTGTCAGCAACGGGTGTGGCTGAAATAGCCGAAGACACTAATTTGAATGGGTGTCCATATACTTTTGGCCATGTAGTGTATCTCCTTCGCATAGATTTGATCAGGCTGGTGATTGTGGAATGTTGTCCCGGTTATTGGATATTGGCGGGAACTGGAAAACGCTGTCATACACGTCGATCCAGAGAATCTCAAACATGCTGAATGAGTGACATGTCTGATGTGTATGCAGGGCAACTAGGACATTTTCAGCTTCCAGGAATTGTGTACAAATCCTTGCGACATGGGACCGTGCATTATCATGCTGAAACATGAGGTGATGGCGGCGGATGAATGGCACGACAATGGGCCTCAGGATCTCGTCACGGTATCTCTGTGCATTGAAATCGCCATCGATAAAATACAATTGTGTTCGTTGTCCGTAGCTTGTGCCTGCCCATACCATAAGCCCACCGCCACCATGGGGCACTCTGTTCACAACGTTGACATCAGCAAACCGCTCGCCCACATGACGCCATACACGTGGTCTGTTGTTGTGAGGCCGTTTGGACGTACTGCCAAATTCTCTAAAATGACATTGGATGCGGCTTATGGTAGAGAAAGGAACATTACATTCTCTGGCAACAGCTCTTGTGGACATTCCTGCAGTCAGCATGCCATTGCACGCTCCCTCAAATTGATACATCTGTGGCATTGTGTTTTTTGACAAAACTGCACATTTTAGAGTGGCCTTTAATTGTCCTCAGCACAAGGTGCACCTGTATAATGATCATGCTGTTTAATCGTTTTTTTGATATGCCACAACTGTCAGGTGGATGGATTATCTTGGCAAAGGAGACATGCTCACTAACAGGGATGTAAACAAATTTGTGCAGAAAATGTGTGATATACGCTTTTTGTGCTTATGGAACATTTCTGAGATATTTTATTGAAACATGGGACAAACACTTGCATTCATATTTTTGTTCAGTGTATTTTGCCATAACAAAAGGGTTGAATACTTATTGACTCGAGACATTTCAGCTTTTCTAAAAATATAATTCCACTTTGACATTATGGGGTATTGTGTGAAGCCCAGTGACACAAAATGGCAATTTAATCAATTTTAAATTCAGGCTGTAACACAACAAAATGTGGAACAAGTCAACTGGTGTGAATACTTTCTGAAGGCACTATACTATTGTGTTTGTGTGTGTTTTAAGAGGGGGTATGTGTCACCCCAAACATGTTGATTCTCCTCTTTATTTTCAGGGAAAAATGGTGCTGCAGCTGTCGAAGGAACCATCTGCACGTCTGCTGAAACATGTTGTACGCTGCTACCTTCGCCTCTCTGATAATCCAAGGTAAATAAAGAGTGGTAACAGCACTTTAAAGAGATTCTCAGGTGCTTTTGTATACAAGCAAAAAAATGGTCCCTGAAAAATGCATACTACGTAACATATGTGCAGATGTGTGCACTATGTCATTGCTCTCTCTCGCTCTGCTCTTTGTGCATCTTGCTAGCTGTCACTCAAATGGTGAGGGGCTGAAGCTCATTGGCTGGAACTCGAATTGCTAGTGGCTGGCCCACGTGGGGGAAAATGGTGGGAAGATGGCTTCCCACTACTTTCAGAAAACAGTTGCTTTCAAACTAGGGATTTTGAGGCTAATTGAGGTAATTATTCTCATAGATTATGCATGTATGTACTAGGCTTACAAATTGACACATCCAGCCCAAAGTGGGAGGTTTAAAAATACATACTAGTCGCCAATGTTCCGGAGCATGTCTAATTAACACCAGCAGGTATAGGCTTATGCATTATGATGCAGTTATAATGGACTGTAAGACTTGTTATAAGCATGTATGACGCCATTATAATGTCTTAGTACCTTCTCATAATGATCTTGTCTAAAATGTGCAGAATCTTAATATATGAGATATTAGAAAGAGGAAGCTTCCCTTGTTCTCTTCGTCTCTTCATGTCCACTGAGAGGAGCTGTGCCATGAATGTCATTTAAATCAGGAGGTCACTGTGTCAGTCAGAGATACAGTGCATTCGGAAAGTATTCAGACCCCTTCCATTTTTCCACATTTTGTTACGTTACAGCCTTATTCTAAAATGGATTACATTTTTCAAAAAATCCTCATCAATCTATACACAATACCCCATAATGAAAAAGTGAAAGCAGGTTTTTAGACATTTTTGCAAATGTATTAAAAACAAGTAACAAAAATACCTTATTTACATAAGTATTCAGACCCTTTGCTATGAGACTCTAAATTGAGCTCAGGTGCATCCTGTTTCCATTGATCATCCTTGAGATGTTTCTTCAACTTGATTGGAGTCCACCTGTGCTAAATTCAATTGATTGGACATGATTTGAAAAGGCACACACCTGTCTATATAAGGTCCAACAGTTGACAGTGCATGTCAGAGAAAAAACCAAGCCATGAGGTCAAAGCAATTGTCCGTAGAGCTCCGAGACAGGATTGTGTCGAGGCACAGATCTGGGGAATTGTACCAAGAAATGTCTGCAGCATTGAAGGTCCCGAAGAACACAGTGGCCGTCATTCTTAAATTAAAGAAGTTTGGAACCACTTGGTCAGGGAGGTGACCAAGAACCCGATGGTCACTCTGACGGAGATGGGAGAACATTCCAGAAGGTCAACCATCTCTGCAGCACTCCACTAATTTGGCCTTTATGGTAGAGTGGCCAGACGGAAGCCACTCTTCAGTAAAAGGCACATGACAGCCCGCTTGGAGTTTGCCAAAAGGCACCTAAAGGACTCTCAGACCATGAGAAACAAGATTCTCTGGTCTGATGAAACCAAGATTGAACTCTATGGCCTGAATGCCAAGCATCACGTCTGGAGGAAACCTGGCATGGACTGGGAGACTAGTCACGATCGAGGGAAAGATTAATGGAGCAAGGTACAGAGAGAGCTCAGGACCTAAGCACACAGCCAAGACAATGCAGGAGTGGCTTCGGGACAAGTCTCTGAATGTCCTTGAGTGGCCAAGCCAAAGCCTGGACTTGAACCCGATCTAACATCTCTGGAGAGACCTGAAAATAGCTGTGCAGTGACGCTCCCCATCCAACCTGACAGAGCTTGAGAGGATCTGCAGAGAAGAATGGGAGAAACTCTCCAAATACAGGTGTGCCAAGCTTGTAGCATCATACCCAAGAAGACTTGATGCTGTAATCGCTGCCAAAGGTGCTTCAACAAAGTACTGAGTAAAGGGTCTGAATACTTATGTAAATGTCTTATTTAAGTTTTGTATTTTTAATAAATGTGCAAAATGTATACAAACCTGTTTTTGCTTTGTCATTATGGGGTATTTTGTGTAGATTGAAGATTAAAACAATTTAATCAATTTTAGAATAAGTCTGTAACGTAACAAAATGTGGAAAAAGTCAAGGGGTCTGAATACTTTCCGAATGCTAGGACTGAAAAAAGTGAAACCAATGTGATGGAACTATACCAACAGGGGCAAATGTCAGATAGGCTGGTGCATTTTTTGCCCAGTGGGCCTGTCTAACTTTTTAGTTTTTTTTTTGCAAAATGATCATTATCTGGCTAATACTGGGGGCCTCAAGGAAAACATGTATTTACCAGCAAACAAAAACTGCTAGTTGTAAATGACAGATTCTGACTTAAGACATTTTCCTCAAAGAGTCTATTCCTGAAATCAAGCCATTACTGAGCTCTTTCCACATAGCATGTAGTGCCTTTTCCACATGAAAATGATAGACGCTGCTTGTTAGAACATCAGTTTTTTTAATACAACACATTGAAGTAAACAAAAAAGATGGTGGTGACTCATTGCCTGGCTACCTACACTCCTTGCTCCAGCCAAACGTTACGCCACACCCATGGACATTAGTTTCTTCTGGCGCAGTGAGTCTGGATCTGAGTACCTCCCCGACCCTTCACCGAATGTGGAAAAACCTGATGACTTTGTTTTGTACAACGCCCCTCGTGCCCCTCGTCACCACAAACGACTTAAATAATGGCAGTCTCAGACTAAAGTGTGTAGTGACGACAGAGCAGTGGAATGTATGCACGCATGACTGTAAGTCGCTTTGGATAAAAGCGTCTGCTAAATGGCATTATTATTATTATTAGTTCAAAACGTTGAGTTGATGTCTGAAATCATGCATGCAAGATTAACATAATAATAAGTATAGAGCTTTTAATTACAGCGTTATCTTAAAGCTCTATTGAGGGAAAAAAAATGTTTTATACAATATGACCTGCTGTTTTGAAGATCGATGGTACCTCTCCGGTCAGTAGCAGTGCTGCCAACTCACACATTGGGCGTGAGACACACACATTTGACTCTCTTCACACGCTCACACGTCACACCTTTTATTTCTCACGCATGTAATAAAATTTTTTTTTTTTTAAAGTAATGCCTTTATTTTCTAATTAATTCAGTGCGTTAACTTTTCAACTGTGCATTCAAATAGATTTTAAATCGGAGGATATGAGTCTGGAATTCTACATCACAAGCAATGTAACCGCGGCAGCTTCACCCTGGAGATCCTTAATTTTCCTTCCACCACACTATGAACCGCGGCAGATTGAAACTTGTGATTGGTTTAGTAAGGGTCCAAGACCAAGGCGATTGGATGCGTGTTTGTAAAGAAACGTCCCTCACCATTAGAGCCTATTGCATCCATGGCTAGTGCTGAGCAATTAACGTTTTTTCAAAAACAGGCGCCTCAACAGTGAAGAGGTGACTCCGGGATGCTGACCTTCTAGGCAGAGTTGCAAAGAAAAAGCCAAATATCAGACTGCCCATCTTAATCTTTTCATTTTATTGGCCAGTCTGAGATATAGGCTTTTTCTTTGCAACTCTGCCTAGAAGGTCAGCATCCCGGAGTCGCCTCTTCACTGTTGACGTTGAGACTGGTGTTTTGGGTTACTATTTAATGAAGCTGCCAGTTGATGACCTGTTTCTCAAACTAGACACTCTAATGTATTTGTCCTCTTGCTCAGTTGTGCACCGGGACCTCCCACTCCTCTTTCTATTCTGGTTAGAGACAGTTTGCGCTGTTCTGTGAAGGGAGTAGTACACAGCGTTGTACGAGATCTTCAGTTTCTTGGCAATTTCTTGCATGGAATAGCCTTCATTTCTCAGAAAAGGAATAGACTGACGAGTGTCAGAAGAAAGTTATTTGTTTCTGGCCATTTTGAGCCTGTAATCGAACCCATAATTGCTGATGCTCCAGGTACTCAACTAGTCTCAAGAAGGCCAGTTTTATTGCTTCTTTAATCAGCACAACAGTTTTCAGCTGTGCTAACATAATTGCAAAAGGGTTTTCTAATGATCAATTAGCCTTTTAAAATGATAAACTTGGATTAGCAAACACAACGTGCCATTGGAACACAGGACTGATGGTTGCTGATAATGGGCCTCTGTACGCCTATGTAGATATTCCATAAACAATCTGCCGTTTCCAGCTACAGTAGCTATTTACAACATTAACAATGTCTACACTGTATTTCTGATGAATTTGATGTTATTTTAATGGACAAAAAAAATGCTTTTCTTTAGAAAACAAGGAAATGTCTAAGTGATCACAATCTTTTGAACGGTAGTATATACAGTCCTGGTCAAAAGTTTTGAGAATGACACAAGTATTGGTCTTCACAAAGTTTGCCGCTTCAGTGTTTTTAGATATTTTTGTCAGATTTTACTATGGTATACTGAAGTATAATTACAAGCATTCCACAAGTGTCAAAGGCTTTTATTGTCAATTACATTAAGTTTATGCAAAGAGTCAATATTTGCAATGTTGACCCTTCTTTTTCAAGACAGCTGCAATCCGCCCTGGCATGCTGTCAATTAACTACTGGGCCACATCCTGACTGATGGCAGCCCATTCTTGCATAATCAATGCTTGGAGTTTGTCAGAATTTGTGTGGTTTTGTTTTTCCACCCGCCTCTTGAGGATTGACCACAAGTTCTCAATGGGATTAAGGTCTGGGGAGTTTCCTGGCCATGGACCCAAAATGTCGATGTTTTGTTCCCCGAGCCACATAGTTATCACTTTTGCCCTATGACAAGGTGCTCCATCATGCTGGAAAAGGCATTGTTCGTCACCAAACTGTTCTTGGATGGTTGGGAGAAGTTGCTCTCGGAGGATGTGTTGGTACCATTCTTTATTCATGGCTGTGTTCTTAGGCAAAATTGTGAGTGAGCCCACTCCCTTGGCTGAGAAGCAACCACACACATGAATGGTCTCAGGATGCTTTACTGTTGGCATGACACAGGACTGATGGTAGCGCTCACCTTGTTTTTTCCGTATGCCCAAAACAATCGGAAAGGGGATTCATCAGAGACAATGACTTTACCCCAGTCCTCAGCAGTCCAATCCCTGTACCTTTTGCAGAATATCAGTCTGTCCCTGATGTTTTTCCTGGAGAGAAGTGGCTTCCTCGCTAACCTTCTTGACACCAGGCCATCCTCCAAAAGTCTTTGCCTCACTTTGCGTGCAGATGCACTCACACCTGCCTGCTGCCATTCCTGAGCAAGCTCTGCACTGGTGGTGCCCCGATCCCACAGCTGAATCAGCTTTAGGAGACGGTCCTGGCGCTTGCTGGACTTTCTTGGGCGCCCTGAAGCCTTCTTCACAACAATTGAACCTCTCTCCTTGAAGTTCTTGATGATCCGATAAATGGTTGATTTAGGTGCAATCTTACTAGCAGCAATATCCTTGCCTGTGAAGCCCTTTTTGTGCAAAGTAATGATGACGGCACGTGTTTCCTTGCAGGTAACCATGGTTAACAGAGAAAGAACAATGATTTCAAGCACCACCCTCCTTTTAAAGCTTCCAGTCTGTTATTCTAACTCAATCAGCATGACAGAGTGATCTCCAGCCTTGTCCTCGTCAACACTCTCACCTGTGTTAACGAGAGAATCACTGACATGATATCAGCTGGTCCTTTTGTGGCAGGGCTGAAATGCAGTGGAAATGTTTTTTGGGGATTAAGTTCATTTTCATGGCAAAGAGGGACTTTGCAATTAATTGCAATTCATCTGATCACTCGTCATAACATTCTGGAATATATGCAAATTGCATCATCAAAAACCGATGCAGCAGACTTTGTGAAAATTAATATTTGTGTCATTCTCAAAACTTTTGACCACGACTGTGTGTGTGTGTATATGTGTATATGTGTGTATATATATATATATATATATATAGTGAGGGAAAAAAGTATTTGATCCCCTGCTGATTTCGTACGTTTGCCCACTGACAAAGACATGATCAGTCTATAATTTTAATGGTAGGTTTATTTGAACAGTGAGAGACAGAATAACAACAAAAAAATCCAGAAAAACGCATGTCAAAAATGTTATGAATTGATTTGCATTTTAATGAGGGAAATAAGTATTTGACCCCTCTGCAAAACATGACTTAGTACTTGGTGGCAAAACTCTTGTTGGCAATCACAGAGGTCAGACGTTTCTTGTAGTTTGCCACCAGGTTTGCACACATCTCAGGAGGGATTTTGTCCCACTCCTCTTTGCAGATCTTCTCCAAGTCATTAAGATTTTGAGGCTGACGTTTGGCAACTCGAACCTTCAGCTCCCTCCACAGATTTTCTATGGGATTAAGGTCTGGAGACTTGCTAGGCCACTCCAGGAGCTTAATGTGCTTCTTCTTGAGCCACTCCTTTGTTGCCTTGGCCTTGTGTTTTGGGTCAATGTCATGCTGGAATACCCATCCACAACCCATTTTCAACGCCCTGGCTGAGGGAAGGAGGTTCTCACCCAAGATTTGACGGTACATGGCCCCGTCCATCGTCCCTTTGATGCGGTGAAGTTGTCCTGTCCCCTTAGCAGAAAAACACCCCCAAAGCATAATGTTTCCACCTCCATGTTTGACGGTGGGGATGGTGTTCTTGGGGTCATAGGCAGCATTCCTCCTCCTCCAAACACGGAGAGTTGAGTTGGTGCCAAAGAGCTTGATTTTGGTCTCATCTGACCACAACACTTTCACCCAGTTCTCCTCTGAATCATTCAGATGTTCATTAGCAAACTTCAGACGGCCCTGTATATGAGCTTTCTTGAGCAGGGGGACCTTGCGGGCGCTGCAGGATAATAGTCCTTCACGGCGTAGTGTGTTACCAATTGTTTTCTTGGTGACTATGGTCCCAGCTGCCTTGATCATTGACAAGATCCTCCCGTGTAGTTCTGGGCTGATTCCTCACCGTTCTCATGATCATTGCAACTCCACGAGGTGAGAACTTGCATGGAGCCCCAGGCCGAGGGAGATTGACAGTTCTTTTGTGTTTCTTCCATTTGCGAATAATCGCACCAACTGTTGTCACCTTCTCATCAAGCTGCTTGGCGATGGTCTTGTAGCCCATTCCAGCCTTGTTTAGGTCTACAATCTTGTCCCTGACATCCTTGGAGAGCTCTTTGGTCTTGGCCATGGTGGAGAGTTTGGAATCTGATTGATTGATTGCTTCTGTGGACAGGTGTCTTTTATACAGGTAACAAGCTGAGATTAGGAGCACTCCCTTTTAGAGTGTGCTCCTAATCTCAGCTCTTTACCTGTATAAAAGACACCTGGGAGCCAGAAATCTTCCTGATTGAGAGGGGGTCAAATACTTATTTTCCTCATTAAAATGTAAATCAATTGATAACATTTTTGAAATGTGTTTTTCTGGATGTTTTTGTTGTTATTCTGTCTCTCACTGTTCAAATAAACATACCATTAAAATTATAGACTGATAATTTCTTTGTTAGTGGGCAAACGTACAAAATCAGCAGGGGATCAAATACTTTTTTCCCTCACTGTGTGTGTGTGTGTGTATATATATATATATATATATATATATATATATATATATATATATATATATATATATATATATATATATATATATATATATAAACTCAGCAAAAAAAGAAACGTCCCTTTTTCAGGACCCTGTCTTTCAAAGATAATTCTTAAAAATCCAAATAACTTCACAGATCTTCATTGTAAAGGGTTTAAACACCGTTTCCCATGCTTGTTCAATGAACCATAAACAATTAATGAACATGCACCTGTGGAACAGCTTACAGACGGTAGGCAATTAAAGTCACAGTTATGAAAACTTAGGACACTAAAGAGGCCTTTCTACTGACTCCAAACACCAAAAGAAAGATGCCTAGGGTCCCTGTTCATCTGCGTGAACGTGCCTTAGGCATGCTGCAAGGAGGAATGAGGACTGCAGATGTGGCCGGGGCAATAAATTGCAATGTCTGTACTGTGAGAAGCCTCAGACAGCGCTACAGGGAGACAGGACGGACAGCTGATCGTCCTCGCAGTGGCAGACCACATGTAACAACACCTGCACAGGATCGGTACATCCGAACATCACACCTGCAGGACAGGTACAGGATGGCAACAACAACTGCCCGAGTTACACCAGGAACGCACAATCCATCCATCAGTGCTCAGACTGTCCGTAATAGGTTGAGAGAGGCTGGACTGAGGGCTTGTAGGCCTGTTGTAAGGCAGGCCCTCAGCAGACATCACCGGCAACAACGTCGCCTATCGGCACAAACCCACCGTCGGTGGACCAGACAGGACTGGCAAAAAGTGCTCTTCACTGACGAGTCGCGGTTTTGTCTCACCAGGGTTGATGGTCGGATTCGCGTTTATCGTCGAAGGAATGAGCGTTATACCAAGGCCTGTACTCGGGAGCGGGATCGATTTGGAGGTGGAAGGTCCGTCGTGGTCTGGGGTGGTGTGTCACAGCATCATCGGACTGAGCTTGTTGTCATTGCAGACAATCTCAACGCTGTGCATTACAGGGAAGACATTATCCTCCCTCATGTGGTACCCTTCCTGCAGGCTCATCCTGACATGAACCTCCAGCATGACAATGCCATCAGCCATACTGCTCGTACTGTGCGTGATTTCCTGCAAAACAGGAATGTCAGTGTTCTGCCATGGCCAGCGAAGAGCCCGGATCTCAATCCCATTGAGCACGTCTGGGACCTGTTGGATCGGAGAGTGAGGGCTAGGGCCATTCCCCCCAGAAATGTCAGGGAACTTGCAGGTGCCTTGGTGGAAGAGTGGGGTAACATCTCACAGCAAGAACTGGCAAATCTGGTGCAGTCCATGAGGAGGAGATGCACTGCAGTACTTAATGCATCTGGTGGCCACACCAGATACTGACTGTTACTTTTGATTTTGACCCCCCCTTTGTTCAGGGACACATTATTCAATTTCTGTTAGTCACATGTCTGTGGAACTTGTTCTCAGTTGTTGAATCTTGTTATGTTCATACAAATATTTACACATGTTAAGTTTGCTGAAAATAAACGCAGTTGACAGTGAGAGGACATTTCTTTTTTTGCTGAGTTTATATATATATTTAGGTCTGACTCCATTTGAGGGGAAGAAATGGGCCGGTGTGTTAGAAATGACAGGGCCGATACAGTATCGCTTACACTTACCCAGTTGTCTCAGATCTGCAAAGAGGAGTGAACAAGAGCAGGAGGGATGGGGGGGAAAAATGCACTGAAGCCCAGGGTCACCTTTAGTAGCCTAACGTTTTCGAGCGTTGCAGACAGGAATGCCATGAAGATTCCTTCTTCAGAGGCATGTTTGTCCATTGTTCTAGCATATTCCTATCTAAATATTGGCCAACGTTGTTTCCTGCTGAACGCACCCCTGATGTGTTTGGTGTTCTGTTCACTCATTACATCTAACCTCTTACCCCCAGAGCGCGAGAAGCGCTGCGCCAGTGCCTGCCCGACCAGTTGAAGGATGCCACTTTCGCCCAGGTGCTAAAGGACGACACCACCACAAAGCGCTGGCTGGCCCAGCTGGTCAAGAACCTGCAGGAGGGCCCAGTGACGGACGGCCGAGGCATCCCCCTGACCACACAGTGACATCATCAACCCCTTGGACACTACCTGAGGGATGGTACCATGCTGGCAGAGCCGCAGAAGAAAAACATGACTAGTGCTTGAAGTTAAACGAAAAAGGTGCCGCTAGTCATTTTAGGTGCCGGTACTAATTTTAATTGTAAAGTACCAGTGTTAATATTTAAGAGTAAATATTCTGTAAGAGGTGCCGGTACTCAAAAGAGTAGAATATTAGAGGCTCCGGTACTCTAGTGGTGTGCACCGGTCCAATTTAAGCACTGTCCAAGACCAGGAGAGGATGATGCTGTGAAGAACCTTAAACTCTGTGGCTCACTTGTTGTTGCCGCTCACATGGCATTCTCCCTGAGACGTTCTCACAATGCTTCCTAAATGCTTATGGAGGTGTTTGTGTTACATTTCAACAGGGACGCATAATATGGGGTTTACCGTTGATGTCATCAAAAATGAAATCAACATTGATGTCACAAATTGGGCTGGTTTTAACCTGGTGTTCCCACTGTTTTTGTACTGTTCTGAACTGAAACCACTACAGGCTTTTTCGAAGTGTTTTTAAACATATTTTTTTATGTTTTCTTTTAGCCCTTGGTTCCACGAATTTGGCCCGCGGGTGACGTTATTTGGCACCCCAAGTTTTGAGCAACAAAAAAAAAAAAAAAAAAAGTGTATTTTAATTAAACATTTTTATTGTTGGACATAAGACTGTAAAAACACCAGGAAATCAGCTCTAAGTGAATTGGGAAATCTGTTCCAAAGTATTCCCACGCATAATAGAGAGATACTGTACACTACCGGTCAAAAATGTTAGAACACCTACTCATTCAAGGGTTTTTCTTAATTTTTACTATTTTCTACATTGTAGAATAATAGTGAAGACATCAAAACTATGAAATAACACATATGGAATCATGTAGTAACAAAAAAGTGTTAAACAGAGATTCTTCAAATAGCCACCCTTTGCCTTGATGACAGCTTTGCACACTCTTGGCATTCTCTCAACCAGCTTCATGAGGTAGTCACCTGGAATTCATTTCAATTAACAGGTGTGCCTTGTTAATTTGTGGAATTTCTTTCCTTCTTAATGCGTTTGAGCTTATCAGTTGTGTTGTGACAAGGTAGGGGTGGTATACAGAAGATAGCCCTATTTGGTAAAAGGCAAAGTCCATATTATGGCAAGAACAGCTTAAATAAGCAAAGAGAAACGACAGTCCATCAATACTTTAATACAATGAAGGTCAGTCAATGCAGACAATTTCAAGAACTTTGAAAGTTTCTTCAAGTGCAGTCGCAAAAAACATAAAGCGCTATGATGAAACTGGCTCTCATGAGGACCACCACTGGAATGGAAGACCCAGAGTTACCTCTGCTGCAGAGGATAAGTTCATTAGAGTTACCAGCCTCAGAAATTGCAGCCCAAATAAATGCTTCACAGAGGTCAAGTAACAGACACATCTCAACATCACCTGTTCAGAGGGGACTGTGTGAATCAGGCCTTCATGGTCGAGTTGCTGCAAAGAAACCACTACTAAAGGACAACAATAAGAAGAAGAGACTTGCTTGGGCCAAGAAACACGAGCAATAGACATTATACCGGTGGAAATGTGTCCTTTGGTCTGGAGTCCAAATTGGAGATTTTTGGTTCCAACCACTGTGTCTTTGTGAGATGCGGTGTGGGTGAACGGATGATCTCCGTATTTGTATTTCCCACTGTAAAGCATGGAGGAGGAGGTGTTGTGGTGTGGGGGTGCTTTGCTGGTGACACTGTCTGTGATTTATTTAGAATTCAAGGCACACTTAACCAGCATGGCTACCACAGTGTTCTGCAGCGATTTGCCATCCCATCTGGTTTGGGCTTAGTGGGACTATCATTTGTTTTTCAACAGGACAATGACCCAACACACCTCCAGGCTGTGTAAGGGCTATTTTACCAAAAAGGAGAGTGATGGAGTGCTGCATCAGATGATCTGGCCTCCACAATCCCCCGACCTCAACCAAATTGAGATGGTTTAGGATAAGTCGGACCGCAGAGTGAAGGAAAAGCAGCCAACAAGTGCTCAGCACATGTGGGAACTCCTTCAAGACTGTTGGAAAAGCATTCCAGGTGAAGCTGGTTGAGAGAATGCCAAGAGTGTGCAAAGCTGTCATCAAGGCAAAGGGTGGCTGTTTGAAGAATCTCAAATATAAAATATTTTGATTTGTTTAACACTTTTTTGTTACTACATGATTCCATATGTGTTATTTCATAGTTTTGATGTCTTCACTATTATTCTACAATGTAGGAAATAGTGAAAATAAAGAAAACCCCTTAAATGAGTAGGTGTTCTAAAACTTTTGACCGGTAGTGTATGTGAGGGTATACAAATGTAAACAAGGTTTGAACTGATTGTTTTAGTCAAATATTATATATGTTTGGGCTTCTTGCAGTCAATTTGCAGTCTACACATTATTTGTAATTATGTTCCGGCCCCCTGACCATCCACTCAAGACAAATATGTTCTACCTGATACTTCATTGCACCCACCTGGTGTCCAAGGTATGTATAATTATGTGATTAGAGGGGAACAATGAAAACAAGCAACCAAATCTCGCTTACGGCCCCAAAAGGCTAGAGGCGGCTCTGCATCAACAGAGGGCTACCTTTTTTCTTAGGAGCTATACGTTGAACATATCTACTGTAACGTATTCCAAAACAAACCCCAATCTCAGTAAAAACTGTTTACATCCTTTAATTTTTGAAGGAATAACTGTTTATATCCTCGGTTATTGGAAATTGAGATTTAGAATGTGATTTCCGAGTTATCGTAAATGATCTGAGAACAGTTTCTTGAAGTGCACGTCATTATTGAAGAGAAGAATGGTTTACCCTCACTTGTACATTAGCCTTCAACAGCTTTTAGCTTGCCATTTCCTCCATAGGTTCTATTAACGATACAAGGGAGGGATTTTCATTTTGTTTATTGGAGTAGATTCCATTTGTAAATAAATTGGATCCCTAGAGGATCTCTGCTAAAATCTGTGTAATGTGCTTTCCTGTCGGGAAAGTGCCCATTAAAATAATTGTCTATACACCTATCTGGAACGCTCCATGTTATGTTATTCTGTTACAACATTAGGAAAATGAGAACCACATTTGTAGATATTGAAATGTATTATGATCAAAAGTAGGCAAACTATGTGAAACAAATTTTACTGATTGCAAAGTATTTAAATACTGCTACTACTAGTGAAATGGGGTTGCATCTTCTAGTTGCAAAGAGGCAATTGCAAATTATACCCAAACTCCTGGATTTTCCACTATAATGTTTTAGATTGATACCAGAGCAAGGTTTGGTCCATAGGAGGGTAGAATTCTCATGGGAGTGATATGTGATGCTGTGAAAGCTGTTCCCATGGCTCATTCTACCACTCTGGTCTCTTAACTGCAGTGCATGGGCACACAGCCAAATGGGATGGCACTTTCTCGATTAGGTCCTCTCTCTTTCTCTTTAGTATAACTTGCTCTACCAGTCTAATTTCCTACCATGTTTTCAGATATGATATCAGTCATAGTGCCAGTGCTAAGTGGGTAACCACAGAGACATCAGAGAGTGTTTTAGATGTTGGAGAGGATGGGACATAATGTACAGTACCAGTCAAAAGTTTGGACACACCTAGTCAATCCAGGGTTTTTCTTTATTTTTACTATTTTCTACATTGTAGAATAATAGTGAAGACATCAACTATGAAATAACACATATGGAATCATGTAGTAACCAATAAAGTGTTAAAAAAATCAAAATATATTTTATATTTGAGATTCTTCAAAGTAGCCACCCTTTGCCTTGATGACCGCTTTGCACACTCTTAACACTTTCTTTGGTTACTACATGATTCCAAATGTGTTATTTCAGTTTTGATGTCGTCACTATTATTCTACAATGTAGAAAACAGTAAGAATAAAGAAAAACCCTTGAATGAGTAGGTGTGTCCAAACTTTTGACTTGTACTGTAGCTACCAATATATTGGACAATAATGTATTGGACAATAAACTCAGCAAAACATGGCTGCTTGTGAAATAGACATAAATGAACTCTGATGGGATTAGTGCAGTATGTATGGAAAGGATTGTCTGGGTTTGTGAGAACTGGAGTACTGTATGCTGCTCTCTACATGTATTTTGATCTTGCACAGGCAACCTAACCCCTCCTTGACTCAGTTATCTGTAATCTGTCTGTACCGAGGTAAGCACGAAGGCCTGTCTGGGTTGCTGCCCTTTAAAGGGCGGCTGAACTTCCTGATTTGGCCTCGTTTTCGATTTGGTTCATTAAGAAATGCTTGCAGCCATGATGAATTCAAAACGTGAGTTGGTTTTGGGGTGTGGTTTGATGTGGGTGTCTTGTGCGTGTTCGCAGGTGGGAAGAGTTAGCCAAACGTCTTTCGCTAATTCGCTTCAGCCGTCTAGTGTGCGACCGTGGCAAAATTGGTTTGACTTTGGATAGCCTATCTCCGGTGCTAGTTAGGGACCATCAATAAATTACACAATGTAAATTACACTATTTTCACGTTGCACACCTTTTAGTTTTCTAATTAAATGCTTTCAATATTACAATTTCTACAATGTATATATTTGGTTTAAGGTTTTTAAGTCATTGAAATTTGGAGTTATTAGAATTGTAACATATTGTACCATGTGTAATTTACTGATAGTCCCTAACTAGCCACATAGGGATGGATATCCAAAGTCAACCCAAATTTACGACCGGTATTGCGATCGAGTCGCATGCAGCTGCAATCCGAATTGATGATTACTTTCTGTGGGCATGTAGGCAGGATTGAAACAAACACAACCTTAATTTACGTTGTGATGCCGTCACGACCACAAGTCTCACAAAACTCTGTTTTGGACGTGACTAACTTTATGACCATACTTATCCTATTTACACCTTGTAGTCAATTTTGACAATAGAATAAATGTTTCTGACTCATATCGATGCCACGTAGGCTGTTTTCTAAATGTGAAGTTGGTTTTTAGGGGTATTTGCTCTTTAATCCAGGGAGAGGAGTGAATCGAATCTGCAGTCAGCTGATATATAAGGGAGAGTGTGTGGAGACAGAGAGCAAGACATTTAAAGTGAGAGGCAGCATAGTGAGGCAGCATACAGGAAAATGATAAAGGATAGCGAAGAGAGCAGCCTTGGAAAAAATGAACAGCCCTCATCAGATGTGAGGGGGGAGGAAAAGAGAGGGAGTGGCAGGAAAGGAAGGAAGGAGAGGGGGGAGGTGGAGGGGGTAGGAGTGTACCAGCATGCGGCAGTGTTGTCTGGGGATCAGTTTTCACAGACAAAGCAGGCAGAGTGGAGCCTGGTGGACAGAGAGGCTGACACTGAGCCAGCTTTCCTCTGGACACTCCCCATCTCCCTATGCTGGGCTAGTGGTCTCAGGACGCACCCTGAGCGTCCTATGTTCTGGAGCTTTCTACTGGGCCTGCTACCTCCAACAGACTCCCATCTCTGGAGGCCTTTCTGGGGGCCAGCTATCTTTGGGCACTCCCTAATTCTAGTCTGGTCTAGAGCCCTTTCCTGGACTGGCTCTCACCAAACATCACCAATCTATTCTGGAGCTCTTCACAGCAGTGGCAGCCCCAACTGAGCCAGGGCAAAGACCTAAAGGAGCGGTCTACAATTTGGTAAGTCTCCTTTTTCTCCTTTGACCCTTCAAATTACTTTACAGACACTCACTCTGATTTTGTCCCCATCTATACACTACAGTATATGTTCAGCAGAGGTTGTGGTTTAGTATTGTTTTTGTTGGTTTGATGATAATATACCCCCTTGGTCCCTGTTTTAATTCTGTCTCATATTACAGCATCTGGTTCTACTTTGTTGTCCTTCAGCCAGCCATCCTCCCTCCCTGGCACAAGCACATTTTACATGCATGAAAAATGTGTTTATAGGATTCTTCGCAAAGCTCCTCCTGAAGTGTAGAACCTCCCTGTGAGGGTCGAGCACAGAGCTTTCATGAAAGGGGAAGTTGAACATTCCTGTGGATATCACAGATGGTTATAATAAGGGGAGCTTGTAGTGGAGACATATGGGCATAATAATGAGGCTGCCACTTCACTGGGCGTACAGTATTTCTATATTACTTTGAGTAGTTTTTAGTGTGAGGATGAGACCGATTTACCAGTGAGTCATGATTCTGTGCATGTGCGTGTGTGTGTGTGTGTGCGTTGACCACCCTCTTGCACGTGGACGGGTATTAGTCAAATCCCCTGAAAGAGTTCTCTGTCCGAAACATTCTTGCCACCGCCACCCAAATAACATAACATAGAAGTTTATTCATTGGCTAGAACCATATGACTTTGTGTGTCTGCATGAGCGTGTACTGTATGTGTAGAATATACTGTAGTTATAGAAGGGGTCCAGGAAAATGACCACTGCTTTGTGCGAGTTCTGTGTCTGCCTCTTCTTTAACATCTTTTCACAAACATCACACAACAATCAACAACATCACTGGGGTGGTTAAAAAGTATCAAACAGATAGTTTCTTTGCCTTTGCTACACTTTTATTGCTGGGTAAAGAGTTGATATTTGCTAACAGTGGGCCTGGAAGGGAAAGTATCTGTGGTATTTTCAACAGTGGAACATTGACCTTGCTGTGAACAGTTGAAAACAACCCCGGAAGATACTTAGGGGGTCTTATATTGCCATTGTTCTACAAAGGTTGTAAAATGACAATGTGAGGATAGAGAGCCATTGAAAAGCCAAAAAATAAGGGAGAGTAGCCATTTGAACTATCCCTTTATGGAACATTTGTCTGTTGTTCAGAGTGTGAAATGCAATAATCCTTGTGAGTTTCCTCTCGGCGAAGGTTTAAGAACCTATTTCCAAAGGGACTAGACAGCTGAGCCAAAAGTTGTCATCATTAATAGGCTTGGGTGGTATCCAGATTGTCATACCTTCATACCGACCTTGTGCCATACCGGGATATTCAGTAATACCAGCACTGAACACAAGGGGAGCTATTTTCAAACCCCACTGAGCCTTTGTAATCTGAAGGTAAGACATGCTAAGAAGTACATGTAAAATCCCATAGAGAATGCTAACTAAATGCTAATCTCTTGGCTGTTTCCAAATGCCATGGTATACACGGTATACCGCCTAAGCCTAGTCATTAACACAGAGAGTCAGGGACATAGAGAAAATACAGGCATATATATATATATATATTTTTTTTTTTTTTTTTTGTCATTTAGCAGATGCTCTTATCCAGAGCGACTTACAGTTAGTGAGTGCATACATTATTTTTACATTTTATTTTCATACTGGCCCCCCGTGGGAATCGAACCCACAACCCTGGCGTTGCAAACGCCATGCTCTACCAACTGAGCTACATCCCTGCCGGCCATTCCCTCCCCTACCCTGGACGATGCTGGGCCAATTGTGCGCCGCCCCATGGGTCTCCCGGTCATGGCCGGCTACGACAGAGCCTGGATTTCGAACCACTGCGCCACACGGGAAGCATATTACTTGATAACTGCCCGTTACTTTAATTGAGATGTTTTAGATTCATGAATGTGATACCTGGTTGTTATGTGAATTATTTAACAAACTATTTCAGTTTCTCTGTGCGTCTCCCAAAAGGTATACAACCTTACATGATTATTGGTGTTGTATCGGTAACCTGGCGTTTATAAGGCTCCAGAACGGATAGAGTTACAGCAAAATCTACAGTTGTTTGTGACTTTTGACTTTACTAATATTCTATTTCTCACACATGCTACTTTAATTCCTTCTGGTGTACTTTTTGTATTTGTTTAACCCGGATTATTTGTTGACTGTTCAATAATCTCTTACAGGTTCCATCCCATAGGTGTACTTTAAATAGTTCCTTCTATTTCAACACCGGGTAGTTTCTTTTGGTAATGGCCCATTACCGTGAATCGTTACGGACCCACCAACAGGTTGACTAGTCCCCCAGAATTATCTCCTACTCTACGAAGGAGTCTATCCTCACAATGTAATCTTGATAATTCCTGACAGTCAACCCCAAATTTCACTTAAAATGGCTACGCATTGATCAATTTGCTACTTTTCAATATTTTAGCAAGTCCTCAAATCAATTTCACCAAGTTAATGAATAAAGACTACTGACCTTATCCTTGCAGCCGAGATTCAATGTAGGTTTGGATTCCGTCACCGTCTCTGTCATTAATCAGGTGTCCTCTGGCCTGTTTTAACCCTTAATGTCAAAGGGCAGGACTTTCTATTTACGAATGTATCATTCGCCCGTCGACGGTTTTCAGAGTTACCTGGAATGACAGAAACAGGGTATTGGAGTCCGGCTCAGAAGGACCAAGCTGTTATGTGAATTATTTAACAAACTATTTCAGTTTCTCTGTGCGTCTCCCAAAAGGTTGTAAGTCTTTTGGGATTTAAGTAACGGCCAGAGTCCCGGTCTGCATAGTCAGAGATATTTATTCATTGAGAATTCTGCCATCACAATTTCAGAGTCCATCTTTTATACTCATACGTCATACAAAAAGAAATCCCTCCCCTCTGTAGGCGGGCTGTAGTTTTCCACTCTAAAACTGCTCTACTGACCTTAAGTTCACACACACACACATATACACACATGCATACACACATACATACACACACACACACATATCCTACTCCCTGCATTACTCAGTTATTGCCGTTCTCACAATAACATAACAGTTTCTCCCCTCCCTAAATTGGGAGGCCTCTTTATCTTAGTTTCTCAGTTGTCTTTGTTGTCTGGCCTAACTCTTACTCACGTTGCTAAATAGTGGCTCAATGCCATAGCCTTTACTGGTCCTACACTCACACATTTCTAACACATTATACACAGTTTCAGGGTGTAATAATTAGTCATTAATAATTAATATATCACTGGTTCATTCCCTGTATTGACCAATGAGAGTTCTGCAGTGCAGGGTGACTCAATTGAATCAATACAGCACACAGACTGTATGAGACTAAGAGACCGTAATCTCCCGAGTGGCGCAGCGGTCTAAGGCACTGCATCTCAGTGCTTGAGGCGTCACTACAGACCCCCTGGTTCGATTCCAGGCTGTATCACAACCGGCCGTGATTGGGAGTCCCATAGGGCGGCGCACAATTGGCCCAGCGCCGGTGTAGGCCGTCTTTGTAAATAAGAATTTGTTCTTAACTGACTTGCCTAGTTAAATAAATAAATAAAAATCAGTGCAGCACAGAGACTGTCAATCATTTACCCCCCCTCCCTCTTAGCCAATCAGTAGATGGATAGAGAAAGCAAAAGCCTGATTTGGATTTCTAAGCTCTGCAGGTAACCCAGTCATAATGTTGATGACACAGTTAGAACAATTATTCAGCCATGGTGGGCCACACTGATCAGCAAGTAGGGTGGAAATTAGTTTACCACCGCTAATAATTTGTAGAGCCTATGCACTTGTTTCACTATCACAGCGTAATAGGTATCGCAGCAATTCTTTTTGTCCTCTTTTTTTGGCAGGATATCCCCAAGTGCATGTGTCAAGGCTGTTCATGGATTCTCCCCAAAGCTTGTGTAAGTTGATGGGTACTAAAATGTTGCATGAGGAAACAAGCAATAATACAATTGTATTTTCTTTGATAAAATCTTAAAAATGAACAGCCTCCATTAAACAGAATAGAGAAACAACATTGGGGTCTCAATTGACCAAATATGGACTGTATTTGTAAACACGACGGGTCAAGATAACCCATGACCCCTAACCCCTGATCCTGCACAGTTGTCAAGGGTGACAAGGACCTCCAGGTGATGAAGGCGGGGGCCATGTTGAAGAAGGTCAAGTCCAACTCGTGGAAGAAGCAGCGGCATTTCCGGCTACAGGAGGACGGCCAGACCATCTGGTACAAGTCCAGGTGGGCAGGAACAGGCCACTCCACATGTGAGTAACGGGGTGTGGGTGGCGGGAGGGAGCACGGATGAGACGGCATAAGAATTAACTACAGTCTGTACATACTGTAGATAACTGAATTGACGGCCATATTATTTCTCTTTTGAAAAAAGGATGATGCATACAATCATTCCTTGAGAAATCACTTTAGCATTGAAAAAGCCTAAGTATGTCTTCACATACAGCGCCTTGCAAAAGTATTCATCCCCCTTGGCGTTTTTCCTATTTTGTTGCATTACAACCTGTAATTTAAATGGATTTTTATTTGGATTTCATGTAATGGACATACACAAAATAGTCCAAATTGGTTAAGTGAAATGAAAAAAATAACTTGTTTCAAAAAATTCTAAGAAATAAATAACGGAAAAGTGGTGCGTGCGTATGTATTCAACCCCTTTGCTATGAAGCCCCTAAATAAGATCTGGTGCAACCACTTACCTTCAGAAGTCACATAATTAGTTAGATTGCACACAGGTGGACTTTATTTAAGTGTCACATGATCTGTCACATGATCTCAGTATATATACACCAGTTCTGAAAGGCCCCAGAGTCTGCAACACCACTAAGCAAGGGGCACCACCAAGCAAGCGGCACCATGAAGACCAAGGAGCTCTCCAAACCGGTCAGGGACAAAGTTGTGGAGAAGTACAGATCAGGGTTGGGTTATGAAAACATATCCAAAACTTTGAACATCCCACGGAGCAGCATTTAAATCCATTATTTAAAAATGGAAAGAATATGGCACCACAACAAACCTGCCAATAGAGGGCCGCCCACCAAAACTCACAGACCAGGCAAGGAGGGCATTAATCAGAGAGGCAACAAAGAGACCAAAGATAACCCAGAAGGAGCTGCAAACCTCCACAGCGGAGATTGGAGTATCTGTCCATAGGACCACTTTAAGCTGTACACTCCACAGAGCTGGGCTTTATGGGAGAGTGGCCAGAAAAAAGCCATTGCTTAAAGAAAAAAATAAGCAAACACGTTTGGTGTTCGCCAAAAGGCATGTGGGAGACTCCCCAAACATATGGAAGAAGGTACTCTGGTCAGATGAGACTAAAATGTAGCTTTATGGCCATCAAGGAAAACGCTATGTCTGGCGCAAACCCAACACCTCTCATCACCCCGAGAACACCATCCCCACAGCGAAGCATGGTGGTGGCAGCATCATGCTGTGGGGATGTTTTCCATCGGCAGGGACTGGGAAACTGGTCAGAATTGAAGGAATGATGGATGGCGCTAAATACAGGGAAATTCTTGAGGGAAACCTGTTTCAGTCTTCCAGAGATTTGAGTCTGGGACAGAGGTTCACCTTCCAGCAGGACAATGACCCTAAGCATACTACTAAAGCAACACTCCAGTGGTTTAAGGGGAAACATTTAAATGTCTTGGAATGGCCTAGTCAAAGCCCAGATCTCAATCCAATTGAGAATCTGTGGTATGAATTAAAGATTGCTGTACACCAGCGGAACCCATCCAACTTGAAGGAGCTGTAGCAGTTTTGCCTTGAAGAATGGGCAAAAATCCCAGTGGTTAGATGTGCCAAGCTTATAGAGACATACCCCAAGCAACTTGCAGCTGGAATTGCTGCAAAAGGTGGCTCTACAAAGTATTGACTTTGGGGGGGGGTGAATAGTTATGCATGCTCAAGTTTTCTGTTTTTTTGTCTTCTTGTTTGTTTCACAATAAAAACATATTTTGTATCTTCAAAGTGGTAAGCATGTTGTGTAAATCAAATGATACAAACCCCCAAAAAATCTATTTTAATTCCAGGTTGTAAGGCAACAAAATAGGAAAAATGCGAAGGGGGTGAATACTTTCGCAAGCCACTGTAGGCCCCGATTCCGACCAGAGTTAAGTGCGTGTAACTTTTTATGCACTTCTCTCTCAATGCATATTCTGACCTTGAACTTATGCATGAGAATAGCATGCTATTCACCCACTTAGTCCGGGTAGAGATCTAAGAAATGAAAGGTGCAGAAGTGTCTACAGATAAGCCATATTCTGACCTTGACTTAACTCCCTCATAATTACGCCACCTTTAGGCGTGAGGTGAATAAGGTCGAGCAAACCTGCCGGTTACAAATGGAAAAAGCATCTACTTTTTTTTATTCAGATATAAATAGCAGCATTCTCCATGCGCTGTAATTTATAAATGGATAAAAGCTATTGATAAGAGCTAGGTAAATGATTGTAAATACACAGCCATAGCTTTAGATAATTTTCCCAAATGGAAGCAAACTGAAAATCATGTATTGTGGCTCCTTTTCCACAGTGAAATAGGCTATAAATAGCTGTGCCATTAGTCAGAATTTTCATTGTGTGCCCTCATAATTTGTGTGGATGAAATCTGGACACCCAAGCTATAGGCTTCTGTTGTACAATTTGTATCATGTTAAACATTAGCCACTATCGGGAGCCACCGTCAGTAATACCCACATACATTTATAACTGTCACTTTATTGTTCGTTTTCAATTTGTAGCTTACATTTAGCATCATTCCGTTTCCATTCTCTTTTTTTTGTCACATTCGTGTAAGTTGTTCCGCCAGCATTAGTGGATCATATTAGGCTGTTGTGAAATAATTTGGGACATGTAGCCTATTTGAATCATTATGGAACTCAGACCACACGTAGCAGGTTAAACCTGGAGCCTGGTGCACGGTTCACGATGACTGGACCGTTGTCGTACGGTTCCATGATTAGTGAGAATTAGGGTAGATTTATAGGACTATTGTTCAACCCCTATTGTACACTTTTTTTCCTACCTTCCAATATTTAATGGATTGAACTCGAATATGACAACTTTCAGGGTGAATCAAACCACCATTTTTTATTCATCAATATACAGTATTTAATGCATAAAGGCTCTCCAAACCAGTTTTTTTTTTTTTATGATTCATACTTTCCTAACCCCAAAATGTTCCTAAATAATCTACAAGATCAGAGTATTTTTAAATCTACCAGTTGGTGCTGAAACTGAGACGAAGATGCATATTTAGATGGCTTCTTTCATTCTTCTCTATTTTTATGAACCCGTTCTCTCGATGCATTCTAGTCTGTCGACAAAATTCTAATTAAAGGTACACCGTATTTAAAGGGATGGCTTAAGATAAATGTATTGAAAACCCTTTTGAATAAAAACTCCATGAGAAAATATGTTGGCCAGCCAGTGGGAGGGTTTTCAGCGGTTGAATTAAAGAATGTCAGTTCGCGCATGGGAACCATGTCTGCAAAGCCCATTACGCACCTACATAAGGTCTGAATACCAACTACTGAGAAGCGTGTAGGAAAGGCGTGCGTAAGAAAGCCGTCATTTCCAAAGTCTGAATCGGGCCAATAATGCCTAATGTTCCTTTCTAGTCTCTGTGGCTGATGTTGAGGTGGTGCGTGAAGGTCACCAGTCGGAGGTCCTGCTGAGCGTCGCTGAAGAGTTCCCCGCTGACCTCTGTTTCACCCTGGTGTTCCGTGGTCGCCGTGGCAACCTGGACCTGGTGGCAGAGTCACCTTCTGAGGCGCAGGCCTGGATCCGGGGTGTACGCAAGCTGATCCAGAATGCTGAGAGTATGGATGACAAGGAGAGGGTTGACCAGTATCCTTATTATCCCATTCAGATAACAGGCAGATTTTTTTTTAATGCTTAGATGTTTTGTGACACTTGACTTGGTGGGGCCTTATCATAATACGTTCATAACATTTGACCTAAACAATCAAAACCATAGAGATCCTATTAAGTTACTAGAGGGGCTATGTCATAAACCGTCAAAGTTCCAGAATGGGGTGACAATGGCAGCCATTTTGTCCGCGAGAAATCCAAACCAGTCTAATTGGAATGAATGGCAGTAGAGGCGAAAAACAGATTTTATTGATGCTGGAAAATTGCTCACGGATTCTTTTAGCTGACCGAAATGACTGACCTTTATCCCATCATTCATGTCCATTCTAGTATTCTAATTCTTAATTCTATGGTCAAAAAACACTGGAGTTGTGAGAGTAAAGTCTTTGTTTTTGCTCCTTTCTAAATCATGTCTTACCAAGTGTTGTCCTTAGCCAGCATCTTCCCTCAGATGGATCTGGGACTGGTTTCAGAAGGCGGACAAAAACAAGGACGGACGGATGAACTTCAAGGAGGTGCGCACACTGCTGAAGATGATGAACGTGGACATGAACGAGGAGTACGCTCTTCACCTCTTCACGGTGAGGTACCCATCATGTTCGTGTGGTCTTCCGTTTAGTGTATCAAAACCAAAATAAAATATACTTATTTTCTATATTTATTCTATGCTTTCCACTGCTCATATGACATCCTCAGTCAATTAATCAACCTAGTATTGTGAGCAGCAGTTCAATTGGGATGTTGTAGGTGGTGGAATAGTTCTCAACATTGGTCATATTTAACAGAAACCTATCACAGTCAAATATCAGTAACTCATCTGCCTTCCATCATCAGGTGATGGAATTATGTTTAAGCGTGATTGATTGAGGGTACAATACCACGGGAAGACCGCTGAGACCGCTAACAATCTATGCTGCTTCTTTTCTTTACCCCCAGTTGGCAGATAAGTCAGAGTCCGGTTGTCTGGAGAACAAGGAGTTTGTCCAGTTCTATAAGATGCTGACGGAAAGGCAGGACATGTGGCGGGTATTCCAGGACTACTCCCAAGACGGACAGATGTTAACCCTTGCTGAGCTGAAGGACTTCCTGAGGCAGGAGCAACAGGAGGGGGCGAGGAGTCGGGAGCATGCCCAGGAGCTGATTGACCGCTATGAGCCGTCAGAGACCGGTAAGGACCACTGTGCAACTGTGACCAAGCACAGTCAACCATAATGAATTATGTCATTAATAGCCTCCATGAGACAATGTCAATCACAATGAACAGCAACCACAATGTTAATTACCTAGTTTACTTCAGTAAACCAGAAGAGCCCACAATGAACCATTCAACAAGTAACCATGATTAACCACCATAGTCAATTAGGACTTGTTTCAGGAAACTAGGCATATGTCGCGCGTCACTACTTCACAGGAGAGCCATTTGAACGTAAACGTAAACGGTTTTTTGGGCAGAAATGCCTTCTGGAACGTGAACTTTCATGTGCCTTAATAACAAATGTGTATGCCATCTGTAAATACGAATACAATTGTTAAATTACGAGCCTAGTTGGTTTAGCCACAGAAAAAGACGGGAACCTTCCCGCTTGCCATGATTGGCTGAGATAATGGATGGGCTGGACATGCCGAGAGATGAGTTCAGATTGGTCTGCCATGTAGCACGCTTCTGTCTATAACATGAGCTGGTCAGTACAGTATGTGTAGGTAATCCTTTCTAACGTGGCTTTTTTGAAAGATATCACGTAGTAGAACTGCAAAAGTGTTTCTCTCCACTTTCTGGAGGACCGAGTTTTGAAATCAGTGGAATGCCAGGTGGAATTAGAGTATGATAGCTAAGCAGATGGAGAACATTCTGGCGTTTGATTGCAAATATGCGGACGGAGTCGAAAAGAGAACACACAAAAGGCTGTTGTATAAAACACCTCGCATTACATCTTCAAACTAAGGGCAACCATGGCATCCGTGACAGAGAGGGAGAAGCGTCCATCCATGTATATGGGTAAGACAGTCTAGCTAGCTACATCTTCAGATATTATACGTTTCTAATTTTGTCAGAAAGTCATTTTCATTTCAAGTTAAAGCATACTGTTAGCTAGCTAGCTCGCTAGCTAATGTAACTTGTATGATCTGTTGAGTAATATTATTTGTATCTCAGAGCCATTTGCATTGCTAATTATAGCCTAATGTTAGCTAGCTAGCTAACATTGAACCTGGTTGGTTAGCTACCTGCAGATTCATGCAGGGTAGTAATATTATGAGTTGGGATTATTGTTCATTGTTTAGCTAGCTAGCTACATGTCTAAACAAAAGACTCCACTATGCAATTAACCATTTAACTACACCTTCTGTATCCTGTGCATGTGACAAATAAACTTAGATTTTATTTCATATAGTATGTGTTTACCAGAGACGGTAATGTGAAGAACATGACCTGCACCAAAGTCAAATTAGGATATAACGTTAGGCCAACGAGACAGTGTCCAAGTAAAATAATTATCCGGTAGAATGCCCTGCTTTTATTTCGTCACACTCACAACCGTAAGCTATTTTCTGTAATTGGCTCGCCATTAACTTGTAAATAATTATCTTGTTGTGAGTTTATTTTCCTGTAATAATGAAGACAAATGGGCTAAAGTGAAGACGTTGTCAGCTATATGATATGGTCATTATTTGAACTGGCTAGCCAGCTAACTTAACATTAGTTAGCTAACAAGCTAGAAACGAACCAAAACATTGTTTAGAAAGTTGCTTTTAGTTGCCTGGTTTGTTAGATTGACATATACTAAATTCATTTTTAAACGGGTGGGTTTATTGGTGTTAAAATACACCAGTTATGCTATTTTGGACCACCAGGCTGCTGATGTCATGCAGCCTGTAGTTTTTGTGTTTATACCTTTTCATAACGACAACAACAAGTTTGATGTCGGACGACTATAGAATGTTCATGATTTCACTGCGACAACTGTCGATAGGCATAGTATAAACCAGCCTTTAGTCTTTAAATCTTTGGTTGTTTAGTACATGGCCTCACATATGAATCCTTAAAGAGATGGGTGGGGCTAAAGCTTAAGAGGGTGTGAACGTTGCTGAATGGGTGTAGACAAATAAGAGCTCTCCAGTAGGTTTACCAAAACATTCAAGGGCCATTTTCTCAAAAGTGAAGTTACAAGTTTAGCAACTTTCAAAGCAGAATTACTTTCCCATTGTTCCTCAACTGTAGTGTATGATAAAACATTTTTCAAACTCTTGAGTCTCTACTTTTATCCAATGTAAAAAACACAATTTCAAATGTTGCTACATAAGATCGAGCCGGTCGGTCACAATTGTAATCAACTGCCATTGTCAACCACAATCAACAGAGAGGCGTAGTTACTGAGTATTTCCTGATTGGGGTTGACTTATGATAAGACGGAACTTCCCATGTCTCCTCACAGCCAAGAAACAGGGGGCCATGTCTATAGATGGCTTTCAGATGTACCTGGTCTCTCCAGAGGGCGCCATCTTGGATCCTCAGCGGCTGACCCTGCACCAGGACATGAGCCAGCCCCTCAGCCACTACTTCATCTGCTCCTCCCACAACACCTACTTGATGGAGGACCAGCTCCGAGGACAGAGCAGCCAGGAGGCCTACATCCAGTAAGGAACAAAACTATCCTCATCATTACAACCCATAGCTTCATACCTAACATCCAATTATAACCCTTTATAGCTCAGGGATGGGCAAATCCAGTTCTCTGGGCCAGATTGGTGACATACAGGCATGGGTACCTGACTTTGAAAGTGGGAGTGCAATTCATTTGACAGGTCTGAAACCCTACCAACCTTGTGACTCACAAACATCCTGCCCCCTTCCCAGAAAATCCCACCCATAGTGATTGATTGACAGGCCAAACTGTTAAGAACATGGCCAGGATAATGCATGACCATGAGGAAATGAAATGTTTAAAATGGCAGCAATAATATTGTTTTAGCCAATAAGAATGATAATTTTGACCTTGGTAGGTTAAGAAAAAGCATTGTTAAATTGCACATTAAGTTCATCTTATTTTTGTCTACTGTAGCCTACCTTGAGAATCTTGCCATTTTAAGATGAGAGAAAATAAAAGGGTTTTATATTTAAACAAAACTGTAGCCTGCAGTTACGGGACTGGGCTACTATCAATTATTTTCCAATATTTTTTAAATTATCATTCTGTTTTTAATGGTGGCCTTTAAAACAACAACCACAGTGAGTAGGCTACATATTTGACAACAAATCGTGAAGAAACCGAATAATCATGAAAAGTATGAGGAATAACAAAAGTGTAGTCTCAGCAAGCACGTTAATTGACCTTTCAGCTTTTCCTCCAACATGGACTTTTTTTTAAGCCTTTGCTTGAAGCACTGTCACCATTATTTATTTATTTATTAACTTGTCTCAGCAGCCCACATATTTGATGCAAAGAGGGTAGAAATTGCTTATTTGGTCCATATTACACTTACCAAGCAGAGCTGTTTTATCGAGATACAAATATCCTGTGCTTTTTAATTTGACACATACTGTAGGCACATACAGACCAGAGTACAGTGCTATGAAAAAGTATTTGCCCCCTTTCTAATTTTCTCTACTTTTACATATTTGTGATACTGAATGTTATCAGATCTTCAACCAAATCCTTATATTAGATAAAGGGAACATAAGTGAACAAACAACACAACAATTACGTATTTATTTCATTTATTTCATTTATTTCATAAACAATGTTATTCCACCCAATTCCCTTGTGTGAAAAAGTAATTGCCCCCTTACACTCAATAACTGGTTGTGCCACCTTTAGCTGCAATGACTCCAACCAAATGCTTCCTGTAGTTGTTGATCAGTCTCTCACGTCGCTGTGGAGGAATTTTGGCCCACTCTTCTGACGCTGAAGCGCAGCTGGGTCATGCAGCAAGACAATGATCCAAAACACACAATCAAGTCTACATGAAAATAGCTAAAAAGCAACAAATTGGAAGTTTTGGAATGGCCTAGTCAAAGTCCAGACCTAATCCCAATTGAGATGTTGTGGCAGGATTTGAAACGAGCAGTTCATGCTTGAAAACCCACACTTCACTGAGTTAAAGCAGTTCTGCGTGGAAGAGTGGGCCAAAATTCCTCCACAGCGACGTGAGAGACTGATCAACAACTACAGGAAGCATTTGGTTGGAGTCATTGCAGCTAAAGGTGGCACAACCAGTTATTGAGTGTAAGGGGGCAATTACTTTTTCACACAGGGGAATTGGGTGTTGCATAACTTTGTTTATGAAATAAATATGTAATTGTTGTGTTATTAGTTCACTTATGTTCCCTTTATCTAATATTAGGTTTTGGTTGAAGATCTGATAACATTCAGTATCACAAATATGCAAAAGTAGAGAAAATTAGAAAGAGGGCAAATACTTTTTCATAGCACTGTATGTGAGAAAAGTGGCGCAAGGAGTGGAGCATGCCCAATTTGACTGGAGAGCAGAGCAAGTTTCCCAAAGGCTGGAGCGTTGACCTTCTCGCTCGCTCCAATTTCGCTCCATTACCGCTCCAGTAGCGCTCACTTCACTTCACCAGCTCATGGCATGCCCAGCCCAGTATCTATTTGTAGGCTACTGCTATAGCCCCTTGCTTTGTCTACTGTCAGGTGTTCGCTAAATATTTTCATAAAGAAACTGATAAAACACACAGGTGCAAAATCAAGGTGACTTACAAAGATGAGGAGTAGCAAGAGTAGTGTCCCCAACTAAAGAATCATTGTGGAATCTGAAAATATGTGTATCCTGAAAGCATGATGGTGTACTATGTGCACATGCTACCAGAAAGAAAGCTAGCTACGTGTGTCACTGTAGCAATGTATTTATAAACAAAAAATCTGATCTCTTAAAAGTTGGTAATTTTCGTTCTATTATCTACAGTGAGGGAAAAAAGTATTTGATCCCCTGCTGATTTTGTACGTTTGCCCACTGACAAAGAAATGATCAGTCTATAATTTTAATGGTAGGTTTATTTGAACAGTGAGAGACAGAATAACAAACAAAAAATCCAGACAAACGCATGTCAAAAATGTTATCGATTGATTTGAATTTTAATGAGGGAAATAAGTATTTGACCCCCTCTCAATCAGAAAGAATTCTGGCTCCCAGGTGTCTTTTATACAGGTAACGAACTGAGATTAGGAGCACACTCTTAAAGGGAGTGCTCCTAATCTCAGCTAGTTACCTGTATAAAAGACACCTGTCCACAGAAGCAATCAATCAATCAGATTCCAAACTCTCCACCATGGCCAAGACCAAAGAGCTCTCCAAGGAGGAGGAGAGCGAGAGAGAAAAGGATACAAAGTAGTGGTCGGAGACATGGAGGGGAGTTGCAGTGAGATTAGTAGAAGAACAGCATCTAGGAAAGATGAGGTCAAGCGTATTGCCTGCCTTGTGAGTAGGGGGGAACGGTGAGAGGGTGAGGTCAAAAGAGGAGAGGAGTGGAAAGAAGGAGGCAGAGAGAAATGAGTCAAAGGTAGACGTAGGGAGGTTGAAGTCCCCCAGAACTGTGAGGGGTGAGCCATCCTCAGGAAAGGAATTTATCAAGGCGTCAAGCTCATTGATGAACTCTCCAAGGGAACCTGCAGGGCGATAAATGACAAGGATGTTAAGCTTAAATGGGCTAGTGACTGTGACAGCATGGAATTCAAATGAGGAGATAGACAGATGGGTCAGGGGAAAAATAGAGAATGTCCTCTTGGGAGAGATGAGGATTCCTGTGCCACCACCCCGCTGACCAGATGCTCTCGGGGTATGCGAGAACACATGGTCAGACGAGGAGAGAGCAGTAGGAGTAGCAGTGTTTTCAGTGGTAATCCATGTTTCCGTCAGCGCCAAGAAGTCAAGGGACTGGAGGGTAGCATAGGCTGAGATGAACTCTGCCTTGTTGGCAGCAGAACGGCAGTTCCAGAGGCTGCCTGAGACCTGGAACTCCACGTGGGTGGTGCGTGCAGGGACCACCAGGTTAGAGAGGCAGCAGCCACGCGGTGTGAGGCGTTTGTATATCCTGTGCGGAGAGGAGAGAACAGGGATAGACAGAGGCATAGTTGACAGACTACAGAAAATGGCTACAATAATGCAAAGGAGATCGGAATGAAATGAACTAAACATCTGGGAAAGGAGAGAGCGGGGCCTCCCTCACCACAACACCCAAATATAACTCTCCCAACTTCCACCTCAGAAACTATAATTGTTGTAAACTACAGCGGTTCAATGTTTTCTAGGAATAGACTAACTTAGTTTATTCAGCTAGCTAACTTGGTACAGTATTCTTCTGTGAAAATCATCCAGGGCACCTAGTCACAAGACGCCACAGCCAGCTAGCATGCCGGACTCCAACAACACGGTTTAGCACCAATACTCGGCCACAACAAACCACCAGTGTGTCAACACGCCAAGCAGATCGTTTGTGTCCGTGTCTAACGTTGTGAGTTAGTCCCGACAGCTTGAGCGAGTCCGTCGTCAACTTATTCAGCCAGTTAGTTAGCTAGAATAGTTAGCATACTAGCTAGCCATTGCTTTCAGACAAAGAAGAAACCCCTCCTTTCACGGCATGAACACACAGAGAGAGCCAAGCTAACATTAACTAGTCACCCATGTCCCGAATTCCTTGAACGACTCTGGCTACCAATATGTAAAAACAAAACACAAATGTAGGTTATGACGTACCCCTAGCAGCTACTGTTAGCTAGCCAAGTGCAAAGCTAGCCACTGAATTGACTCAGCCAGTTCGCGTCTGTTCGCTAGGTCGTTCCAGCTATTGTTTACTAGTAGCTATCCAGGTAGCAACAAGTTAGCTAAATTTCAAGCACAGTAGCCACTTACTACCTAACGTTAACGGTTCAGACAATGAGGTTAGAAAACAGCTGAATGGTAGGCATTATTGTATGTAATTATTGTAGGCAGCCAGCTGGCGTAATTACAGGCACTCTCAGGCGTGAAACAACTATACTGTTGCTAATAGTTGCCAGGTAGTGGGTTAGCTAGCTAGCTTCGTGCTTCACCGGGCTCAGCCGAATACAATACTAACCTACAATAATTACATACAACACCCCCGGGGGTGCCAGTTACCCCGGTAGAAGATTATGGCATAGGGTTTCACACAAGTGTGTTAAAATCCATTTAATCAGTTTTATTTAGAAATTCTTTAGTAAGTAATACTTAAAAGCTAAGTCTAGTTGTCTTATTTTAATTAATAAGATTATTACACTGTTGGAGCTAGGAACACAATAATTTTGCTACACCCGCAATAACATCAGCTAAATATGTGTATGTGACCAATAAAATTTGATCTTATTTTTGATTTTGATTTTTATAATTTACATAAAATATGGGGGTCGGGGAAATGGTGAAGTAAAGTCCCTCTTTTTAACTCACCTGCACATTAATTTTCTTTATTATTTATTTGTTGTTCCTTTTCCATACAATCCATTATGTACAATTGCACTAAATATTATTTGAATAATGCAAGATTTTAAATCCCAGCAGTCTTTAAAATGACATTCAGGAGCAAAAGGTTTTCAATAGTTGTTTTTAATTCATTTAAAAAAAAATCATTGGAATATAATATTGGAATGGAATATAACTAATAACATTAAATAACATTGGAATATAACATTTAATAACAATAACTTAACCAATTAACTCAGTATAACATTGATGTGGCAACTCCCTTATGCTCTGCTATTGCACAATTCTAAATTGTACATAGGTCACAAATAAAGCTATCCCCAGTAAAATTGGAGCACAACTGATGAGCCCACCTCCTGCACTGCTCACACATAATCCAGTCCCCACCTGTGGCTGAAAACAGGGGGAGAGATGCCAAATGAAAAGCTCTCTCTTAAAAACGTAGCTAGCTATCTAGCTATATCACATACAATGCTGTGTAAAATAGCTTAAAGGCTATAAAGTAACATTGACTGTAAAGCTATCAGTCCCTAGTGGAAACATTTACAACTGCAATTAAATTATGTTATCCTTTTAATGTATTTTACCTCAGACGATCTGGTAGTAAGGTTGCTAGCTAGCACTCCTAGCAGCTTATGCTAACTAGGTAGCTGGCTAGCATTTACTGCTAGTGAAGTTGCTAGCTAGCAAGTTAGCATAAACTAGTGCTAACTAGGCTAGTCATTGTCAAAATGACAGGTAGAAACATATTCATAACCATAAAGGGGTAACTAGCCCCCAGGGGCCAGCTACCCCCTAGTAGGGGGGGTGAGTTGCCCACAACACACTCATCCAACATATTAGTACTTTACTCAAAATGTATCTACATTTTCCTCTCTAAACAAGTGGATTATTGATCTTAAGGCTTTCCTACTTGTATATTTTAAATACAATTATAGATCTAACTTCATTGGAATATATCTACAACTTTTTCTAAATGTAAAAAAAAATGGATCAACTTACCACAAAATCGTTTTGTTGAAATATCTCCCAAAGTTGTGATGACACAGAGGAAATTGTTTGTTGAGCAAGAGCAGTGGCAGCCAGGAAAATGTTGGGAAATAATAAATAAATAAAATAATTTGGTGACATCTTGTGGTCATAATGTGAATTTCAGGGGAGCGGAGCAGTTACCCCAGGGGGCTAGTTTACCCCCTAGTACCATACAAAAGTATATCATTGATTTTGGCCCAATAGGCATGACATATTACCTCTTTCAAGGAGCTTTCCGTTTTGATAGGGTTGTTTCACCTACAAAACCTTTAGGCCTACCTGTAATAATAGATTTTTAAAAAACGCAGCATTCCTGCCCAGCCTAGCAAGAGTGGCCCGAAGGGTGTTTAGCATCACCTATGGCTCTGCAAGCACAGAGATGGTATTCTCCGCTGCTGGCCTGCTCTCCAGGCGCTATCGCATGAGCCTGAAGCCACAGACTCTGGCCAAACTCGTGTTTCTAAAAGTGAATTCAAGGCTGAGCCTAATAAGGCATTTGTGGTTTCATTTTTATTTAATTCTAATTAAGTCACACCCTATATGCGCAATTTATAGACTATAACGGCTTAATAAAACAAAATGTTGTTTAAATGCTGAGTCTTAGGCTTAATGCCAGCCTAGTGTGTCGCACTCGCAAATGGTTCACAATGTATTTCTTTGTAGGCTATAGCCTTGAAATAATTGAAAAATAGGCTAATAATTTAGCCTGAATAATTCATTTTCAGTACTTCTTAGGCTACATGTCGTATTAAACAGCATATAAACACTCTAAATATGTCAGGAGACAGACATGTAGCCTATTTGAAATGATGAGTGCTTCTTACAGTCACCTTTTTCCTGTTTATTAAAATAATTTTCATTAAAATCATATGGTTTGGTTTCAATACTTCAAAACCCAATGGTAGGTCCAGGTAGTCACGAAAATAGATGGGTATTGGTTAAATTGTGATTTGAATGAATGGAGCGAATTTGGAGCTGTAGTTCTTTTTCCTGTTAGCTAGGAGTGTTTTTTTAGCAGAGCAAGAGCGGTGAGAGATAAGCGGGATCTCAACTCTGCTCACATGATCTGATACAGACACAGCTTGGCTACATTGTAACCATGAAGCGCCATGGTGTGCTCGCATATGGGTCTTCGCCAGGAATGTTACATTTGTAACTTCATGAAAAGATTTTAACAATGTCATTTAACCGATTGATTTGAGGAAATACATTGCCTTCAGAAAGTATTCACACCCCTTGACTTTATCCAAGTTTTGTTGTGTTAAAAAGTGGGATTAACATGGATTTAATTGTATTTTTTTTGCAAGGACTACACAAAATACTTGAATGTCAAAGTGGAAGACAAATTCGAACATGTAACCTTTTTTTATGGAAAATAAAACACTAATATACTGTATCTTGATTAGATAAGTATTCAACCCCCTGAGTTATGTTAGAATGTTAGAATCGCCTTTGGCAGCAAATACAGCTGTAAATATTTCTGGTTAAGTCTCTTTGCACACCTGGATTGTACAATATTTGCCCATTATTCTTGGAAAACTTCTTCAAGCTCTGTCAAGTTGATTGTTGATCATTGCTAGACAGCAATTTTCCAGTTTTGCCATAGATTTTCACACCGATTTAAGTCCAAACTATAACTAGGCCACTCAGGAACGTTCAATGTCGTCTTGGTAAGCAACTCCAATGTATATTTCGACTTGTGTTTTAGGTAATTGTCCTGTTGCAAGGTGAATTTGTCTCCCAGTGTCTGTTGGAAAGCAGACTGAGCCAAGTTTTCCTCTAGGATTTTGCCTGTGCTTAGCTCTATTCCGTTTATTTTTATACAAAAAAAACTCCCCAGTCCTTGCCGATGACAAGCATACCCATATCATGATGCAGCCACCACCATGCTTGAAAATATGAGGAGTGGTACTCAGTGATGTGTTGTTGGATTTGCCCAAAACATAATACAGAGCCAACTAGGTAAAAACAATCTGCCGATGTGCCCTTGAGCTCCTTTAAGTCACTCTGGATAAGAGCGTCTGCTAAATGACTAAAATGTCAAATGTATTCAGGACAAAAAGTTAGTTTCTTTGCCACATTTTTGGCAGTATTACTTAAGTGCCTTATTGTAAACATGCATTGGAATATTTGTATTCTGTACAGGCTTCCTTCTTTTCACACTGTCAACTACAATGTTGTTGATCTATGCTCAGTTATCTCCTATCACAGCCATTAAAACTCTGTTTTAAAGTCGCCATAGGCTCATGGTGAAATCCCTGAGCAGTTTCCTTCCTCTCCAGCAACTGAGGTAGGAAGGACGCCTGTATCTTTGTAGTTACTGGGTGTATTAATACACCATCCAAAGTGTAATTAATAACTTCACCATGCTCAAAGGGATATTCAATTTCTGCTTTTTCTACCCATCTACCAATAGGTGCCCTTTGTGAGGCATTTGAAATACATAAATAAATCATGTTAAACACTATTGCACACAGAGTGAGTCCATGCAACTTATTATGTGACTTGTTAAGCACATTTTTACTCCTTAACCTATTTAGGCTTTCCACAACAAAAGGGTTGAATACTTATTGACTCAAGACATTTAAGCTTTTCATTTTTTATTAATTGATAAACATTTCTAAAAACGCAATTCCACTCTGACATTATGAGGTATTGTGTGTAGATCAGTGAAACCAAATCTCAATTTTATCCATTTTAAATTCAGGCTCGCTGTAACACAATAAAATGTGGAAAAAGTAAAGGGGTGGGAATACTTTCTGAAGGCACTGTAGATTCAGAATGGTGTTAAATGCCTGTGAACAGCTTGGGGAGGAAAACTATTTCACAGATTTAATCATTTAATATTAGGTCTGATTATTTCTCACTATATACTTGCGAGTCTGTGAGATACTCATTGACCAGACATGCAGTTTTCTGCCAAGGTGAAACCTTTGGTAGTAGGCTGATGGAAGGCTACTCAGTCAGTCGGCGGTACAGCGAAGCCTAATTAAACATGCCCGTGCTCATCAAGGTTCATACAGGCAAAGTGAAATGATACAATGAAGTTTGCTTGTGGTGCACGCAGATCAAATGATATGTAAAACCACCTTTGAACCAACACCATCGGCCATGAAACAACGACACAAATGTAACAACAGCACAACAAAATAGATAAGCCATTTTCTTTTACAGGTGCCTTTTTTTAAACACCAGTGGTGCAACTAGTGCTTTCTAACTGCACCTTTAACAGTGGTGCGTGGGAGCGAAGCAAAACTTTCCAGTGGACAAAACCATTCATCTTGAAGCGACGGGGGGAGGGGGTGCAAAATGTTATCTATTAATTAATATATAAAATTGACATATGTGTTTTAATAGACTAACTCAAAACATTGCTAATCATTGAAAATGACAAATTACCAAATGGATCATGATAATTTTCTGGTAAAAAAGTGAGGGTGCAAAAACATACGTTTGCACTCCTATTTTGAAAGTGTGGGTGCAGCTGCTTCGTTTGTGCCATTGCTCAGGTGCCTATGCACATTTGCCCCAGCCCTAGCTGACACACATCTGACTCAACTAATAATCAACTAATCATGGTCTCCAGTTTAGAATACAATTAGTTTAATCAGTGTTAGCTAGGACTGGGGGAAATGTGTGATGCCAATCAGGCCCTCTAGGACTGGAGTTGCCCATCTCTGGCTTGTATGGAAGTGAGGCACAGAACCTCTCATTGTTAAAAACCAAACCGTCTTTCAAACTGTTTTCAGTCCATGTCTGAGTTTATGTGTGATTGCTGTGCAGGGCTCTAAAGCGGGGCTGTCGTTGTGTTGAGGTGGACTGTTGGGACGGGCCGAATGGAGAGCCGGTTGTTTATCACGGCCACACCTTCACCTCCAAGATCCTCTTCAGAGACGTCATCACCACGCTGGGAGAGTACGCCTTCAAGGTGGGCACCTCGATACCTGAGTTAATTGTACCATTTGCTGTGAAAATTCACCACTAAGGACTCAAACTCATTGTAAATGAATCAATCTTCATTATCACGGCCGGAGAGGTACACAAACTCAATCCAAGCTTGATGAAAACTCTGACAAGGGCGTTCCCTTTCAGTCCTTATATACTGCTACACAAACAAGTCATATAAGCATGATTTACATTATTCATGATTCATTATTAACGTTGGTTCCTGCATGTGACTGACCGATACCTCACAAGGCTTCTTCTCTCCAAGCTGAGACCTTGAAACTGAGATACTCCTCTTGGATCCCAGAGCAATGTTCTGCCAAATTGCTTATACAGTGATAGTGAGGATTCCTCCCATGTACAATTAATCAGTGTGTACAATCAATCAGTCACTCGCATGAACCCAACATAGTTGGTTATTAGAAAAGCAGCATTGATCTGATACACACAAACAGAACATTTCCATCACACATTCATGACCACTCAGCTCTTTCTTTTTAAAATTAATTATTTACACCCTTTTTCTCCCAAATTTTGTGATTACGATCTTGTCTCATCGCTGCAACTCCCCAACGGACTAGGGAGAGGCGAAGGTCGAGTCATGCATCCTCCAAAACATGACCCGCCAAGCCGCGGTTCTTAACACTCGCTCGCTTAACCCAGAAACCAGCTGCACCAATGTGTTGAAGGAAACACCGTTCAACTGACGACCGAAGTCAGCCTGCAGGCGCCCGGCCCGTCACAAGGAGTCGCTAGAGCGCGATGAGCCAAGTAAAGCCCCCCGGGCCAAACCCTCCCCTAACCCGGACGACGCTGGGCCAATTGTGCGCTGCCTTATGGGACTCCCGGTCACGGCCGGTTGTTAGGGGAGTGACGCTGCAACACTGCGATGCAGTCCCTTAGACCGCTGCGCCACTCGGGAGGCCATGCCCACTCAGCTCGATCCCCAACTCTGTCTAATCCAGTCTCTAAGTGGTTCTGGTCCTGACCATTTGTCTTCTGTGTTGGTTTTTGCTTCAACCAAGTATTCAGCATCATAAAACAATCTGTCTTCAGCCTTAACATATCATAAAAAACATTACTGTAATAGATCTACACATTCCTCTAGGAATTCCTGTTTAGTCCCTCGTCTGTCCCATCTCCCAGGCATCTGAGTTCCCTGTCATCCTGTCCCTGGAGAACCACTGCAGCGTGGAGCAGCAGAGGGTCATGGCCCAGCTCCTGGACACCATCCTGGGGGACATGCTGCTCAGGGCACCCCTGGACGGACTGGTTCCCCAAGAGCTGCCCTCTCCCCAGGTAAGACCCCCTTCAATGTGTTTTATATTCTATTTATCTACTCTACCGTAACCATTCTTCAACAAGGCAAGTCAATTATTTAACAAGTCAATTGAGAACCCATTCTCTAAGGATTTGATTTCCTGTCTGACTATGTTCAGGTTTTTATTCAGCAGTGATGCTAAGAGCAGTACAGTCAGTGGCGTAACTACACAATTGCAGGCCCCTGTACAAAAATGATCACTGGGCCCCCAATGTAAAGCAGAACAGTAACTTAAAGTCAACAGACTAGATGAACTGGAAAGACATTCACACTTACGGGTGGCCAAAAATATCTAACTGAAAGCCACACCCCCAATTAGCCACGTATCTGAATCTCTGCTACAATATCATTGGACAGTTTTTGCATATTTCCTAGCAATCTTTGCACACCAATAAAAAATGACATTGTAACTGTTCAGTGAGGTTTGTTATATGAATCAAATAGATGTATTGTCATCAATACATTCAAATACACTGCTCAAAAAATAAAGGGAACACTTAAACAACACAATGTAACTCAAAGTCAATCACACTTCTGTGAAATCAAACTGTCCACTTAGGAAGCAACACTGATTGACAATAAATTTCACATGCTGTTGTGCAAATGGAATAGACAACAGGTGGAAATTATATGCAATTAGCAAGACACCCCCAATAAAGAAATGGTTCTGCAGGTGGTGACCACAGACCACTTCTCAGTTCCTATGCTTCCTGGCTGATGTTTTGGTCACTTTTGAATGCTGGTGGTGCTTTCACTCTAGTGGTAGCATGAGACGGAGTCTACAACCCACACAAGTGGCTCAGGTAGTGCAGCTCATCCAGGATGGCACATCAATGCGAGCTGTGGCAAGAAGGTTTGCTGTGTCTGTCAGCATAGTGTCCAGAGCATGGAGGCGCTACCAGGAGACAGGCCAGTACATCAGGAGACGTGGAGGAGGCCGTAGGAGGGCAACAACCCAGCAGCAGGACCGCTACCTCCGCCTTTGTGCAAGCAGGAGCAGGAGGAGCACTGCCAGAGCCCTGCAAAATGACCTCCAGCAGGCCACAAATGTGCATGTGTCTGCTCAAACGGTCAGAAACAGACTCCATGAGGGTGGTATGAGGGCCCGACGTCCACAGGTGGGGGTTGTGCTTACAGCCCAACACCGTGCAGGACGTTTGGCATTTGCCAGAGAACACCAAGATTGGCAAATTCACCACTGGCGCCCTGTGCTCTTCACAGATGAAAGCAGGTTCACACTGAGCACATGTGACAGACGTGACAGAGTCTGGAGACGCCGTGGAGAACGTTCTGCTGCCTGCAACATCCTCCAGCATGACCGGTTTGGCGGTGGGTCAGTCATGGTGTGGGGTGGCATTTCTTTGGGGGGCCGCACAGCCCTCCATGTGCTCGCCAGAGGTAGCCTGACTGCCATTAGGTAACGAGATGAGATCCTCAGACCCCTTGTGAGACCATATGCTGGTGCGGTTGGCCCTGGGTTCCTCCTAATGCAAGACAATGCTAGACCTCATGTGGCTGGAGTGTGTCAGCAGTTCCTGCAAGAGGAAGGCATTGATGCTATGGACTGGCCCGCCCGTTCCCCAGACCTGAATCCAATTGAGCACATCTGGGACATCATGTCTCGCTCCATCCACCAACGCCACGTTGCACCACAGACTGTCCAGGAGTTGGCGGATGCTTTAGTCCAGGTCTGGGAGGAGATCCCTCAGGAGACCATCTGCCACCTCATCAGGAGCATGCCCAGGCATTGTAGGGAGGTCATACAGGCACGTGGAGGCCACACACACTACTGAGCCTCATTTTGACTTGTTTTAAGGACATTACATAAAAGTTGGATCAGCCTGTAGTGTGGTTTTCCACTTTAATTTTGAGTGTGACTCCAAATCCAGACCTCCATGGGTTGATAAATTAGATTTCCATTGATAATTTTTGTGTGATTTTGTTGTCAGCACATTCAACTATGTAAAGAAAAAGTATTTAATAAGATTATTTCATTCATTCAGATCTAGGATGTGTTATTTTAGTGTTCCCTTAATTTTTTTGAGCAGTGTATTTAGGTGACTTATGTAGTGCCCAAACATGTTTTAAATTACAAATAACCATGATTGGGATGTGTTGTTGTTGGCCTGTTTTATAGATAAACAGCATAATGCATTTTGCAATGGTTCATAGTGGACATTGTGATTGACCATTGACAAGTCTGGTGTAAAAAATTATACAGCCCGGTATGCAGGTAACTAGGGTTCCCATGCATAACTTAATAGTGAGGACTTGCGGGCCCCCCATGGCCATGGGCTCCAGTGCACGTGCACCGCCAGCATCCCCTCGCATTCCGCCACTGAGTACAGTCTGTTTTCTCCAGTGATTTGTTTTATTATTTTTCCATTCAGAGCACTTTAGATAATCAATACTCAAGTTTATGATTGGCAGACACTTCCTATGAGGAATATCCTATGAGGTGTGTGTGTGTGTGTATGTATGCATGTGCATGCGTGCATACCCATATTAGGATCTGAAGGGAAAGATCCTGCTGAAAGCAAAGAAGATTGGCAGCCTAGAAGAAAGTGAAACGCTGACCGATGAGGCCACTGATGAGGTCAGCGATGAGGCTGAACCTGAGAGCCCGTCTGCAGAAAACCTGTCTGCAGAGGCCCTTTGTCTCCATGATAAGGTATGGGGATGGTTGGATAAATGGATGGATGGAGGTGAACGTCTGGCAACTTCTTGCCGTCATCTGCGCCAACTATTACACTTATACATTCACACATTATTACTGTTAATACATCCTGCCATTATGTAAAAAATCTAGATCATGTTTTTGTCTATCACACACTAGCAAGCAATGAACACTGCACCTTGACCTGCCAGCTAATCATGTTTTGCCTTGGTTCAGTAGCCACAAAGCAGGTGAGATTTGGTCACTTACGTAGTCATGTCATTTCCTGTCTCCTCAGAAATTCAAGTTCTCTAGGGAACTCTCGGATCTGGTGGTGTACTGCAAGAGTGTCCATTTTCACAGCTTTGAGTACTCTCGCCTGCACTCCAAGTGCTACGAAATGTCATCTTTCTCTGAATCCAAGGCCAGGAAACTTGCAAAGGACACAGGTGCGCCCTGAACTATTTTAGCAATACCTACATAGCAAACAATGTATTCATATATTGCCAAGGATCATCTGTGAGGAATTCACTCCCATTCACTGTTGTAGGACCCCTGGATTAGGGGATAGGAAAAAACGTCGCTGTATGGCTGTCTTTCTCAGGGACGGAGTTTGTGCAACACAACAGCAGACAGCTTAGCAGGGTCTATCCCAGTGGCATGAGGACCGATTCCTCCAACTACAACCCACAGGAGCTGTGGAACGTGGGTTGTCAGATAGGTGAGACATATTCTACAATAACATCCATACATATAGAAATAAATACGTGATTGGTTGATTGTTGTACTCCTAGTGGCTCTGAACGTCCAGACGGCTGGGCTGGAGATGGATCTGAATGATGGGCTCTTCAGTCAGAATGGCGGCTGTGGCTACGTCCTCAAACCTGACTTCATGAGGAATGATGACTCTTTTGACCCAGAAAGACCCCAGGACCGGGATGGCTACGCATCACTCCAACTGTCTATCCAGGTCCAGAAACAACTGCTCTGTATCATACAACTATGTTGTGTGCCTTTGTGCATGTACAGTTTGTGTTCTGGAGGTTTCGTTTTTGCATGTTTGTACTTGTCCGAGTCTTGATTGTTTGTGTGTGTGTGTGTGTGTCCATCAGGTAATCAGTGGGCAGCAGCTACCAAAGGTGAACCAGAAGGAGGGCTCCATCGTTGACCCTCTGGTTAGAGTGGAGATCTACGGAGTATCACAAGACCAAGCCAAGCAAGAGACTAGTTACATTGACAACAACGGTGAGGGACCATCTTACATGGCCTGACAAAACAGATTCATTGGGGTCTTTGTACAGACCCAGCCTACTTGGAGACGAAAATGCATGCATTATCATTATTATAATTTTTTACATGTAAATAGTATAGACCTTGCCATGTTTTAGTGAATTAGATAGAACATGACATAGAACCCCAGTCCTTCTCTTGGCTGCCTAAAACCTGGTCTCTGCTGCCCCCTGCCTACAGGTTTTAACCCTTTGTGGAACGAGACCCTCAATTTTATCGTCCACGTCCCAGAGTTGGCCCTAGTGCGTTTTGTGGTGGAGGACTATGACAAGGCCTCCAGGAATGACTTCATGGGCCAGTTCACCGTGCCCTTCACCTGTATTCAGCCAGGTAAGATAGACATGATCATATTACAACTGAGATAAAGTCTGGACAGCTTGGTAAATCTCAAGTGCAGTGTTCTTCAAATTATTGCACAAAAGAATGTTATCCTATTGACTTACCTGGTTAAATGTTAAATCAATTGATGAATCTTGTCTGAATTTTACATCGCAGGAGTGTTTTTTATTTAAGCCTGTTATGTACAAATGTACATATTTTACTGTATGAGTGATGGTTTCTAAGTGGATCTCCATGACAGAAATCTGAATTTCTTCTGGCTCCTCTCCCCACTTTTCCCAGGATATCGGCACATCCACCTCCTGTCCAAAGACGGAACGGCTATCCCTCTGTCTACTCTGTTTGTCAATGTCAAGATCTCTGAGGTAACAACAGAAGTCTGATGGCCCAATGATTGGCTGAATAACATGCTGCAAACTCCAACCACATGGGAGGGCTACAATACCTCATGATTGCTGTCACTTTCAACAAATTAACTGTTATCAGTATTAAAAGATAAATCTATATGAACTGCTTTAGAGTATTTCTGCCTAAATACCAATTTCTGTTCAAGCAAACATCAGTGGGGCCTCACACTGATGAAAGATGAAAATACACTTGCCTAGACAGCATTACCTGGGAATTCACAGCATTTAAGTGATTTTTTGCCCATTTCCCCAATATAAAGTATTTTAAAATAATCTTTTTTTACTTGTATGTCATGGGAATGCATTAAAGCAATGTTCAATAGCCTTGGCTGATCAAACTGATATAACAACTGACATACTGCAGGGCTCACAAGTCATTTTAGAGTAAGAGACTATGCAATGACCTTTGTGTTTTTATATCAGTGTTTCATAACCATTCAAGTATTCAACATTTGCATTGTGTGCTGGTAGAGTAACTTAACTGCATAAACAATTAGTCCTCCATCGAAACATTTCTATAGACATTTTATACAGTTCCTCAAAGTGTGGCATGAAACTATATCGGTATCTCATGCATCATGTTGTAAAAGTATTATATTGTAATGTATGAATGTGCATAGAGCTCTGTAAATAAAGAGAAATTAAAGACCTGCTGTTTTGAAAACATCTTATTATGAAAAGTTATTCCTATTGGTTAAACATTTTTAAACCGCGCATTTCTTGTAATTCATTATCAGTTAGCAATTGTTTTATACGCCATTAATTGGCAATGTTTTAATACTAAACATACAATTGTATATTTATTTCATGGTGCACTTTGCAATAGTATATGTACATGCATACTCAATAAGACAAGGTCAGTTGTTGATGTTTAATTCAGTTTACTGCTGTAGCCCAGTCCTCATCATGCTTGGATGAGGAAAACTGCATCAAAACATTCACTAAAATGTCTGTTTTCTCAGGTCCCAGTTGAGTGGCCTGAACCTTTCTACTCCTCTCCTTGCTGGCCTTCTGTGACCTCCTCCACCCTCTCTTGCACCAACACCTCCACCCCATCCGGTACATTCACCTCCATCCCCTCCTCCTCCACCCCAGCCCCTTCTTCCAGCCCCCCCCGACGGGCCTCCTGCAGGGTTAGGCTGAGGGCGTGGGGATCCTTGGCCACCCCCTGCTCCACGGGCTGGTCCGGGTGGTGCCCCCGGAGGTGCTTGACCACCTGGAACTTCTGCTTGGCACGGTAGGGGCAGTAGCAGCACATGAAAGGCTGCTGGTCGGTGTGGGTGAGGTAATGGTGGCGGAGGCCAGCTGGCCAACGGAAGGCCCTGCGGCACAGGCCGCACACGTAAGGCCGCTCCTCGCTGTGCTTACGCTGGTGGGTCTTAAGCAGGAAGCGCGTCTTGAAGCCCTTGCCACACTTCTCGCAGATAAAGGTGCGAGCGTCGCAGTGCTGCGTCTCCCTGTGGACGCGGAGGGCGTCACCACGGTTGGTGCGGTACTCGCACTCGTCGCACGCATATGGCTTATCCCCTGAGGGTGGAGGGAGAGGTGAAGAGAGAAAGAAAGGGCAGGGGAAAGGTAAATGTATGATCTAATTCCAACTAAATGTATGTTATAAATGATGACAGCAATAGTGTGTATGTGACTCATACTTTGTACCTGTATGTTTGGTCATGTGGTACTTCAATTGGCTCATCCACTTGCATTTGTAGCCACACTCAGGACAGAGGTACTTCTTCTCCTCCTGGTGGATCCTCATGTGATACTAGAATGTAATGATAATGATGATAAATGGGACTCTACTATGCCATTTGTAACACATGGTCCTCTACCAGTCCTTGTAGACTTTTTAAGCCCTATGGTTTGGTAATAGACAGAGAGGACCTGACTTCTATCAAATAAAATGGTGTAGTACCATGTTACATTACAGAAAAATGTGAAGGACCTCAATGCTCACCTTTAGCCTAGAGGGATCTGCGCAGGAGTAGCTGCACTGCTCACAGTGGTAGGGCTTCTCCCCTGTGTGTATGCGAATGTGCCATGTGATCTTCTGCTTGTTGCGAGTCGAGTACTGGCAGTCTGTGCACTTGTAGAGGCGAGTACCCCCGTGGGAGCGAACGTGCTGCTCAAAGACCAGCTGGTGGCGACAGGCGAAGCCGCAGATGGGACACTTCAGGGGCTTGTCCTCTGGGGGGCCATCCTCGTGCTCGTCAAGAAGGTGCTGGGTAAGTGGCTGCCTCTTACGGGTGGCAAAGGGGCAAAGCGGGCACTGCTGGGTGAGGTGGGTCCTCCGGTGCTCCTCCAGGCTCTCCCGGGTGGTGAAGGTCTCCTGGCAGGTGGCACAGTCCAGCTGAGGGTGCTTTTTCTGCTGGTGGACCTTGAGGGTGGCCTGGCTGCCACAGATGAAGTCACATTGCTGGCAGGCTACACTGGCGGGGCTCAGGTGTTTGCGGCTGCAGTGCTGCTTGAGCGCCGTGTCGGAGCTAAAGCGTGCCTCGCATTGGCTGCAGGGGTGCAGGAGCTTCCCCGTGTGGCAGCGGAGGGTATGTCGTCCAACATCGTTGAGGGAGTAGCTGCTGTAGTCGCACAGGGTGCAGAAATGGGAAGGCTGTTTGTCGTGGACACGCTTGCGGTGCTGCCGGAGCTTGGAGGCGGCGCCAAATGTCTGGTCGCAGACGTCGCAGCTGTGGCGGCCCATGCCGGTGTGAAGCGATTCATGGGCATATAGGCGGTAGCGCCGTGTGGTGCTGAACGGGCAGAAGCGGCAGCGGTGGGGCTTGGCACCTTCGTGCTTCAGAGCCACGTGCTGGGTCATGCAGCGCTCTTGCTTACAAGTAAAGGGGCAATGGTCGCAACGCAAAACTGCCCTTTTGACCTTTTTGAGGAGCGATAACTTGTCTTTCCGATGGACCAGCACATGGTTAGCCAAAGCTTTCTGCGACTTGGCCACAAACGAGCAGAATTCGCACTGCACCTCATTCGGCTTCAGGCAGCCTCGCTTCTCGTGGTTGTTCAGTGCTCTCTTCTGTTTGCACCTGAAAGGACAGTTGGGACAGGAGAACTTATGGCTGGGATTTGATACCTTCACCTCGACCACATCTTCTCCAGAACCTCCATTAATATTCCCCTCCTCCTCCGCCTCCTCATAGTTCCAATGTACCAGCACATGGTTGGCCAATGCTTTCTGAGATTTGGCCACAAACGAGCAGAGTTGGCACTGCACCTCGTCCAGCTTCAGGCAGCCTCGCTTCTTGTGATTGTTCAGTGCCCTCTTTTGTTTGCACCTGAAAGGACAGTTGAGACAGGAAAACTTAGGAGAATAGCTTGGATTTGATACCTTAATCTCAACCACATCTTCTTCAGAACCCCCATTAATATTCTCCTCCTCCTCATCGCTGTCATCATCCTGTTCCAGAGAGCTTACAATTCGGACAGCCTTCTTTGTGGGAGTTTTCCTTGTGCACGTCGAGCAGTGGCGCTCTATAGTTGCAAGCCTGGAGGACCTGAAACTGCACGTCTTGCAAGTGAATTTTCTGTCCTCTTCTGTATAGCTATGCGCATTGTCATTCTCTGTGTTCACGGGATGGGCTTTGTCCGTCTTTCCTAAGATTTTCCCTTCATTTATCTTTTTAATCTTCACAGGCCTCTTTACCTTGCCAACTTTCACTTGCTTCTTTGTCTTTCCAACTTTCTTTCTTTGGCTTTTCTGTAGTGCTGTAGATCCCCTCTCACTGGAGCCTTCAGGACTGGTCAAATCGCACAAGTTTGGTTCCTCTCCTCTAATTTCTGGTTGTGTGTCTATGGAATCTCTGGTTGGCGCAACATCACAAGATACTATCTCCGATTGATCTGCAGTTGTGGTTTTATCAGGGTTCTGGGATTTATCCTGACCATGTACCGAGTCCCTTTCTCCAGACTGTCCAGCAGAGGGCGTGCCAATGAACCTCCTGGTGTTCTTCTGCAGAGCGGGACACTTCCTGAGGTGGTGGGTGTCCAGGCCTCTCTTCTGTTTGAACTGCGCGCCGCAGGCTTGGCACTTGAGTCTCTTCCACCTGGCGAGGCAGAGGGAATGGCAGTGGTGTCGGAGACAGGTCTGCTTGCGAGTCACGTAGGAGCAGTGTTCGCAACGGTACATGCTAGCCTCTCCGGCCTCATTCTGCACCACCAGCATCTGCACCCGGCCTTCCAAGACCAGAGCCTCCGCTTGGTCCTTGTCTTGCTTCCTCAAGGCCTTCAGACGGATCTCGGAGTCGGTGCTTTGCGCCAATGGTTCAGCGGATGAGTTGCTAGCTGCGCTAGACACCTCCGCTATCTGTGTGTTATTCTCTGCAGCCTCTGCTTGTTGCCTTGTAGAGGTCAAAGGAGCTTCCCTGTCTTCTGAATCATTTAGGTCATCGCAATCCTCCATAGCCATGTCCTCTTCCTCCGCCTCACTTGCAGATGCTGACTTTTGCCTCTGGGTGTCAGATCCTTTAGGGTCCACTGTGGGTCTTCTGTAAGTTGGGTCTCTGCTGTTTGGCATCTCACCCTGCATGTTTGCCATCTCAGTGCACTCTGTGTTAGCTATTGTTGTTAAAACTAACGTACAGCATTGCTCCGGATTATCTGTTGAATTGTGACTCGCCAGAATCCCTTTGTCAACTACCACTTGGACAATATCAGAATTTGTATTAGCCATTTCTGTGGTTTTGGGGCCGGTTACAGTTTCTAGGTTGTGTTCATTTTGAACAGCAGAGCCAGCGACTTTCTCCTGTAGGTTCTTGACAGGACCTTCAGCAGAGTTCTTGGCTGGCATCTTGTAGAAGCCCTGCAGTAGGTCCACAGAGTTGTTTTCCCTCTCCTTCTCTGCATAGTTCTCTTGCCACTCCTTATCTCCAGGCACGTATCCATGAGCCTTTCTCTTGTGGATGAAGAGGCCGGTGCTGCTGTAAGTGGAGTAGGGGCAGAGGGCACAGCGGAACTCTCGAGTCCGGGTATGTTTGCAGTTTTCGTGGTTGTGCAGAGCCTGGCGGTAGCATGTCTGATAGGGGCAGTACTTGCACTGGAAGACGGGAGGCTGATGGCCCTCTCCCTGAGAGTGCTTGAGGAGCATGTGCTTGCGAAGCTCGTACTTGCGCTTGCAGGAGTATGCACAGACTTCACATATCAGTGATTTGGCCTGGTGTCGGAGTTTGTGGCTGTTCAGTTGGTCTGTGCGGTGACAACGGTAGGAGCACTGGTCACACTGGTACCTAGGAGAGGAAACAGACTGGATATGTCAATCTCTCAATGCCTAAGTGTGGCCTTAATGAACCCAACTCCTGATATGATATCCCACTTCTCACACCAAGAGGTGATAGAGCAGACATACACATCAACTTGGGTGAACATCAGACAAAAAGTATCTTGTAATGCACAGGTGGCAGCGGTGGACCTTCTGGCCGGACTCGCCTTTATCTGTTAGAAAACCCTACACTACTGCATGCACTCCATAAAACAGACCACTATTTTCTCTGTCAGTTCTCTAAGATGTATGTGCAAAAGAACTGTAACTAATCATAAATCACTTACCTAAGGTCACCAGCATGTTTGCGCATGTGCACATTCAGGTAGTGCTTCCATTTGGTGACATATCCACACTCAGAACACATATGATTCTTGTCATCTGAGTGGATGAGCATGTGTTTTGAGAGGTAGGTCTCATCACGGCACCTGAAGTCACACAGGTTACACTTGTGGGGCTTCTCACCTTGAAAGAAAAATACATGAATAATGGAACTGTTAAAAATTGGTAATCTGGAAGCTATGGATGAGTAGAACAGTCTGATGTTACAGTTTTCTGCTCACCACTATGCATCAGCATGTGCCGTCGAAGGACCCGCTTGTGTGCGGTGACAAAGCTGCACTCATGGCACTGGTGGATCTTCTCATTGGCATGGAAATGGCCAACATGCTGCTGGAACTCCACAGGGTTGAACGTGGCAAAGGGGCAGAAGTTGCAGGTCAACTCCTCATCCCCGGCATGGCCTTGCTGTTTGTGCTGCCGGAAGAGGCTCTTGTTGGAGCAGGAGAAGTCGCACTGTGAGCAGTGGAAGGCCAGGTGCATCCGGTAATGGGCCTCCATGTCCTGGAGGCTACCAAAGATGGCGTTGCAGGCATGATGGCGGCACTCTACGGCCTTCACTCCATGGACATCGGCCATGTGTCTCTGGAGCTCCTTCCGGTCAGAGGTCTGGAAGGAGCAGCCCTCCTGGAAACAGGCCAGTGGCTGGCTGTCCCGCGACGTGTGGTGAGACTTCATGTGGGCCTTGAGCGCCTGGCTCTGGCGGAAGCTCTTGCCGCAGGTGGGGCAGGGGTAGACGTCCGGGTGGATGTCGCCCCCCACCTCATTGGAGTGCACACTGGCCAAGTGGCGGTGGAGCGAGTTTGCGCTCCACAGCGGCGTAGTCGCACAGGTGGCAGCGGTGGACCTTCTGGCCGGACTCGCGAAGCATGTGGATGCGCAGCTTGCTCTTGCTGGTGAAGTAGTGATTGCAGGTGGGACACTGGAGGCTGGGGTCGGGGAAGTGGAGGTGGAGGTGCTCCAGCAGGTGGGAGCGCATCTTGAAACAGCGGCGGCACTCGGGGCAGATGTGAGTGCGATACATATGCTCCGTGCCCTCCATAATATGATCTTCAGGACAGGGAGGAGATGCGGGTGTTATCTTTTGTAATGAAACAAATGAAACAGAACAACTTATTTCCTAGTATGTAAATGTAGACCTACATTTACTGACCTAAACCTGATTAAAGTGCTATGGTCAGCACAACATTTACCTGAGATAATACCTCACCAGAAAACATGAATGGTCCTTAACACAGAAGAGAAGAACAACAATGCCAAAGCAGGACTAGAGATCCCACACTACCTTTAGATGGGTTCTCATTGATGTTTGTAGCTGCAGATGATTTGTCTTTTTGCACCTCCTCACTGGCTCTATTGTTGATGTTGTGCTGCTGTGTCTCTTCTTCATCCTCATCTTCTTCTTGTGATGACACATAAGCTGGATTGCGTTTCCAGGCCCTTCTTGGCCTTCCAGAGCTGGTCTCCAGAGCCGATTGGCTGCTTCCACCCTGGCCTGTCGTTGTTGGCACCTTGTCACCTGAGCACAAACATTTTCACAAATTGAGGCATCCAGTGTAGGCTCTACCCTAAATATAACAATGTGTGTGAATGAGTGTTTGTGTGTGTGGAGAACGATGCATTTATTCTAAAAGCTTACCCTCAGGTGCAGCAAGTGAACGGTCATGTTCCAGCCCATGGGTACTCAGCTGCTTAGCATGAGCGGTCACAAAGTCACAGCGGGGGCAGTGGAAGGGCATATGGCTACGCCAGTGCCCATCCATCTCGGCATGTGTGCGGAATGCCAAGGTGCAGGACCGGAAGGTACAAGAGACAAGGGTCAGAGCATGCTGTGAGTGCAGGTGTTCCTGGTACACCAACCGGTGTGAAGTGCTGAACTGGCAACCCTCCTCGGAGCAGTGGAATGGACCTGTAGGTTCCTCCCTCCGATGGCATTGGAAGTGGTGCTTCAGCACACCTGGCATGGCAAAGACCTCATCGCACAAAGGACACTTATAACGGGTCAACTGTCCCTTTTTGGTGAAATCAGCAGTGCAAAGGTGAGAGGAAACGCGGCTGCTATCTGAGAATTCCTTCCCGCACTTCTCACAGAGACACAACTCCTCAGTCTCCATTGGCTCATTTGTCTGTTGAGAAAATATTAAAAACATTATGCCATATAACATGACAGGTTTTAGGCAATTAATATTAAATAACAATGAGTTAGTGTGCCTATCACCAAGGACTATGTCACAGTGAAATGTCAACTACTGGAGCTGCCTGATCACACAGGGAGGAATATACAAGAAAATGTTTACCTTAGGTGTCCATACCTATGTATTTACAGTTATAGGCACTGTGTTGTTTCATAGCTTATAACAGTTGTAAACAGTACTATCTGTTTGCATGCATGCAAATAAACTCACAACTGAGTGATCTAAAATCAATGGGGTAGGATTAGCCTAGTCCAAGCTCTTCTCGGTCCTAACACCACAATGGTGGAACCAGCTTCCCCCTGAAGCTAGGACAGCAGAGTCCCTGCCCATCTTCCGAAAATGTCTGAAACCCTACCTCTTCAAAGAGTATCTAAAATAATCCCACAGCACGCCCCCTTGATAAAAAAAAAATATATATAATAAAAGTGTGTTGCGCTAAATTGAGCAAGTTCAACTGTGAATGGTCCTGGTGCACCAGGATTTGGACTTGTGGTTTTACTTAATTCTCCGTACTGGTCAATGATTATAAAGCCGATTCTGATCCAACCATAAATTCATACACTGTGCCCCTTGCCTTAGAGGATTGAAAATCAATATGTAACTAGATGTAGTAAGCTAAGTAGGTTAACTAGCTGGCTCATTGTTGCCCATGAAAGGAAGTTAGGCTAGCGGGCAAGCATTTCAGCCAGGTAGCCTAGGACAACAAAAACTAAAAGCATGTTCTGTATGACAAGTCATAGACCGTTTCGGCAACATGAAAGAGGAGGATGTCATTGGCGTTTCTCTACAAATAGGGTGAGTAAACATGTTTCTTCTACTTGCAAGGGTTTTGTCCCAGCCCAGCTCTCACACCTGACTTAATCAAGATCAACATGTTAATCAACATAACGAATCACGACGATAGGCTATGATTTGTAATCAGGTATGAGCTGGGCTGGAACAAAAGCTTATGCACACTCCTGCCATTCAGATCTGTATTGATATATAACGGAGCTGCTGCGGACCAGAAGACTGCAGCCAAGGCAGCACTGGTCCACACCTGTTCTGTCGGGTGAGTAGTATTAGTTGGTACTGTATGTGCCTTTAGGTTCCTCTCCATGTGTAGGCTATTGTACTGGCCTGTGTGGTACAGTCTTTCATATGTGTAGTAGTTTGTTGCATCGTATTGCTTAGTTGATCATGTGTCAACTTTGAATTCAATCTAAGACACAGATTGTTAACTTTCTCCATTTTGTACTTGACCTTTATAGATGCAGACCCAAAGACATTCAAGCAGCACTTTGAGAGGAAGCTTCAAGTCTCCAATGGTCCCAGTACTGGTTGATGTGCAGGCCTAAGTGACCACACATACTGAAATGGACCTACAGCTTGGGTAAGATTCTTCCATCATTCACACACAGTAGACATAGTGTAAACCACCATGTTGTCAACAAAATGCTGTCCTCAATGCTTAAGTTGTATTGTGTATGGCTCAATTTGTGGAAATGATGTGCTCACTCATCAACTTTAATGTCTTGATTCACATACACACGATGACCACGATTTGAATGCTGCAACTGAGACAGAATGACGTCGAGGGATACAAGCTGAGACCCCGAGTATAACTGGACATGGGCCGGATATTTGTGACAACGACCTAAAAGGGGTGGATAAGCACACCATTTTATGTTTATTCCATTGCCAACCATCCCTGTAGCTACTCCTTATTCCACACAATGCCTTTTATGCCCCATGGTCCCTCAACTTCGGACACCATGTAACTCTCCATCTTATCTCTATAAGCCCACCCTACTTTCACCTATTTTCCCTATGCTGCTTCCTTCACTTGTTCTTCTCCTGATTTGATAACATCTAGACTCAGTAACACGTTTAAAAGTGTTGTGCTGTATTGTTTTTGCTACCTTTTTTTTCACCTGTGTAATTCTGTCCTCCTGCTTATTCTGGGGTTTGGACTGAATGCTGTGGCAAATGTGCTGCTCACAAATGACATAAGCAACATGGACCTGTTAAATTGACAAGAAGGGTGTTGATATAGCTGCGTTTAGGAATGGCTTCCTTGCTTTGAGTCAGTTAAGTGCGTTTCTCATTCTGCTGGAGTTGACCTAGTATTTTATAATAAACCTACCTTACGCATCCAGTTGTTTCTCAATTTGTAACTCACCCACCAAAAATCACAATATGCTGTTTTACATGTTGTGTTATTTGTGCTGGTCTAATTCTTAAAATGGAAAAGCAGAAGAATCTGTGTGCACTCTGATATTTGGTTCTCTCCGATGTCCCAGGTTTGTGGCATTGATTAATAAATCATGTAATATTTACTTCAAGTCATATGTTTATATGCTGTTTATAAAAGGCATATGTATGAATTGTTTAACATTTTGTTTTCTTTAAAACAATGTAATTGTTGGAGTTCAGGTGTTTGATGTGATTGATGGGTGACTATGTGCATTCTGGTCAAATAAATATGCTTATTTATTCATGATTATGGATACATTCTGCAATGAGTTAATTTGGCATTGAATCTGCAACAGAACATGTCAAAAAGTTAAAGTGCATTCGGAAAGTATTCAGACCTTCACTTTTCCACTTTGTTACGTTACAGCCTTATCCTTTTTTTTTAAAATCCTCAATCTATACACAATACACATAATGACAAAGCGAAAACAGGTTTTTAGAAATGTTTAAAAAACAGAAATACCTGATTTACATAAGTATTCAGACCCTTTGCTATGAGACTCGAAATTGAGATCAGGTGCATCCTGTTTCCATTGATCATCCTTGAGATGTTCTACAACTTGATCGGAGTCCACCTGTGGTAAATTCAATTGATTGGGGATGATTTGGAAAGGCACACACCTGTCTATATAAGGTCCCATGGTTGACAGTGCATGTCAAAGCAAAGAACCAAGCCATGAGGTTGAAGGATTTGTCCGTAGAGCTCAGAGACAGGATTGTGTCGAGGCACAGATCTGGGGAAGGGTACCAAAAAATGTCTGCAGCATTGAAGGTCCCCAAGAACACAGTGGCCTCCATCATTCTTAAATGGAAGAAGTTTGGAACCACCAAGACTCTTCTGAGCTGGCCGCCCGGCCAAACTGAGCAATCGGGGGATAAGGGCCTTGGTCAGGGAGGTGACCAAGAACCCGATGGTCACTGACAAAGCTTCAGAGTTCCTCTGTGGAGATAGGAGAACCTTCCAGAAGGACAAACATCTCTGCAGCACTCCACCAATCAGGCCTTTATGGTAGAGTGGCCAGACAGAAGCTACTCCTCAGTAAAATGCACGACAGCCCGCTTGGGGTTTGCCAAAAGGCACCTAAAGGTCTCTGACATAAGAAACAAAATTATCTGGTCTGATGAAACCAAGATTGAACTCTTTGGCCTGAATGCCAAACGTCACATTTGGAGGAAACCAAGCACCGCTCATCACCTGGCCAATACCATCTCTACGGTGAAGCATGGTGGTGGCAGCATCATGCTGTGGGGATGTTTTTCAGCAGCAGGGACTGGGAGTCTAGTCAGGATCGAGGGAAAGATGAATAGAGCAAAGTACAGAGAAATCGTTGATGAAAACCTGCTCCAACAGGACAACGCAAGAGTGGCTTCAGGACAAGCCTCTGAATGTCCTTGAGCGGCCCAGCCAGAGCCTGGACTTGAACCTGATCGAACATCTCTGGAGAGACCTGAAAATAGCTGTGGAGCGACGCTCCCCATCCAACCTGACAGAGCTGGAGAGGATCTGGAGAGAAGAATGGGAGAAACTCCCCAAATACAGGTGTGCCAAGCTTATAGCGTCATAGCCAAGAAGACTTAACGCTGTAATCCCTGCCAAAGGTGCTTCAACAAAGTACTGAGTAAAGGGTCTGAATACAGTTTTTATTTTTTGTAAATTTGCAAACAATTCTAAACCTGTTTTTACTTTGTCATTATGGGGTATTGTGTGTAGATTGATGAGGAAAAAATACAATTTAATAAATGTTAGAATAAGGCTGTAACGTAACAAAATGTGGAAAAGGTGAAAGGGTCTGAATCCTTTCCGACACCATGAATTGAAATAGATTTCACCTAGTTCATATAGTTGGCAGATATAAGGGATTAAATATCGGACATCCACCGGCTAAAGACGAGGAGCTGGTAAAATAAGGGTCTGTTGCTAATATCAACTAGGTAGCTAGCTAGCTAGCTTCTTTGCAAAAAAAACTAGCTTAGTATTCATGGCACATAGTAAATATCTGACTGCTACTACATACATTTTACATTTAGCAGACGCTCTTCTCCAGAGCGACTTACAGTTAGTGAGTGCATACATTTTTCATACTGGCCCCCCGTGGGAATCGAACCCACAACCCTGGCATTGCAAACGCCATGATCTACCAACTGAGCTATATTCTGTACAAGACAAGACCAAATGCATAAATAAGACAAATATTAGTTAAAACATGGAACAGTAAATGGAAATGTTCAATATATCTTTCGTTTTGGATCAAGGTAGATAGTTTCTAGCTTGCTGACAGCAAAGGTGTCAGCTATAGATGACGTGCAGGAGCTTACATTGATTTGTAGTCTTGCATGATGTCTACTTTTATGCAAATTATCATTTTCGAATCAGAGTAAATAGAGCCATATATAACACACACACACACACACACATACATACACTACCGGTCAAAAGTTTTAGAACACCTACTCAGTTTTTCTTAATTTTTACTATTATTTTCTACATTGTAGAATAATAGTGAAGACATCAAAACTATGAAATAACACATATGGAATCATGTAGTAACCATAAAAGTGTTAAACGAATCAAAATATGTTTTATATTTGAGATTCTTCATATAGCCACCCTTTGCCTTGATGACAGCATTGCACACTCTTGGCATTCTCTCAACCAGCTTCATGAGGTAGTCACCTGGAAATCA